TTGAATTTTATAATTATGCTTAAATTTATGACGTGGTAATCATCAATTATTATCAAAAATTAACATGTATTTAGCCCTTTATCATATTATTATTTTTCTTTGTTCTCAGTCAATGCAAAATTTTTATCATATAATTATTTTTTTCTAAAAATTTAATTAATTATTTTGTTTCAAAAGTTTTCATTTGATCATTTCATATATTTTAATCCTGAGAGAAGCAAATTTTAGCTTATTTCATTTGCTTAATATGCTTTGACAATAACAGGTTTTATGGTAATAATTTAAAAAAAAAAACGATAAAATTCATTTTAAAATAATTTAGAACAGAATTTGTTAGAATTAAAGCAGCAACAAATTTAATTGTTATGCATTGCAATAATAAAAACCTCACACTAAGTGGAGCAGCCTAGAAATCTCACTATAAAATTCACGCTTCAAGTTCAGGCCTCTACAACAGAAGTCACCTCACTCTGTCAGTTAGTGGAATTTGCACAACCTCTCACGCGAGAATAATAAACTAACGCACTCGCGAGTCACTCTTTTTCTGGCAGAAATACAGAGACGTGGAAAAAGCGCAGCTAAAATGAACTTGTGTGACGCAAAGGTTTTCCGGACGACTGTCGTGCGCTCTTGTCGGTGAAAAATATCTCCCGAGCGAGCGCCTGGCGAGCAAAACCAGGCACTCCGCCGATCAGACGCGCAGCGCCGGTTGCATAACTTCTCTTACCGTCGTCTCCGAAAAGAAGGAAAACTTTTACGAGAACGGAAAAGTGATCCAACGTGCTGCTCCTAATTTTTTCAATCAACATTCCCAAACGCGTTTGGAAAACCTCCAACACATAGCAGCGATTGCTAGTTTTTTGAAAAACAAAAGAGTCAAAGGGCCATGCGGGGCTATGGTCAACAGAGAACTTCATATGCAGCGTTGTAATTCTCACGTGTCAAAGAAAAATTATGCAGTGTTCAACTTTTTCCCATTCGGCCTGTATCAAGTGATGCTGAATTTTTAGCAGCCGCGATCCTATTTCCTTTAAACTACAAAATAAAAAATGAATTTATTACCCTCTGAAAAAGAATAAAAACTATTATAAGCGCAAGACTCACAATCAGTAGTATTTAATTTTAATAGGTTCAATATTTAAAAAAAAAATGCTAATGAAATACTTTTTGTTTAAATAATTTTTAAATTACCAAAAAAAATTGTCAGGCAATTTGCAAGCTTAGAAGTTATGAAAAACATCAGAATTTAGCATATTTTTTAAAATGTATTATTTCTCATTCCTTAAACATTCAACTGTAATTTTATTAACAAAAGCAAGACACGTAAGCCATTTAAGTGCTTTTTGGAAAAAACAAAGCTTGGAGACCCTCGTATAAGTAGTCAAGAATCGTACAAAAAATGTGACCCATAGCAAGTTTCGATGAGCAGTGGGGCGTGCAAAGGAGCCAACCGAGTTAATTACTGCGCCAAACAAGCGAATCTGAGAGGGCGAGCACGAAAATTGCACAACGATGGAAGAGAAAAGAGAAACTGAACTGTCAGCAAAGTGGGTAGCAACACAATTAAGACAAAAAGCGGCCGGAGACAAAAGTTGGGAAAATTAGGCGGGCGGACCGAGGGCTGCTTTTTCTACACGAGCTTACATTTACAGAGACTGCTGCAGAATTTTGGCAGCCACGGAAAGCGGCCGGAAATTATGATCTTGTGTTGTTCATTCATTGCGCGGTCGGCGCGTCTCCGGGGGCGCAAAAACGAAACAATGATAATTGCTGTGCCATTTTTAATTTCGCCATCCAACCGGGTCAAATCGATAAACCACCACAGCATATGAAAGTGTGCACCTATTATCTGCCAGAAGGTACACTCAATTTTAAACGCACATGAACAAAAATATACAGAAGGGAATCGTTTCATTTTTGTTTGATTTACTTGAAAACGGTAAAAACATTATTTAAGTGTTTTTTTCTTGTAATTTATTTTTTTCTTGCTCCACAATTAGGGTTGCATGCCGCGACTTAATCTGATTGAACCGTTTATTTTTTATTAAAAAAAAAACCGCGAGAGGACACTTAATACTATATCAAATTATTTACTCCAAGCAAACGTTCTCCAAAAAATAAAATCGATTTTGATGAAAAGTTACAAGAGCAAAATTTTTATGAGGTTTAAAACTGATCAAATTCATATTTTTAGCTAATGACCGCTTTTTGTTTTGATTATAAATGGGTTTTTTAATATAAATATTCTATTCTGCAAGAATATTTAAAACGCCTGAAATAAACCAAAAATAAGATTGTTTGACAGACCATTGTGCGGGAAATTAATAAAAAATGAATGTTTACCATAACTATCATAGATGGCTGCAAAAACGTTTGAAACAAGAAATAACTCATAAAAGAATTAACATTTTAGGGATGGAGGTTCATTTTCTCGGCATGTTCTATTTTGCAGTTGCTGACAGCTCCGTTTTTCATTTTATTTTTTCCAAGCTGCGCGGTCGACAACTTTCTCGCAGGCTATACATTTTCGCCGAGTCGACAACCCCTGTGTACCGCTCACAGCGCAGAACTCGTGACAACCGTGATTCGGATTTAATTTTCGTCTCTCGAGGTTCATTTGCATGGAGAGCGCCGAAAGACACACAACTCTGTAATTCCAGTGGCTCGCAAATCCAACACGGTGCCTACAGTGTTTGCTTGCTTGCGAGTAAAGCACCCAATTTGGCCTCTAATTCGGTGAACACGCCGTGTAATCAAGTGGATCAAAACAAGCTGCAGAAAAACACCTTTTTCAAAGCGTGCGTGTTGAGAAACAAGACTCCTAACAAGCGCCAATTTATCATTTCCTCTTCAATTGAGAGTTATACTGTATGCATTTTAGAAAATGTAGAGAAACTTTAAAGAAGGAAATTCATTCACAATTTTGTTTTAAATGAAATTTTCTGCTATGACACCATGGAAGCGTTTTTTTTTTAATGCTAGAGATCGGAATCACTTTTAGTTTTAAATTATGAGGCATTTTTCTCCCTAGGATCAGTGCTTTTATTTCATGAATAAAAGCACTTCAATTTTCCTCCTATGAAGTAATTATTGAAACCTTAATAAAAATAATTTGATTTGCTCTGGCTCTATATTTACAACTTATTTGCCCAGGCCGGGGTTGAGAAATGGCCTGTTTTTCTCACTGGGTTGTGTGACATGTAATCAAATGTTGGCAGCAGGTGTCCATTTCATTTTGAGCCAAGAGAGAAAGTGGGAAATGGAGTTGCTCGGCCTTGGCGGATTTCCTGACGCATTATTAATATAAAGCAACTGTAGCTTAAGTTCATACACCACGCCTTGGCAGCTTGCTAAGGGGCCGTTTGGTGGCTAACGAGTTAGTTCGGCAGCGTCGGAAAAGGGCGGAAGCGGCGCCAGATGAGCATTTCGCACGCGGATCATCCGTCCGCCCTCAAGATGAACCACGTAAGACGGCGTTTTCGTATGCAAATGAAGCCGAAAACCGAGCAAGTTGCGTTCTGGATATTCTTGCTATATGAATTAAAAATTTGTGTATAATCGGAGTAATGATAAATAAATTGAGCAGTTTTTTCCTCCAGGTCTTTCAGAAAATTAGCCTTAAAAATTCCTCACAAAGAATTTTACATAACATATATTTTCTGCAGCTCTGTTGATGTTAAAATTATCATGAATTTTTAGTTTTTCTACCTCTTTTCTTTGATCACATTTTACCTTGCTTTTCATGAAAATGTTTTTATGTAATTAAAGGGAAAATTTAACTACTTGGGAGTTTTACTTTTTTAGGCTTTCGGAGTTTCTTTACAATCTGGGGGACTTTTCTTGTGATAGAGGGACCAGCTGCGTGTGCTTGTGTAGCCATGGCGACCTGAAAGACGTCACCTTTTCCAAAACAGATGATTTCAGTTGATTTATATTTGCTAGCAAAGATGCTGGGTAAACAAGAATGGCCATCGTCACTTTTTTTATTGCATGGCACATTTTTATTGTGTGTATTGAAGAGGAAAGTGCAATAGTAGCATTTTTCCACCGTTATTTTTGGATAATGAAATCATATTTAATATTAATTTACAAATAAGACTTCTAAAGATGGCGTCAAGTGCAAAAGTGGCTCCCTGACCATTATACATTTTATTGTTTTTAAAACTAGGTCAGTTTTAAGTATTTTATAATGGAGCTCTTGAATGGTACACTCAACCAAAACGGCAGAAAGGTGTTTCAAAAATGCAGAGATCCTATATTTTGAAATCACAACACTCAACAAGCACAGGTATTGTGTATTGTATTTTTATTATTTTTAAGAGAAAATTGATTGATACTTATTAAAGGAAGTTATACTTTCCAATACACACATAAAAAATTTAAAATTGAAATTTTGTCAAATTGCTTAAAAATTTCACCCCTACTACCGATTTCTCTTTTTATTCATCACCTGTTTGTTCAGGAACAAGAAATTCGCGTCAAGAGCAATTTGCCGTAGCTCGAATGAAAGCCGCCTTTTCACATCTATGTACTGCGACACTTAATGCTTTTCTTTTATTATCTGCTCGCTTTACATTGAAGTTGTTATTAGTGAACAATGGATATTGATTAAATTCGGAGACAAAAGGAACCTGATCCAGAAGTGTTATGTCAATGTACATAAATATAGTTATTGCATTTGCAGTATATAAATTTATAATTATGAACTGCATCTGATATGGTTGTAAGATAATTAAGATATTATCTGTAATGGATAAAAGTATATTTCGCATTGAAAGATGTTTCTTTCAAGACATTTGATAAGGTTGCATTCAAGCATAACAAAAATAATTGCTACATATTTTCCTGTATTAATTTTAGTATATTTTTATATTGATGTTACAGAGTGATAAAAAAAAACTTCTCAGATTTGCATAACTAAACTAATAGTGTTTTTAACGAAAAATTTGTACCGATATGTACTCTATATATTTTGTATAAAATAAAAATTAAAAACTAACCTTTGCAAATCAGTCCTTCTTGCTGAAGCAATGCATGATGAAAAGTAGAGTGGCAAGACTATTGTATTTTCCCCAAAAGAACGATGAACACACCAGAGGAACAGGAAGTGCTTTCCCAGCCTTTTCTTTTCGTGGGTCCACCTCTCCTCGCTCCGACCGTCGCACTGCACTGGGGCCACTGGGCGGCAAACGGGCAAAGCCGGCAACCGGCAATCGCCGGCCCCGATGCCCTTCGCAAGTTCGCCGCAGCCGCGCACTCTGCATTGCTCTGCATCGCGGGGTGCTTCACCGTTCAACCACCAGATGGCAGCGGTACATCAACAACAAGGGAAACACGCCGTTGGATTTTGCCTCCACAAACTTTGCACAAGGTTAATTGTCTATTTTTTAATTATTTTAGCTTGTCGTGGGTGGATTTATTCTCGTACATTAAATCAAGTAGCAAAATCTAAAAGTATCTTTGAATTCTAGAGTTGAAGCCACAAAAAACAGCAAATAAGTAATTCAAGAAGGGAGTGTATGAAAAATTTCCTTCCATCATGTCAACTTATGATTTTGGCTTTCGGGAAATCATACCTGATCAGACGTTGCCGGAAAAATGGAAAGAAGTAACCATCAACACAGGTTGGATTTCTTCATAATTATTTTATTGAAGATTGTTTATGTATTTTTAATAATCTTTACAGGCGGCACGCAAAGTACACTGCAAGATATAAAAGTGCCGGAAAGAGCCGGTGGATTTACCTACAAAGACACCACATTGCCATACACTAGGAACAGATTTATTTACTGGTTTGATAATTTATTTTAAAATATTACAACATGCAGTAACTTTAAATTATAATGTATTAATTTAGAGAAATGCTCGCTTTCTCAGTAAACTCATTTGCAACAGTTACATTTCATTATTTCTTTGGATAATTATTTTATTAAAAGACTATTACAAAATAATTATTTCAGGCGAATCAGCCATGATGTTCTGGAGCTAGTCGAGCACAGCCTGGATATCAATTTGGTCAACAACCATGTTCGCTTCCGATTCCAAGACTCGCCGATTCTGGAAGGGGTTTCCATCCAAGAGTCGGCTAATTCTGTGCAAGTTCTTGTGCCAACAGTATCGAGCGTCCACCGCCTAGTTTTCTCTCATCCAGACACTATCACCTCAAAAAGTTTGCAGGCGTTCAGCTTACGACAGCCGCAAGATTCAATCTTTGTCGAGGCCAGTGTCAATTGTGTCCAGCAGCAGTCCATTATCCACCATTCGGCTCCAAGTAGCAAAAAAAATATTTTAAAATTTCTATCCATTATATGATTTGTAATTTTTTTTTAAAGATTCTGCTCTGCCTCAACTAGCTGCTTCTTACCTGGCCGTCAATGATGAGGCTATTTTTGCACTTCAGTACAACTCTGGTTCGACCCTGCTCGTTCGAATGGATTACATCAGTGGTGCTGTCAATGCGGTTGAAATCAAAGAGACAACCCTCATGACTAGATTGTTCTCTGGTATGCTCATGATCTGGTTAAACTTACAGAGTTTCAATAACAATTAATTCAGGTATTGTCCCTGGTCCCCTATTACGATCAAAGGGTGCTGAAGAAGAATGCGTCACATCTCTGGTCTTGCACACTCTTGGACTGGCCACGTACCTCTTCACACTGACTCAGGACTGCAAGCTGAAATTGTGGTCTTGTGACCGACAAGAATGCATAATGGTAGCCAACCTTTTAGACTTGCTGAACATGCCCAAGCCCCAGCAGGGTGTTCCTGAACCAGGACGTCAGTTGAACAGTTTTGTTTAAATGATCCCACTGACATTTACTTGCAGGACAAAATCACACTCTTCGAAAGGCAGTTGGCCGAGATGAAAATGATCTGCACATTGGCATCTTCCTGTCATTCACTAGGAAGAACGCATTTCTCATTGTAAAACCTGCTTCTGAACAGGGATACTTTGATCTCAAATGCCTCATTGCTGTTAGTGACAATCATATTGGCCCGGATGTAGGTTTCAATAATAATTGTGCATGTGGCTTAAAAAAATTTGTTTTTCAACAGAATGATTTGGTCGACTTTTGGATTAGTTGCTCGTCAATTTGGGCAATGTGGTCAAACCCAGACGGAGAAACTGTTGTACGTCATCGACGTCTGCGAGACGAGGTGACTCACTCTCATGGCACAAACTGGACTCAAGTTGTACCTGAGACTCCGCCAGACCGAAACTTTGACCCCAGCACCCAGGGCACCGTTGATCCGAAGCAAGCTTATTTGAACTACATTTTCCAGCCAGGGAAGTTTCCACTATCCGTCATTAACAGAGCACTAACTGTAAGATTTGGTTTTTGAATTCTGAGAGTCTGTCAATTTAACAAATTATTGATCAATTAGATTTACCGTCGACCCAGTGGAGGCTCATTGCCCACACATTTACCAGAGGTATCTGCCTCTGTGCTGAAGGAGAGGGTGTCTGTTGTTGTGGAGAATGAGATTAAGAATGAAATTTCTGACCTAGACATCACTGATGAAGAGTATTTGGAAATATCATGGGGCGCTTGGGCCAAGTAATGATTACCAAACACAAAATTGAATTAATCTAAACATTTTATTTTTAAGGTTTTATTCCTGCTGCATTCAATACTACTGGGCCGGCACCAGACCAGTAGCTCTTTTGGCAGCTCCAGCCTCAGACATGATTCCAGGTCCCCTGTCAAACAATCCAATTGGAATTGTCTGCAAGGCCCAGTTTTCCCTGTTTCGACCAATAGACGAGTTGGATCACCTCTGGACAATAGGACCTGGCATTGCTGACCTTGCAGCATTCAGTCCAGTTACTAGACCTAAAAATGTTTGCACTCCAGAAATGGTTACATTCTTCCAAGCTCTGCACAGAATGGACAAGCATCTTCCACAGGAAATGAAAGATAATTTTGACCTTGCGATCCATTATCAAGAAGATCCTAAAACTTTAGTCGCCAGCTTGGTTGAGGGGTATGATAGTGAGGTAAATAAATTTTGGGTAGCTTTTTCTCTATGGTAATTTTGGATTTAAAATTATAGTATTTCTCACGCCGCTCAGCAAACAAACTTCTCGCCGGAATTGTGCCCAGCATGTTGGACGAAGTTGTACACTTGCTCACGTTCTACTCGCTCGACCACAACACGGCCACCGAAATGGATATCGAAGGCGACGACCTGCCCAAAAAAGAGCTCGACAATATGTCATACCTCTTTAGCAGCCAACTCGGTTGCAACGTTGTGGCTGAGGCCTTGCACCAAACCTGTAGTGGCCGGTTCAATGTTCTGCGCAATCTTCTTTTCCTTCTCCAGTGCCTGAAGAAGCATTTTGTTACTATATTCCCAAAAGTGGACGTCAACAGTGCTCTGGCTGAGAGACTGCGCAGTCGACTCATTCCGGCTGTCTGCCAGCTTCTCCGATGCTATTACATTCTGAATTGGGTTGCTCTGGCACCCTGTGGGCCTGTTGTACCTACAATGCTTGATGCTAGCATGCAGCAGCTCAATATTCTAAGTATGCGAGACAAAGTTGAAGGGGCCGATGCAGCACACCTTGCTCTTAGAGGCCACCGATCACATACTTTACTGTCTTTGTTTTTGACATCCAAATCAGCCAGGTAAATGATTCAAGACAAATTGAATTTCAAATTATTGTAACCTTCTTTTGCAGATATGTTCACAATTTGATGGCTCAACAGAGCACAGAGTTGGACTTGCTGAGCCAGTGGCACACCTCTCTCCTGCCCTTCATGACCATTGTTGGCAAACTTATGTGGCCGTCAAGCTATCTTTTTGTATTCCCAGAGTTTCTGCTTACTTCATGCCAATACTTGCTGGTAGAGCAGTATGTCCACCTGTTGAAAACCTGGTGTGATGGCAACGTCCACTCGCGAGAGTTTATTCTTGGCTCTGTCCTGCTTGACATGGGAGAGGCTGAAAAAGCTTGCGACCACTTTTTGGTTGCTGCCAAAGGAGTCAATAACGAAAGCTTTTTGGCAAATCATTTAGCTCAGCCTAACTACGAAGACGAACTGGAGCCCACAGCCGAACACAGACTTGTTCTCTACTACTTGAAGGTCATACTTTGATTTATGATAATTTAATGCGTAAAATTCAATTATATTTCAATTTCTAGGTCATCAAGTTGTTTGACCAACTGGACCACTCTGACTGTGTCCTGCGAGTAGTAGATCAGGCGATAAGGGGAGCTGATATATATGACACTGAGATGGCTACTCTTCATTCCATAAAATTTCACCACCTGCTGAGAATCGGCCGCCATGCTGAAGCGTTCGAAGCCATGCATTGCAATCCAGACCCCTCAAGAAGACAAGATTCATTGCGCCAGCTGATCAACTCTCTTGTCCAGCACAGAAAGCTTTACCAACTGATCTCATTCAGCTATTCAGATTCTTTGCTTACTGTCGCAGAAGATGTGATGCTGATTAAAGCTAGATCACAGGACCTGCTTGCTGCTGATTTTTATACTGTTCTCCACGCTTTACATGTAAAACACCGCAACTACAGAAAAGGTATAAGTTAAATTCTCCATTAATTCATTCACCAAATTTTATTTGTAAATACAGCTGCTTCGATTAAGTATGAGCAAGCGTATCGTCTCAGCAGGGAGGTCAACGGCCTTGCAAGTCTCAAGCAACAAGTGCGCTGTCTGCAAACTGCCATCAACGAGCTCTGCTTGGTGCCTAAAGAATATCAATGGGTGCTCAAGCCTCAGTGGGCAATTCGGAATGCAGCGCTTAGTTCGGTATTCAGCGATTATGAGCCACCAAACCAGAGTCCTAAACGAAATTATGATGGTGAAGAAATATTGCCAGTGGATGTAAAAAAGAAAATGGAAATTGTCGAGCTCTGGCAGATGAGGAAGGACAGTGAGGTGCTGCTGGCTAAGATGGAATTAGTTGGACCAGAGGCAGCCAACAGTCGGGTTTCAGGTATACAAATTTGTTGAATATTCCTTTGAGCAATCTAAACAAATATTTATCTTTCAGCTGTCGCGCATTTGTCTGTTGAGCAGTTGGTTGTTGTTTTGTACAGCCAGAGCTTCTTTGATTTGGCACTACGTCTTTCAAGCCTTCACGAATTGCCAAAAGGTAGCATTTTGGAAGCCATTGCAGGGAAATGCGTTTCCGTCACTCGAGATGACGAAAATGAAGCCAACTCGAGTTGGTTAGGATATAACTATACATCAGGTAAAATTTGAGATTTACTTGTCATTATTTCTGGATAATAAAATAATCTGCAGATGTTGCCTGCGGAGATGGCTCAGTTAGCAGTGTTGCTTGGAAATATCTTCAGAAGTGTTTAAAACATCACGAAGTTGGTAGACAGACTGAGTTGCACAAGGCTATCGTTGTCAGACTTATCAAAGTTGAAGCATTTCTGCCACAATGGCTGATTGATTCCTACAAGGTATTACCAAGAAAAATCATTTGTTGATACACCTGCTTAGATAATATTTTAAATGTTAGAACCGTAAGGCTGCTGAACTCCTGAGGGTCTTGCTGATGGCAGGACGTTTAGAGGAGGCTGGTCAACTAAGTTGTGAGCTCTACAATGCTGGTATGGGTCATGGTTCTAAGGAATTTGGAATGGGCCGCGGATTGCACGAAAAAAATGCCTCAGTCTGGCTCCCCCACAACTTACTTCAATGGGCTTTGAAAGAACTCGAAGCAGCCGTCGAACAAGACAAACTTGGAGCACCCTTTTCTCAAGTAATTTATAGCATACCTTTCAATAATACCCGATTATTCGTTTTTTTTTTTAGCTGTTTGAGGATCTAAAGGATTTACAAAGCAAGTACATAGGCAAGGCAAAAAGAATGACCGAAGGAATGAAGATCAGCACTAAGAAAACTGCTAAAACTAAGTGATGATGAGTTTTATTTAATTATATTTCAGGCTTCTTTGATTAGAAATAAAATTCAACTTTTTAATAAGCTGGTTTAATTGAAATATCAAAAAATATTAACATTTTCTCCAAGAAAAATTCATTATACTTTTTTTAGTACTGTTTATACTGTTCAATTTTCCATGAATTTTAAATAAAGTGTTCATTTTCTTCAGTATTTTAAAATTGATAAGTTTTGTTAAAATTCAAAGGCATCAAACTACATCTCTTTCATACTATATAAGCAGAGTGACTGATGAAAATGAAATATAAAATTTAATGTAACAAAATTACGCATGTAAATTTCTTGTCTGCTTATAAACAATTGAAAACTTTTTATTTGAAGTAAATCAAGACGATGATTCACTCCTTAACAAATTGCAAGTCATGAGGAAGTATAACCATTATCAAATTGCAAACTTTCGGTTTATAACTTAGGTAATAGAAACAATTCAATTGTTACAAAGCAACCACAGTACCTTTCATGGCATATCACCCAATTAAAATTGAGTTGAGCGAGTTCATACATCAGAAGAGAGTGAACGAATGGGGTCGGCGTGGCGGTTTTAGAGAAAGTGCTTTTTTCAAGAGATCTGTTAGGCGGGGAAATTGGTAGTCTGTATCTTGTCTGCAACAAGGCACAAGCTCTGCACAGCTATGGCGAGCCGTGCTATCTTACTTGCTGCTCTCCTTGTTGCCGTCTACTTGGCGCACAACAATGAAGCTAAAGTCGTGGTCAGTATGCATTATAATTTTAAATTCATTTAAAATTTTTATCAGTAATATTCTTAATTTAACATTTTTTTAAATTATCATTATTATGCATGTGAAAAAGGATGGCTAGAAAATATAGAAACATTTATTACATTATTATGTTTTTAAACTATCGATTTTTAGGTCATTAAAAATTTCAAATTCAAATCAATATATTTTTCCATGATATAGATATTGATAAAAAAAAAAAATGCCTGTATTAATTGTAGAAAAAGGATCGCGCCCGTCGAGGTGTGGTGGCCGTCGCCCCTTTGGCCATCGTCCAAAAGCGCCGTGACCGCGAGGAGCAGGACCTGACCAAGATCCCTGGTGTGCCTGGCGTGGACTACCCGTTGTTCCGCTCCGTGCCGCCCACGCACTTTGATTGCAGTACTGTTCCCGCACACCCCGGGATGTACGCCAACGTTGAAACTGGATGCCAGGTCTGTTAATAACGCTCATTACGCATCTAAAGCCTAAAAAATAATCCAGATTTCTTATGAGAAATTTCATGTTATATTTTGCAGAAAAATATTTGTGGGTTCAATTCTCGCCTGCAGCCAAAAAAAGCTCGTGAAAAATGAAAACAAATTTACAAAAGAATTTTAATACAATTGATTATTTCTAAAATGCCGTTACTTTAAGTGAATAAAAATACATGCATACGCTCTTTTACATATAATATTGTGGTCACTGAATTGGTTGCAGTAATTAAAATATTATATATTTCACAGCGACGCGCGAGCCGAGCTATAAAACACTCGTGGGAACGCGCGTCTAGTATTTTATTCAGTGAAAGTAAAGCCAAAACCTTCACGGTGTGCGAGACACAGCGCCTTGGGAATAAATCGTATGGCTGCTTTATATCTCGTAAAAGCATTTTGCTTTTCTGAACTGCCTTTCTTTTTCTGCGATTATATCAAGTTTATTTTGTGTCACGTGCAAATCAAGTAAAGCGCGCGCGGCCTTTACACACAGGTGATAATAATTAAATTTTTTACGGGCTTTCAACTGTCTGTATATCCAGCCGTCAATAAGGTAGCGAGTGCAGTGATAGTAATACAGCCTCGGGCTCCAGCTCACCTGGATCTGAATCTGAATCACGATGGTTGCGAAACCACATGCAGCTTGTGAGTAAATTAAATTTTAAGTGCGCGCGCGCTCTTTGATTGCGAAATATAGCGGTCACTCACTTAATAAAAGGCGTTTGAAAATTTAGTCCTCAAAAAAATTGTTAATAGTAGCAAAAGAAATAAAATGCGTTATTTTAAAATTGAATTTCAATAATTATAATATATTGTTAAATGAACGATAGCCTTTTTATAATTATGTTAATTTCAAAATTAAATAGAATTTTCTTGTTTTAATTTTAAAAAGGGAATGTATAATATATTTATTAGGAAAAAGATGGTATTTAATTAATTTATTTAGTTATCCACCAACTTTGTACTGTACTCGACCCACTATACATATACATATAATGTATGTACATACATTTGCTTGCGTAACGCGACGCGTGCATCAAAGTTCATTAAATTCCCCCCAAAGAGGTGGGCTGTTTAATTTGGCGGAATGTGTAATTTTGAAGGCAATGTTAGCGCTTGTGGACCAATTATGTGTTTGCGTTTTGTTTTTAGGCGTACCACGTTTGCCATGACGGCCGCGAAGGTCGACAAGGCGCCGCTTTCCTCTGCCCCAATGGTACTCTGTTCAACCAGAAGGAGTTTGCCTGCGACTGGTGGTACAATGTCGACTGCCCCAGCTCCATCACTCTCTACAGGTGGATACTAGTTTTTCTTATTAATCAATTTTCCTACTCTCATTTGCAAGCACTAATAATTCACTTCTCTTAATTTTTCTTTTGAAAAATTAAATTTTACAAATAGGTGAATGCCTGACCTTGTATATATGATTACCTCATATATGATTATTGTTTCAAATTTCTTGCATATTATACTTTTATTGCAATTGTAAACTCTAAAAATTTTTTCTTGATATAATTATTATAAATTCTGTTAATTCTGCATCTATTATTTTTTTTTTAAATTTAAACAATGTCCCATTTGATTTTTCAGCCTGAACTTGGACCCGGCAAAGAACCCGTACTTCCCTAAACCCCAGAAGAACCTCGAGGTGGTGCACGTTTGAATGCGAGAAATGATGGGAGCCCTCACAGCTTTGGGGCTGCCGGTCTCGCTAGACACGTACAAGAATATGGCACTGATTGCTGGGCTAGATGTCACCCTTTTCCACCTAGGTCTTGAGTTCTTGTTAGCACTTGGCCTGGGACAAATTCTTATTGAATTATCCATCATTATGCATGATCAATTTTTAACAAATTACTTCCAATATCATCAAAACCAATCATGATATGTATCCATTGTTAAGAATTATTTTTATATAATAGCTATTTATTAACACAACACATTAAAATGATTTAAAACGAAAAAATGTCGTGTCTGTAAATAATATTAAATAAAGTGATGCACCTCAAAATATTATATTATGTTTTATCTTCAAAACAATCCCACAAACTAATAAATTTACAGTAATTATTCTACTTTTTTATTTAAGTTAAACTGGTTATAAACTAAAGACAAACTATGAAATTTTGTCCATTGTTACGTTAATAAATTTCAAAACAGGACTTTAATAAAATTGTATTATTAACAGCAATTGGCAAATATTAAAATTTGCAATTGTTAAAAATAAATTAATTTACTGTGTGCTTAATAATTGAGAGGAAGATCCGCGTTGCTCATTTATTTCATTTCTCGGATTTCTCCTAAAAGTTTTAAAAGTATTTGTCCAAAATTGTAATTTATTTTAGGTATTTTGATTTTAAGGTGGTTATAGTACAAATAATTAAAGGGGAAATAAAGGCGACTCATTAAAAACGACAGGAATTTATCATTGAAAGTTTTTTTAAATTTGTATTTATTTCTTTCTCTCTGTGTGTACAAAAACTTTGGCCCACTCGTCTAAAACCGCGTATTTTTTTCAGTTTAATACTTCATTTAAGCTCATTCTGTTGAACTAATTTACTGAACAAGAACAGGTGTTGGGTGCACACTTTTTCCAGATTTCTTCACCACTGCATTGAAACCATTAATAGCATCAGCGGTGTAGCTGACAGTGCGCACTGAACCATCGGGCTCCACAAGGCTGTACTCGCCCTTTACGACATCACCATCGCGAATTTCCCACTGGTTTTTCTGGTCACCGGTGTGGGGATCGTTAACGCCATAGCCAAAGCTATAAGAGGGACGCGACTAAAAAAAAAAAAAAAAAACGAAATTAAGGAAATTAATTAATATTTAAAATATTGTATAATAATATTGGATGGAAAAAAATAATAATATTATAATGAATTGATATTTATTTTTTAATTTTCCCAGTGTCAAAAATAAGAGAAAATTAGTAATTAATAAAAAAGAAAGAAATGTTGAATAAAACAAAATACAGTTTGTTATTATATGGAAATTAAATTAAAATGCACTTACATAATAATCAACCACAGGGGCAACCGGGTGGTGGTTGCTGACGACAGGATAAGTTGCTGTGGTGTATAAAGGGTTAGTGGAAACCTGTTGGTGGTATTGATGGGAGTGAGCGGGCAGAATCACAGGCGTTTGGATCAGTGGTTGATGTTGGTGATGTGCGTAGTACTGATCACCATAACCATAACCTGGGGTCAGCGCGCCGTGATCGTAGGCCAAGCCGACAGGATATTGATATTGCAAAGTTGACGGCACAACGCCAGCATGGCTCAGAGCAATAAAGCCACACAGGAAAATGATCTAGAAAATTATTAAAATGTAATTTAAATATTGAATTTTGAAAAATTATTAAAATTAAAATTATTGAAACAAATAATTATTAACAATAAAAACCGCACCTGAAGCATGATGGTCTAGTTCAAGTGAGCTCAAACAAGAGATTGGTCTTTTGTGCGAATCTTCTCGTATTTATATCAAAACGTTGACCAATATGCAAACATGCAAATGTCGCGCAACTGGACACAATAATTGAAAGGTGGGGCAGCTCTTCCCTTTGCAAATTCAGGAAAACGCAGCTCAAAAAGAGACCAGCAAGGTCAGTACAATACGTTTTGTCGCTTAATTAACCAGTGGATTGAGGCATCCTCTCTGTTTTCTGAGAGTGTGATTTTATAACAGCTTTAAGATTCCCTGCGGTGTCGCGATGGCAAATCAGACGTTCACATTTCTGTACATGTTATTTCGTACAATGCCCACATAAGAAAGGTTACATCACTTCCGCGCTAAATTGTCTGTCTTGCTTTATGTCTGGAATTTTTAATTAAATATAATATATCATTCCACGAAAACTAAAATGTATAAATGAATTATGTGATCGTGGTCGACGAATTTGCAATTATTATAAGACATTAACTGAACTAAAAAGGGATATTATTATTAAATACCGTTAAATACTTTTATAATTTTTATATTTTTTAATGCATAATACATATAGTAAATTCCAATTTATTTAATGCATGCCACATGCCCATTCACTTTTAATTGCATAACTCTTTATTTCATTTGCATGACAGGAATCCTCTCTTTTTGAGCATTAAAAGCAAACAAATTATTTTCATTGCGCAGTTGCCAAAAAATTCAACTTTATATGTGTTTGTCTTGTCGTGTATAAATGAATTATAGATCAAGTGATTAGAAATATAAATAGGTAGTATAAGGAATTCTAAAAATTTTAATTTTACAAAAGTGGAATTTTTTTTTTACATATAGCATAAATTTCGAGCCTTTTTGTATGGCCTTGGGTGGCGTCGGGCTTCGCATAATCGACGCTGAAAATTTCCCCTCGCGCCCACGCTATTTAAAATTTAAAGATTATAGCCAATCGGATTCTCCTATTGCTCCTGTCATCCCCACGTGATGTTGATTATTTTGTAAACATCTTTGGAGTGGAAAACATGGTTCGATGAGTTAAGAAATTATTATTTGTCGGCTAGTATCGGTAGTGAAGTAAATAAGAAGTGAGGAGGCCAGAGGGAGGCCACCCGGATTGATTCGTTTTATAACTTTCAATCCAATAAGAGGTAATATGAATGCATTTTTTTATAATACAAGATGTGATGTATAATAAGGTTGCTATGAAAAATACTTTTGAAATTCATTTCATTTTGAAGGTATCAACCACAACTGACAAGATTAAAAAATAATACTGAATTGCAATGCAAACTACAAATTTAAAAATAACCTTCTTTGTGATTTTCCTACCTTGGCTCTTATTGTTTGATGTCTCTGATGGACGAGGAATAAATGGAGGCCTTGATTGCGCAGGTTTGCCTTGTTTGTATTTTCAAATAATCTAAATAGAAACGAAAATTTAAAAATAATAAGTAATTTTTATCAAAACCAATTTTCATAATTTTTGTTTTCAGTTTGTACTGTGGTTCTTGGTCTCTCTATACAAGTTGCTCAAATTAATAACGAAACAATCGTCTCTGCGTCGACAAAACTCTGTTCCCTGCTGCCTTCAAAAGCTGCCTCAACTTGCATTAATATTGTTAATGAGATAGAGCCTGCTCTCCTCAGCAAGTACATAACTTATTATTAATATAAAGTTATTATTAAAGTGTGCTTTTTTAAAATTAATTTTTTAAGGGAACTGTTTGATGTAGTCACTCCAGACGTAATTTGCTATGGAGTTGGACTGTGCTACAAATCACCAGGGGAAAAGTACTGCCACCTTTTCCCTAAGCCAAATGTTTCTGGATTTCATAGTTCGGTGACAAAAGTGAAGGTTTTTTTTAAAAAAAAGTTGAATAATTTTTATTTTAAAATTAATATTTCTCATTGTAGGCTACGTTGAAATCAGAAAAACAGGGGTGGAACTTGTGCTCATTGCCTGGCATCAAGGATATCTGTGAAGACATAAATCGAAGCCTTGAGAGAATACAACCTGCCGTAGATGTTGATACTGATTGGTTCAGTACTGTGCAGGTTGTACAAGCAAAGTTGTTGAAAATACATCATTGATTGTGATACTTTATTTTATTTTTTAGTCCGCACGAGGTTCTTTTTGGCGAGGAAAGGACTGTGATGACACCGACACCGTCACTTACCCTGGTCGACAGCCGGTTCTTGGAGATGCTTTCCTGGACACAAACTGCAACGGCATCTTTGGCATTGATCCCAGCTCTGCGACAGCCTGGGAGACAATTCTATGCACAGGTGCCATTGGCCGAGGACTAATTTACATGGGTGATTCCGTGGGTGCGCATTTCCACTTCCCCGAAAGATGGATGGACCCTCTGCAAGTGGCGCAAATCAATCCATGGAAAATCCCAACTGAATTGGTGCAGAATGTAACTCAGTGGATTTTGAACGAAGGCGACTGGCCGCACTTGGGATTTGCCACTGGATATCAAAATAATACCCAACCTAGTCTTATTAAGGTGAACGGAATATCTTATATCATGTCGCTTAATATTTTATATCCAACATTTTTAATTTTCTTGGCAGGGCCCTGTAGATTCAATTTATCTTCGCATGCTTGCCTTAAACAGATGCAACCACCGTGATTATCAAAACCTGTCGAGAAATGGTGCAGCCACCAACACAGTACTTGCTTACATGCAGAGTGTAGCCAGAAACGCAACTAAGGACAGACCAGTCTTGTTCATTTACGGCCTATATGGAAACGATGTGTGCAATAAGTTAAATCAATTTATTTTTATCGAGGTAAAAATTTTACGATTGATATTATAGTGTCAAGGATACCGTGGCTAACATGACCACTCCAGAAGAGCTAAGGAAAAATGTGATGGAGGTACTGGAGTTTGTGGACACCGTTTTGCCAGAAGGCAGCCACGTTCTGGTGATCGGAATGGTAGACGCATCTTTCATCTACCCAGCGATGCATAAATTAATTCATCCCTTGGGAAGGCTCCACAATGATATCACCTACGAGAACCTCTACGATTGGTTTTCTTGCATGCAGATTGGCCCATGCAATGGTTGGATGACTGCAAATGAAACTCTCCGAGCAATAACCAGCAAGGTATTAGTCTTAAAAATAAGTCATGACAAATTTACACCCATTATTATTTTAGGCCTCAAAGCGACTGTCGAAAGAGTTGGAAAAACTTGCATCCTCTCAGACATTCAAGAACTTCAAACTGCACTATTTGGACAACCCCTTGGGTCAAGTCATGAAAGAGTGGGTGAGCCAAGGGCATGAGGTCTTCGAATTGATTGACCCGATTGACAGTCTTCACCCAAGCCAGGTAAAATATTTATAAAAAACTTAATAAGCATTAAAAAAATATTCTTATCAGATGGCTCAAACTTTAATAACAGACGTCCTATGGCGCAACATTATGGTAAAGTTCCCATACATTGTGGGGTCTGTAAACCCACAAAACAGCAGAATCCAAGAAATATTTGGGGATCAAGGTGGCCATTGATACTTCAGAAGTTGTGATAATTATTTTGCAGCAATAACTGTGCCAAAGATTATTAGCTTATTTAAATATGAATTAAAATAAGTTTCTTCCTTTGTTTTAAATTAATTAAGTGTTTATTTGAATGTAGTAACTACACTGCACCTCATTTTTTATTTTATTTACACAACAACTGTTCAACAAAGGGACAATAATGCATCGATTTTGGTGAAAGAAGTACGAGAACTTTGAACGGAATAGTGAAAATCTGTGGGCACCTGGGCCGATTTTGTTTTCCTGGGTGCTATTACATGGACTAATCCAACGGGTGGCAGAAGCATTCTGAAACGGCTGCTTATTCCTTCCACCTGTTGTTTTCGTAGTCGTATTTGGAGGTGAGGCCCTCAATGGGTTCAATTCTGAGGTCAATCATGCGCTGCAGCTGAGCCTGGACTCTATCTTCATCGAAGGTCACTGGCAGTGGCTTGTAGACTGAAAGATACAAAAAATGTAAATTAAAATGCAAGCTACTGTAACACAATAACAATAAAAACAAAGTTTCCATGATTTTCCGTACCAAACTTCTTCATGGCCATGTATACCCAGAGGGACAACGATGAGATGAGCAATGTAATACCAACAATACTCTTCCACTGGCCTGTGGGAGCCTTCATCTCGGCAAATGTCTGGCAGAAGCTAGCCCTGTACAGAGCCTTTTTCTCTTCAACGCTAAGTTTCTTCCAGTCGCCCTTCTCCTTCTCTCTCAATGCCAAGATGTCAGGGGTGTTCTCCAGGAAGCGGACTGCTGGCATGGGGAAGTCGACGCGGTCAGCATAGTTGATCTGGCCGTTGAAGCCATAGCCGACCACCTCCCGATTACCGGTCTTGGACACAACAGAACTCATGCATGCCTTCTGCAGTTTAGACGCCTGGCGCGCAGTCAAGCTCAGCAGTCGGTTTGCCATTTTCAGCTTAGAACAAAAATATAATTTTATTATTCAACAAAAAAATTTTTATGCAAAAATTTCACAATAATAAAAGGCTTGGTCTATTAAAAGAGGTATGTATAGGTAAGAGGTAATTTATCTTGCCCGGCGAGATCAATTCAGAAATTTGTACGATTGTTGTTCGATTTAATCCTTGTTATGAAAATCAATAGGCATTCTGGGCATAATGTTAAAAGATTGTCTTGGGAGGAAAAGTTCCTTAAAAATCGTCGTAATTACGTAAAATTTTACAGGCATGAAGAATAAATTTGGTAGTTAACATTTTTTTTTCTTAAATTTGATCGACAAGAGAGCTAAAAACATGCCGGCAGAGGTTTGCGGAGACAGTTGCAGAAGCACTGTCAAAGTGATCAAATGGCAATTTTACAAAATATTTACTGCTCTATAATAAGATGAAAACTTACACGAGCGGGATCAAGCAATTTAGATTAAAGCAACGCAGGAATTGGAAAGAAAGAAAAATTTAGCAATTTCCACTGACCTTCAGCTGCTATTGGGCCAAGATGGCGAAGGAACGATAGATGAGCCAGACACCGCTGGAGTCAAATGAAAACAATGAGGAAATTGTATTTATTTAAAAAATTGTAGCTAATTTTAATAGCATAAAAACTTAAAAATAACAATTTTAAGCTTATTGAAAGTTCTAAAGTTTAATATAGTGTATTTTATAATTTTTATATGCCAATAATTCCATTTGACTTCTGCACAAAATTATAAGAGGAGGGAGTTTTTTAAAAAGTTTGATAGGAAGTAAAAAATCTAAAATAATGAGAATATTGAGAATACTACACTACAATGAATCATCATCAAAATTCTTTTCTTGATGAGATAAAATATTTCATAGCATGGTGAAATATAAATTTTGAATTTTACTTTACGAAATGCATTTTTTTATTTCACTATTTTTCCATTTTGCTTTCTAGTACTCAAAATGAGCAGTAGGTGGCATTGTATGAGTGGAGTGAAAAAAAAACAAGTGAGATTCGACTCGGCCGACGTTCGCTGTCGCTGTCAAGAGTCGCTGTTCTCCTCTCCTCGCCCTTCGCGTTTCGGTGCATAATTTTGCATAGCTGGTTCGCTGACTGACGGCCTGCTGGCCGTGTGTGTACATGTACATTATCCTCTGTAATGGCACAGAAATTACTTATATTGCGCTCTTCGGCTCGGGCTTTCGGCGTCACTAGTGCAAGGTCATTCGGCACATCCACTCAGTTGAAACAGAAGGTGTTTATTGCCAAAAAATTTATTGCTCGCCTTTCAGACTGCAAATCGTTGCAGAAGCAGAACCGGTGCAAATTAATCTCGCTCATATAAACAAAATTTCAATCCATCTGTCTTGCCACCAATTCCATAGCGGACGTCGGTTGCAAGACGATGGCTTCTCTTATTATGTTAAGTATTTTATAAAATTTAATCTAAAATTTGATTTAATTTCAGAGCGGCCTGGTTTTGGGCTTGTACGCCGAAGACGAAAGTGGGCAGTCGATTCTTACTCCTGCAGGGAAGCGTTTCGACCAATCTGTCGATGGCCAACTGAGCAAATTGATCCAGAGGTTTGCTTGAACTCTCCCGCAATTTATGCAGAATACACAATAATTTTTAGATTTATTTTACAAATTATAACCAAAAATTGCCTTAATTTGATTATTTTTAGTTATGAGTTAGAACCAGTCAAAATAGCGGTATTGTGGTGTACAGAGTTTTTTTTTTCCAAATTCCAGATACATATAAATATATTTTAAGCGAAGTTTCTTTCCATTTTTGCGTGCTTTTTTGAAGCAATCAAATTTAAAATTGAAATCAATCCATGTCTCTCGCAATGCACGCGGCATCAAGTTTATTTTTCTTGATTTGTATTGATTTCTTTCTCGAACTTGATTGTTTCAGACACGCTTAAAAATGGAGGGACGATCTACAACACCGAATGCTTTGGTGGAAAAGTCGCCAGCGTTGTCTCGCGCTGGCTCGTCCACCTCGTTACGTTCGCGCGCGAGCAAACGACAGCATGGTGGATGCTCGTCTTTAAACGGCAGCCAAGGAAATTTGACGGCCACTGAACTCATGTGTCCAGTGTGCTTTGAGTTGCTGGAAGAAGCGCACATTACACGTTGTGGTCACACATTCTGCTACCGCTGCATTGCTAAAAGTCTCGAGTCAAGTGGCCGCTGTCCAAAATGTAGCTTCGTAGTTGGCGGAATCGACCAAGTATGACAAGTTTGAAATAATCCTTTATTTAGAGCTAACTTATGTCTTAAATACAGGTGTTCCCCAATTTTCTGCTCAATGACCTGGTGGCAAAGCACAAAGTGTCAGTGGCAGCTGCACAGGCCTCTGCAAGCGTTGGTGCGGACGAGACTGCGCTGAAAGAATTTGTGACCACGGAGTCACACCGGATGACCCTTCCAGACGTAAACGCCGTCTTGGAGCTGCTGAACCACAGAAAACAGCTGCTCGAAGCAGAAACGTGCGCTGCTCAAAATAGACTTTTAAATGAGTTCCTGCGAAATTTGCTGCAGCAAAAGGAAGAGCAGCTTGTGCGTCTTTCGAAGGAAGTGTCTCTAATCAAGAAGGATATTGGTGAAGTTGAAACAATACTTCGTGATGTCGAAGAGCAAGCGGGAAAACTGCCTAGGATGGATTCAGAAGAGGAATCTGACAACCCACAGCTCCCTAAGTTGGAATGTCCAACGCTCACAGCTAGAAGAAGACGCATGCATGCACATTTTGATGATTTTGTTCAATGCTACTTCACTTCCCGAGCCAAGGAACTGGTCTTCGGCGATGATGACACAAACTCCAATACTAAAGGATCAGGTATGCAAAGGAACTTAAATCTGTTTGAATGAAATTTTAAAAATCAATGTATTTTCTAGGCCTAGACCTATTCAGGGAGAATTTAGTCAAGTTTTCAAGATACAACGCCCTCAAACCAATTGCTTCTCTTAACTACTCAACTGGCCTGTACAATAACTCGACCATTGTCTCTAGTATTGAATTCGATAAGGATGACGAGTTGTTTGCCATTGCTGGTGTAACGAAACGCATCAAAGTCTTTGACTATGGCTCTGTAATCAGAGACGTTGTCGATCTGCACTACCCTTGTGTTGAGATGGTCTCCACTTCCAAAATCAGCTGCGTTTCTTGGAACGCATATCACAAAAGCACACTTGCCAGTTCTGACTATGAGGGCACAGTCACAGTATGGGATGCCTGCACTGGACAGAAAACAAAGACCTTCCAAGAACACGAAAAACGCTGCTGGTCAGTGGATTTCAACCACGTGGACACCAGACTGATTGCCTCCGGGTCTGATGATGCTAAGGTAAGGAATCACATAATTAATTTTAAGTTCATTGTTATAAAATAGGAGGAAGTTAATTAACCTTTTTTAATTTTCAGGTAAAGCTTTGGTCCTTGAACGTGGAGCACTCAATTTCATCACTTGAGGCCAAAGCAAACGTATGTTGCGTCAAATTCAACCCACGTTCTTCATGCCACTTGGCATTTGGCTCTGCAGACCATTGTGTCCATTATTATGACCTTCGCTCAACAAAGGAGCCACTGGCTTTGTTCAAAGGGCATCGAAAGGCTGTGTCATATGTCAAGTTTTTATCCAACGAAGAAATTGTGTCCGCTTCCACGGATAGTCAGCTCAAGATGTGGTCTATCACTAAACCCCACTGCTTGCGTTCCTTCACAGGCCACATCAATGAAAAGAATTTTGTAGGCCTTGCCACAGATGGAGACTATGTAGCTTGCGGCTCAGAAAACAATGCACTTTTTGTTTACTACAAAGGCCTAAGCAAGCAACTGTTCAGCTTCAGATTTGATGCCAGTCACGGCATATTAGACAAGGAGCGCAAAGAGGAAGACGCGGGAGAGTTTGTTTCTGCCGTCTGCTGGAAAAGGATGTCAAATGTTGTTGTGGCAGCCAACAGTCAGGGAATTATTAAGATTCTGGAACTTGTGTAAAAGGTTGCAGGTGTTTTCTTCATAATTTCTCATTGGTGCTTAAACCTGATTGAGAGTAGTTAACAATCTGGACCTGAAGATTGTGGTACCAGGAAATCATGTTTTCCCTCCTAAGCAATAGCCAATCAAAAAGCGAGTCCGATTTTCTCCAAATATTTTCTTTGGCTAGAAACTATTTAAAAGATTTTGAGTTTTGCGGCAATTTATTTTAAATTTTAAGACAGAGAAAGAAACTCCAAACTCATCATTTTTTGACGCTTTCATTATAAGTAGATTAACATGTGTGTTGTGAATGGCCTATGTGAGAAGCGGCTCGAGATGCTGAGAGCTGCTTCAGCCAAAAAAATAATCCCACCTCCCCTGCTTGACCTGTTGTAATTTGATAAGCTTCCAATTATGGAAGTAATCATTGAAGTAAACTCAAATATTGAAATTGTTATGATATCCGTTCCATATGATGCTTTAAAAATTTCAATTTTTTTTTTTTTAATTCAAACTTAGTTGCACAGCACTTGTCTTAATTGCATCCACTTGGATCACCTTTGTAAGTAGTTCATATAGACAGTTTGAGACCGATATGTAGAATATATAGATGATGTGAGAATTTTATTAAATTTGCGGAATACAAAGTTGTTTGAATAGCATTGAACAATTTGAACATCACAGCACTTATTATCATGTGGTGTCATGAAGTGTCCGATTCTGCCACATGAAAACAATGAACCATTATATTAAAAGAACCTCTTCGTAGCAACAGAATTTTTAGAGGCTGTTCTTGTGCATGCTACAAATAATGTCTTATTGTGCTCTTTGAATTGCGGGTATAAAGTCAAGTTCTGTCCAAATCAATAATTTAGGAGTTTTAGGATTTAAATTGTGAAATATTTCTTGGCTCTGTTAAATTTTCGGAAATGGAAACACAAAATAAGCAAAATCATATGAAGTCATATTATCTAGATACATAGCCACCATATATTAGAATCTTGATTACAATGACACAGTTTCACCTTGCTCGCACCACAATTCTTACAGTTGACCACAAAAATTAGCTCAAATGCAATTTTACAATTTTCTCTTAGGCCGTAGCTTAGGAAACCCATGCGCACACATCATTGCAAGCTTGGGAGTTAATTAGTTAAATAAGCAATGATGAAAGGTTGATTTTACTGTCCATTAAGACTTAATTTACTTGTTTTTGTGTTTCAAGATGAACTTGGATCAAGTTCTTGCACACTATTATAATTTTATAACTTTTCATGATTGCAGTGAAACGTTTTTGTAAACTATGTATATTTTCAACCGTGGAGTTTAAATAGAGAATTATGTTGAATGGGAAAACAAATTCTAAATCGAGCGGCATAATAAAGATTTATTTGATATGTATAGAACTGAAACTGATATTATTAAAAATCTTTAATGTCATTCCACGTATATCAATGTGCCAAAATAAACACGGAGAAGGCAACATTAAATGTGAAATAGCTATTGAAAAATGTTTTCTGTGTTATTTGGTGTAAATCTCATTTTATGAACTGCAATAAAATGTTTAAAAGAGATTCTTTTCCTTCTTGCGTCAATTTTCCTTTTTCTAAAGTATATTTTAACATTATTTACGTTTTACGTAACAGTTTGATGCCAGTAATTATAAATAAAGCTAAAATATTTTTTTACCATCCAGCTCAGGGCCTGTTCTAAAGAAGGGAAAAACTCGAGTTTTCTTCGGCCTTCCTGGTTACTCCGCGGTTGCTGTTGCTGGCCTTGGCAAAAAGGGACTTGGCTACAATGATCAAGAAAACATCAATGAAGGACTAGAAGCTGTGAGAGCTGCAGCCTCTGGTAAGAAATATCAACTAAAAATCAACATCATACTAATTTATTGCACAGCTGGTTGCAGGTCCCTTCAGGAGTTGGAAGTGGCAAAAATCGAAGTTGACAGTTTCGGTGATGCGGAGGCTGCAGCAGAAGGCGCCAATTTGGGGGTATGGAAGTACCAAGGCCCAAAGAGCAAGAAAGCAAAGCCGCTGCCTGTTATCGAACCTTTTGAAAAGTCTGGCACTAACTGGAGCAACGGAGTTGCAAAAGCAGATGCCCAAAATTTTGCTAGAAGACTGATGGACACCCCAGCTAATTTAATGACTCCAACTATTTTTGCACAAGTTGATCTTACACTACTATAATAATAATATATATACTCATAAATACTTTGAAACCTTCTCTGCTATCAGGAGGCCGCATCTGTGTTGTCCAAAGTTAATGTTGAAGTGGAAATTCATGATCAAAAGTGGGCTGAGGAGAAAAAGATGGGGTCTTTTCTTAGCGTGACCAGAGGGTCAGACGAGCCACCACGCTTTTTGGAGATGTCTTACTTTGGAGCAAGCAACAGCCTCAGCAAACCTGTAGTGCTTGTTGGTAAATTATTTATATTTATGTTTTTCCAATTATCCTTTAGTGATTTATGTTAAAAGGGAAGGGAGTGACTTTTGACACTGGAGGAATCAGTCTGAAACCGCCTGGAAAAATGGACGAGATGAGAGCAGACATGGGTGGTGCAGCCTGTGTAGTGGCCACTTTAAAGGCAGCAGCGACGTTGAAAATTCCCATAAATATCAAAGGCAATTACGCAAAAAATCATTAATAATTTTTCACAACAACATTCAAGTGCAGGTCTTGTTCCTCTGTGTGAAAATATGCCAAGTGGAAGAGCAACAAAACCAGGCGATGTAGTCACAGCAATGAACGGCAAAACTATTCAAATCGACAACACAGATGCTGAGGGAAGACTTATTTTAGCCGATGCACTGTGGTATGCTGCCCAAAGCCCAAATAGAGTAATTGTTGACATGGCTACCCTCACTGGTAAAATATTAAGTTTGGTCAAAGTATGCAATTTTCATAAAACTTTTTAGGAGCAATGACTGTTTGTCTTGGACAGGCAGCTGCAGGGGTGTTTTCGAATTCAAATGAAATGTGGGAAGAACTCCAAAAAGCAAGTTGCCAAACAGGCGACCGTGTTTGGAGATTCCCTCTGTGGAATTTCTATACTAAGCAAATATCAGGTAATACAATTAAAGAATATAGTTCCGATTCTTTACCTAATTATCTGACTTGTATTACAGAAATCCCTGGAGCCGATTTGAATAACATTGGGAAGGGTCCTGGAGGTGGTTCTTGCACTGCTGCTGCCTTTTTAAAGGTGATTAGTGACATTATTCCTTTTAAAATTTAAATCCAGCACAAAATTTTGAATAACCTTTTAGGAGTTTGTTGGGGATTCTGTGTGGATGCATCTTGATATCGCAAGTGTCATGTCGTCATCTGGATCAGAAGTTCCTTACATAAGCAAAGGAATGGCAGGAAGACCAGTCAGAACTTTGATTCAATTTTTGGCCCAACTAGGTGGCAGTAAATGAAAGCTCAAATTATCTGCCAATATGATAGTTAAGTTTATTTAAGTTCACAATAATTCAGCATTTTATATGTATGGGTGCTTTTAAGTCCGCAGTCATTACTGCACAAAAATCAATCATTTATTTCCCATAATGAAACAAAGTTTGTTCAGTTAATAATACCTATTTTAAGCGCAATGACTGTGTAACGAGTGGACTTTTGAAATTAACCATCGTAGACTTGAAATTTGCATAGAAAATGTCATCTTGCATTTTAGCATTGGAAATTTATTTAACAAGCAAGTTGCTGAGCTAGTTATATACAAAATTATAGCTAAAATGCATAAAAATTATAAATTATCACATGATAACTTTTCAGGTAGGGGAGGGGATTGTGAGATAAATTTTTGACTGTGCAATTAACTTTTCTTTTCAGTGAGTGTAGTTTGAGTTTATGCCCCACTTTGTCATCGCCTACATTATGTTTAGTTGAGCTCAGATTTTAGTGCCAAAGTTATTAGTTCAATTTCTCCACAATAAATTTTTAATCCCAACTCAACTTGTATTGATGCAACCCCAAAAATTCTTAACATTATGTGCTGGGCTGACTAGCAAATAAATGGTCTAGAAAAACATGCAAAGCAAATAATGGCTACAAATTGAACAAAAAATCATATAGGCAAAATGGGCAAAATCTACGAAAGGGCACAAATCAGCTACCTCTTTTGATTGAGAGAGCTGGTTACAAATTTTGGGACAATTGGGCTACAAGATCACAGTCTCTTGTGTGGCGCATAGTACACAAAACACAATGCTCATAGTTGATATAATAAATCACAATTAAAAGCCTAAAACCGATCATATTTACAGCGTTGACTTTTAGTATAAATTGAAGTTTGTCTGGGCACTGAATGAACTGGCCAAGTGTTAGCACCATGAGAAAATTGGATTCCTCTTTTGGAACTTCTGGGTGAATTGGTTGCTGAAGTCTCTGAAACGAGTTGTTGTTCCCACGTGGCCTTTAGATCTGAATGGGAAAAATGATATAACAAAAACAAAAACTTGCTTCATGACAAATACCTTTCCACAATGACTGCTGGCATTTGCACCAACTGCACAGGACTCTTTCCATCTTTCAGAGCCTGTGTCAAGTTGAGGATTTGGCCTCTCATCACTGACATTTGCTTCTCAAAAAGATGTCGATCGAAGCCTTTATCTTGCTGCAATTGAATTCTCAAATAATTTTAATTTAAAAAAAATCCACTGAAAGCAACCTTGAACAGAATAAAGAGGTCGTCGCAGAGGTCCTGGACAAAATTGAGGTCAGAGAGTAAAGGCAGGACGAGCTCACGTGTTTCGGCACTGAAGGGCACTTTGGCCTGAGGCAACCATGCCCAGTGATAAGGATAGGCACGCCACGAGTCCGGGTGCTTGAATGGAAAAGCCAAGCCATTGTCTATGGCTGCGATCAGGATTTGCTGACTTCCAGACCAACTCTGCTAAACAAAATTCAAAATAATATAATTAAAAATTCATAATTTTTAACTTGTATTATATTTTTTAAACAATAATATTTATAAGTTTTCTGGTATCCATAACTTGATAGAGGAAAGAAATAATTACCGTTGTTTCTCGCATTTCCCCTGGTTGGGTTTGCACTTGTCCATTCTTTGTCGTAGGGGAGTCATATCTGATGAGCCAGTTGTCATTTCCACGGTCCGTGTTCCTGATAATGTAATCAAGAACGACCAGCCGTTCAAACTGTAATTGGAATTGACGTTGGACATCCACGTTTGGTGGCTCACTTTCAAAGCGCCTCAGCCAGAAGTCGGCATCCTTGTAGCCATCAACAAACAATTGGAATGAACCCACCTGTTGGATAATATTCAATGATAAATTTTGATCTACTTTCCAATTTAATCAACCGACCTTTGGCCTCAGACCAATTCGGTGGAAGTGGCGACCAACATTGGGGAAATGCTTGTCAATGTTGCGCTTCACTTTAGCTTTTTGACGGTCAATTCGAGAATAGTTGAAAGTTTCGCTAACCAATTTCACTACCTAAACAATGAATAAAAAGCGGTTGATTATTCTACTTCAAAGTAACCGATCATTATTATTAACATGCATTTGAAAGTCTACTTAAGAAATTACCTTTGTAGTTGGTACAACTTTGAGGCCAAGCTTTGTGTCGACAAGGCTAGCTCCAGCCTCGGACAGATAACCCTGATTAGGAATAAGACACGATCGGCCAAAGCAGCAGGGACAGCACAATTTGTGCATCCACTTGGTCCACTTTGGGTTCAGACGGCCATAAGGCTCCTCATCTTTTGGCTTGAACACTCCCACAATTTTCTAAAATAGGTGGGATTAAATTTATGCTTTAAAATATCATACAAAAAGTATTTAATGCTCTCACCCCTTCAACATTTTTAACAAAGTAACTTCCACTTGAGCCCTGATAAATCCGCTCAGGCAGAACGCCCCTATCCATGGCATTTTCAGTATTTTTTAATAGTTCCGAAAAAACTGGGTCATCTGTAAGAAAAGATTAAAAAAATTTCCTATTTTAATAAAATTTCAATCGAAAAAGGTATATTATCAAAAATAAATTCAGTAAGTCAAATATTATAATATTGAAACCGTTAATTTATGTTAATTTTAATTAAATACATAGTGATTGCAATTTGGAAAGTTTTTATTAAGCAATCAAGCAAGTAATAGTTTCAAGGCTGCTATAATCATTGATCCGCAGTAATTATAACCGATAGATCAAGCTACTGCAAAAAAGCCAATTTAGAAAACAAATCATTTGCATTGCTAATTTAATTATTGGATTTGAAATTATGATTTTAATTTTATATTAAGACATTATAAAGTATTTTAATAAATAAAGGCATTTAATTGACTAGAGCAAACTCCTTATAAAAATTCCTCCTTTTTTAATTTTTGCTTTGGAAATTGAAAGTATGTAGTAGTGAAATATGTTGTTATCTAGTGTGTTTGATTTTTATAATTGGAACACTTGAATCTCAGCAGTACCCGGAAAATGGTTGAATGTGATGTCCGACTCGGTTCGTCCGAGCAGGGGCTGCGATTCCCTAGTGTGCCTCGAAGGCGAGTCCATAGTCGTCTGGAGGCCGTTGTTGCCGTTGAAGGCCACAGACGGTACTCCTGCTTCTGGCCCTACCTCCTCGTCGACCGAGCTCGAGGAGGAGAGCAGTCGTCGGCCCGAAATGGTTTCGTCCGGGCGGCAGTTGTTGTCTACGCAGGCCGGGTCTGTCCGGCCAGGACTGCTGATGGCGCGTCCCGAGGGAGGCGACGAGGCTGATGTCGAAGCTTTCTGCGAGTCCTCGGCGGGCGAGCAGCGGCCCTCACTCATTCAGCGCCTCGCGACTTGCTCGTGGCCAGCGCTTGAAAGAGCCCTTGCTAGGCCCCACTTGTTTGCAGACGTTGGAAAATGTGCGGGTTTCTGCGACGTAGAATGCAGACTTGACGAGCAGTTTATTATCTCCCTTCGTCTTTCACCTGCCAGCCATCACGTGAATCATATGGGAATTATGGGACAGGGGCAACAGGGAGGGGCAGAGGTGGGGGTGTGCCTCGCTCCGTTCAGTCAGTGGCGCTAAATTCAATCTCGTTTCTTTTTCATGAAATGTAAACATTTTCGCAAAATTATGTTTGCTTGATAATATGTCAACTTTTTTCTTTTCTGCTGTTTCCCTAAATAATTAAAAGGAATTTTAGCATATTGGAAACACTTTACTCTGACAGCATCATGGAACGTCATCCTGTGGTGAATTTGAATTTATTTACAATCTATGTATTCACGTCTCATCATAATTTAGAATTTATTATTTATATTTTTCAGAGGCTTGAAATGAATAAGCACGGCTGCAGCAGCTCAAAGAAAATTGATCAGGCATTGATCTTGTACATGTATCTTTGTGAGGGTATGTATTTAATTATGATTGAACTGTATCATTAAAAATTTTAATGTCATTTATGCTTATACCACACACACAAAATGGTTTTAACTTTTTATTTTTATAAAGCAATGTAATTACAAAAAAAAATTATTTTTCTAGAAATGCGAGCCTGGGAAATTACGCATAGCTATTCTCCTGACCATGATCTCATTTACATTAGTGCAAAGCTTCAGGAATCATCTAATTTCAACGTCTTTGTTCCGGTGGACTTGAACGCAGATGTTTCACCTCAAACTCTGTGCGCGTTGCAAAATGAATTAGGTGATGTCTCAGAAGGTGATCTGAATCATTCTAAAAGAAGGTAAAAATTGAAATAAAATAATAAAGGAATTTAAAAAAATTAATAATCATTCTAATTTTTGTGTTGTTTATTTGCAGTCTGAAATTAGCTTTCATCGGTTCAGATTCCACAGTTCTGATCCATGATATGATCCAAGGAGTTGCTCCTTACGTTCCGAGGGAGAGAAAAAAAGTGGATCCGGAAACTTTACTAGCGCCTGCTGTTTTACGTTATATAAATGAGCAGGAGGAATCCATAGACGAGTAATGAGTGAACTTTTCGGAAGTATTAACACGCTGTATTAAAATTTGTACCTCAGATTGTGGGAATCTAACGCCCAGATGTGATCATACTAATTAGTAATTAGCTGTAATTATTATGCTGAAGACAGGCTTTTTGTATTGATTTAAAAAAAAATGAGAATGCATATCCGTGGGCTTCTAAAATTATCTGCATAAAATGTTTCTTGAAGTAAAAAATAAAATAAATTTTTTTTTAATACTAGAGGGAATGTGTTTAATTAAGAAACGACCAAACTTTTTATACGTGATTTTATTTCTATAATTCTATACAAAGCTTGAAATAGTGATTATTCAATGCAATAGAGTCAGCAAATTACAAAAAAAGCTTAATAAAACATTGGTCAAAGTGTGCATTTGACAGGTAAATCTAAAAGTGACTAAGAGTTGTTAATCTCTAACAATTATTTCTCAGTTAGACAAAGTTAAAAAAGAGAACCATTTCATTGTAAATGGACAAAAGCTTACATTTTATAAATTTTTGGCTCTAGAATAGAAATATATAAACCAAGCCTCAATATTCAGATGAGTATGTTTACATGATAAAACAGCGAGTGGAATGTTTCTATAATTTTTCTGACTCACCGAAGTTTTGATAATAATGTAGTTTGCCAAATAAGACAGTGACTATTCAAAAAATTTCTAAGATGCTATGCAAGCAGTAACAAAAACATTTTCACTTTCTGACAAGTGCGGTTTTCAATTAGAAAAAGGGTCAGTCTGTGTGATTCGGCTGCAGTTTTTTACTCCCATCCCACCCACGCCTTCAGGCATTGACACTTGTACATTATGGATTTCAAATCACAATTAACCATGAAATTTGGAGACATCTACACAGTTTTCATTTGAAGAAAAGAATTTGTCGAGAACAATTCAAATCTTACGCCTACAAACACTTATGAATGCAGCTCAACTACATTATGCGTTTAATTGCATAAGAAAAGCTTTGAACAGGGGTAGAAGATACAATATACAAAATTCACTGCTGGCTAATGGTATCAAAATAATTTATAAAAATTTGCATATTTCTTGGCATCATGATTGAAAAATTAATCAAATACATAGACAATTTGATTTAACTATTGGTTCTTTCGGTTCCTATTTCAATAAATTATTATCATTCTAATTATCAAAGCAGTTTTGTGAAATTTAAACTACTAATCGGAAAATCCCTATACCAGAGATGTCTGAGGTCACAGAAAGATGAGAGCTCCTTAATGAGGTCAAAGTTGAGTGATCGGTAAATTAATCTACTGACAAGGGCAAAATCGTCAAGCCTCCCTCGATTGCTGGGGCTCTTTTGCAGATCCAAACGCTGGAAACAAACAATGTAAGCAATTTACAGAAAATTCAAAGCTATCGGTAAGTTACCCAATGCCGGTGCCAAGGAGGAATGAGATAACATTTGTCAATACCAGGGTGTACAACACTTCACGTGAAAACAGTGATGTTTTGCCAACTTTTGCATGCCTAATGCTGTACGAGCGACGGACCAGTGGAGGTGTAGGGTGTCTAAATTTCCACTCCCTTCAAAGAACATTGAATCAAGGTTAGGCTCATATATTTGGAACACTTTCGAGTTAAACTCACTTTGGAGGTGTCTGGTCAGGTCGGCTGCTCCAGTCCCACACCCAGTCGGTACTCTTTGCTTCCTCTAGTTCCTAAAAAAAAAATATAATCTAAAAAACAGAAAACAAAATAAATAAAAATACCAACCTGATTTATGTAATATCGGCTGTGGAGCTGATCCTCATCACTTGATAATTCATTATTGGGGCTATTGGGAGGCGATTTTGGACTGAAATTTTTCAGAAGAAATTTTAATTTTGAACATACAGTTTTCTAAGCAAGGACTCACCTGCCCCTGGGGGATCCTTTTCGGGACGAAGCAATAGACACCCTGGCTGAGCTCTGGTTGCTCTCTCGCTGCGCTTCACGCAACAGACGCAGGTACTCTGCGTCAGCGCACAGAGGCGACGGAGCCATCAGAGGGGTCGGAGTTCCTCGTTCGCCAATGGCAGGCAGCTGCTGCGGCACCGTGGTTGAGGTGCTCGACACATCCAGCTGCACCCATGACTCTGCAACACCAGCTATTTATCATTAGAAAAACAATGGTGTTGCAACTCATATTGAAAAAAAATCTGCAAATTTTAGTGGAAAGTAAGAGAGTACACAAAAAAAGTATAACAAAAATTGTAATTTTAAATTAAGATTTTTTTATATTATTACTTCATTCTATTTTGAGGATCTAGCAAGATTTTTATAATCTCTTCCCTTTATTTAAATATATGCTGATTTCTTTTTTAACTAATGTTTATTCTTCATTTTTACTTTAAGGCTTCAATGATTGTTCACAATTTCTAAAAAAAGCTCATGGAACTCAAACCAATAACAGAAAATTGGCCAACAACCAATGGTTTGTTAACTGAGTATTTTAATTATGAACGCCTCTGGTATTTCAAGCAGAGGGTTGGGTTATTTATTTCTTCTATAGTTTTCTTTCTTTCTTGCAAACAAAAAGCCCACTCGCTCATCCTGTCTTATTTGCCGCTGGAGCTGACAGACACTTTTCAGCTGTGTAAAATTGCAACACTTGAAGACGGAGAGCCAAAGAGAAAAAATCTTTCGTCAAGCGATATGCACATGAGAATAAAGCGGCGTCGGCTGTGAGACACCCTTCCAACTCATTCCCTCTCATTCATCCTGCCATGGGCCAGCAATCTGTGGATTTATGGTTGCCACCGAGGGCGTTAACCTTTTCATATGGTAATTTAGTTCAGCAGAGGAACACACACTGCGGCACTTGGTACATGCAAGGATATTTTTTTACTTGGTCGTTTGCTGAATTAAATTCTAAAATTAACCTACTGTGGTTGGGAGTATTTCCGACAAGCATTGATTCGCTTCTCTTATCTTTATTTTGTTTTATTTTAAGTATTCAAATTTCAAATACAACTTTTCTTTTTCACTTACTTAGGAACAAAAACATGGAGTAAAAATAATTTAAACATAATTTAATTTTTAATTTTAGTTTGACTCTAAAAGGCAAGAAATTATTGTCCTATACCACGCTTTCCAGTGCATTAGATCATCTCGCTATTGAGCAATAAAAATCAAGACTAGAAAGAAATATGATACCTGACAGGAGCGTTGAATTGCAGAAATGAAGACGCACAGAGATCTTCTAATTAATATATGCAAAGAAAATGTATACACTGACACAAAGAGTGTCTGCTTATTGCGATATAAATTATTCATTATTTATGCATTGATAAAGCTTGGTCTCACGACTTTTTCTTACAATCAGGACAAGTTGGTAATAAAATCAAAGCCATAGAAACTCGTATTACAAAAACAACTTTAAAAAATATAAATTTAATTTTAAAGCACTTGTATCAAAAATTAAAGACAAAATTTATAGTAATTTTGTAACAACAAATTTTACAAAATCCATGGCCGCAATTAATGCGACAAATGTTCGAGCCGCGACTGTGTTTGTAATTACGACGAGAGCAGGTAAACAAACGCGGAAGCCGTTCCTCCTTGTTTGTGCGATTCTGAGCTTGCAAACGAACAACCTTGAGTGGCTCAATGGCCGGGACGGCGGCGCAATTGTCGAGACCTTGGCCTTGCCGTAGGGGTGAAAAGGGTGTCGCTTAAATTTCAATTACGCATTTTGGACTTTGGCGCCAGGCCACCGAATTTCCTCGGCAAAAGCATGCATTTGGCACGAGTCGATCGCACGATAAAAGGCCAAGTGTCAGAAAGACAAAGCGAACAATAATTGCCGCGTCTGCGGTTGAAAGAAATTTAAACCCCACAAGCTATTTTTCATTTGCTCTCTAAATGCAAAAGCTGTGGAAAATATTTGCGGCGATAGTCATAACATGCATCGCAGGTATTTCCAGCTAAATTTAGCACGTTTCTCGCAAGTCCGTTCGCACTTTTTGCGCCACTCGTCGCGCGCGGCAACGAACTTTCCTCGTCGTTGCTGCGGTGGTTTGATAACACGGGCTGTCAAGAGGGAGATAAAGAAGGCAAAAATGGGGTTTTGTTTCAGTCACGCGAGCAAAGCAATCAATGCGACTTGAACTCCATCGGAAATTCCCAAAATAGATAATGCTTTTATAAAAAGAATAATTTCACAAGGGATGGATGCAACAGGTTTTTGCGTCGTTTCTATAAAGAGACAAGTAATAATAAATCGATGGTTGCTGGAGAACACGCCGAGTTGCAGATTCATTTCAAGAACTGCGCAATTCCGCACACCTACGCAGAATATTTATTCTGACCTCTGCCAAATGAAGCTCAATCTAAATTAATTTTAAAATTTAAAATTTAAAAAATGAAATGCCAAAATTGTTAAGTTTAAAGTTAAGAAAAGGGGAACAAATTGTAAATAAGCAGATTTTTTTAGACTGGTTGATTTTACAAAACTTAAAAACTTGTCCATCCAATTTTATTTTTAGTGCCTAATCGTGACGTCAAACCGCAATACTTGAAGCAAAATTTTTTCAGTTCCGGCATGCAAGCAAGTTGTTTAATGAGTATGTTGTTGGCAAGCGAATTTTTTAGTAACTCGAACTAGCCAAGTAAAAATGAGATAAGACTACCTATTGTTAACAAGAGTAGATGGATTTTTAATCCTGCTTGATTTGATATTTTACAGCTAGCAAGATAAAAAAAAATGCTGTCAGTAACTACGAGTAAAATTTAATTTGGTGAAATTCGCTTTACTTCAAAGAGATTCTGTCCTCCTTCAAAGAGGCGCCTTTTATTTTCATTAGCTAAAGAAAGACTGACACACAAATGTTAGCACCACCACCTGCTTGCCAATCGAATGCAGTAAGGCTACCTTTTCGCGACGCCACACTCTTTTGCGTCACTAATTAATTCACAGATGTGGGTCAAAAAACCTCTTCAATGCTAGAACCGAATTAAATTTGATTATTAAAGCGAACGTTAATAGTTGAACAAACTTGAAACTAAAATAATTGTGCCCCCAATAATCTGCTTCTTTGTGACGAATCTCAAGGTTATATTGGAAAGTAAAATCGCGAGAAAATAAAATTTATATAAAGCTTCATATCAGTCTTAAGTTTAAATTAAAATTTCCTACAGGCACTTGAAGAAATTTATCACGTCTTTACGGCTAAGAATAGCTACAGATTTTACGTTATGAGAAAAATAACCACACAAAAAAGGTCCACTGATTTCTACAAAAAAGTGCAACCGATCAGCTGAGGTGGCGTCTTTTTCTGTTTTGTTTTTCTTCAGGCGCACACACACATGACTCATTTTGATGTTTACTAACAGAGACGGTACGCACCTTAGTTGCAAGAATTGTGCCTCATGCAGGTGTGATTTCTTTGATAAGGCGCTAAACAACTCATTTAGTAAGCGATAATTGAGCGTGGATAACAAATCTCCGAATTGATCGCTTCTTTCCACAAGTTTATAACGAGCTCAAGCCTCATGCACATAACTGTATAGGCGGCGATGATGCTACAAAAATAGTCGCTATTTATGGAATGAACGCGTCGACGTGCTTCTGCTTAGCAACAAATTGAATTTATCCCAAGAAAGAAACAGCTTCGGCTCATTTGTGGCGATAAAACACAGCCGCCGCGCGATTTTCAATTGCGTGCTTTGCCTGGTTAATCGCAGACGCGGCAAACAAGTTTGGCTTGAGATGGCGCAGAATAATATAATATGGAAACGGTTTGTTTCTCTTTATGGAAAAGGAATTTAGCATCTTTCTGCGCCACTAACAATGACCGCTAAATTCATTGAATCCTGTTCTATAGGTAAGAGGTCCGTTAGAAGACAGGAAAAACTACAAAAAATTAATTTAATCAATTAATTAAACAATTAATTAATGTAGTGTCTGAGATGTAATGCAGTAAAAATAAATAAATTTAAAAACATTTAATAGTTACGTCACCTACATAAAAATAAAATAAAATTCAGTATGACAGACACAAATATTTTATTTTCCTTCAAATGCGTTTATTTTTTATATCATTTTCACCAAACTTATGCAACTAAGTAAGTTACATAATCCTACGTTGACTACTAATCGTTTTTAGAGAAGTTTTTATCAGCTCATTTTACTGATTGTTGGAAGGAAAACATCAAGAAAACATTATTCAAGTGCACTTGGAGGCTGTTTTGACGTTTTGAGTGACGCAAACGGCTCGAGTGCTGCTTCCACGCGCAGCAGATGAAAATTTCCACCCCAATATTCATGCACTCACTAACTTAGTCAGCTTCATTTATACCCAAAGAAACACCCAACAAAAACGAAGCCGTAATTTCCCTTCGGGACAAAATGTGGCGTAAAATATCTGTGGCGCGTGGTGACGCCGTTTCTATAGATACTAATCAGGCAGGGGGAGAAGAACAAACGTCACTCTTTGGGACATCTTCCGATTTCTCTGGCGCAGCTTCATTATTATTTGCTGCTTGACTCATCGCACAAGTAATTAGCGTTGGAGTGCGATCATAATAATAAATATTTTGCCGCCGCTAAGCAAACTTTTGATTAATCATTAATAGCAATTATTTATGTTTTTTTCCGGTTTATTCTAGACAATTCAAAATTGACTTTAATAGATCAAAATGAGACTTGCTTTCAAAATTAAAAAAAGAAAAGAAATTAGTTGACAAATGAAAAATCAGGGCTTTCAGTGGAAAGGTTGTTTGAAAAAGCAGCTGAACCGAAAAAAAAGTTTCAACAAACTTCTTAGGTAGGAAATTTCCGGTTCATCGTTATGAGAAATTTTAAAAAGTGTTCAGGCTCTCTTAATTTTACTTCGTAAAATAAACCAGAAAATTTCACCTCCCTTCTTAAAAACAATGAAATAAAATTTTGAACAATTTTTATCAGCTTTTTGTCTAGATAACTTGTCTTCTCAGTTCTCACGTCAGAATTATTGCATGTAGCGTAAAAATTAAATGAATCATTGTACTATCAAATTTTAAGATACCAGGGAATATTTAGCTAATGCTTTTGCTTAAAAAATAATATCAATTATTCTAGAATGTTTCTGCGATGGCCACGAGCCAGTAAACAAGGAAATTTACAATCGCTATAGCAGCAGAGGCCACTTTTCACAAAACTGGTCGCTTAAATCTTTTTTATTTGCTGAGTAAGTCTCTCTCCCTGTAGTTTGTTATTTACAGAGTGAGTTGGTGCTAATGAACTTGGCCTCTCGCTCGCTCATTATTTGCATCTGTTTGCAAATGCTGTGATCGTTTTTACTCATAGTTTTGAACTCAAGTTATATCTGGTTTTAAAATGCAGGAAAAGTGAAAGAATCACAAACTAATAGCATTTATTTCTCCAAGAGAAAATCCCAAGATGCCAGCGAAATTCAATTACGCATGCATTATTTTCTATCTCCATAGAGGTCTTTGCGGAGCGTGCAAGCAGTTTTCCATGCGTCAATCACAGTCAACGCATAATTAGATTTTCTTTTGAAACAGGAATTTCTTCAACTAATTAAATAAAAAAGGAAAGTAATCCTTTTATGGTCAGTTTTTATTACTATTTTTGTAGTTTTAAATAATTTTCTTTGCTTGAAGTAAGAAGGGAATGAACAAAAATATCAAATACTGAAAAAAACGAGCTATAATTTTCACAAATTTCTTTAGTCTGCTTTTTGGGCTTTTTCCCACGATTTTTGCTACTGACCCTGGTTGATACAAACAAGAAGTTGTGTTTCCTCTCACAAAAAAATGTGATGGGTTAGTTGAAGCAGCACGACCGGATCACGTGAAATGCTGCAAACTCAAGGTCGGGCGCAATAATTTTGCCGGGCTTAGTTTTATTTTCAACCACGAAGTCGCGTTCATTTTATTTTTTATTTCATTGACGTGAAATATAATACCAGCTAAGAGAAACAACCGGACGAAGGGCAGAAATTCAAGCCCGACTTCAAATTTCAGCACACAACAAGCTTACTGTTGGACGAATGCACGAATGCATTATGAGAATTGATTTAAGCGTTGCCAAAGTTTTACTGCAGGCGGAGGAAATAAATATAACTCTGTTTTCATGTTTTCTTATCTTCTGCCTCTGCCACCTGCGTGGGGGTTAGAACGCAAAAACAGTTGCGTTGCAAAGAGGTCAATTGTTTACAAACTGTCGTCAAGAATATAAAATACATTCCTGTAGCCTATTTTTTACTAAAACACTAAACGCTTTCAAAAATGTTGAAATTTATTTTCTTTAGTCGGTGTTTTTATTAAGAAATTTTTCATAGGCTGGGTTTTAATAAATTACTCCTACGTATCGATCGACCTAACTCGCCTAACATAATCTCGCCCAGTCGAAATTCTGAGAAAATTGCAAAACGAAGCGCAAGCATAACAGAACCTTTCACTTTTTATGAGTTCATCGTACCCATAACTCACAAGTCCCAGGCGAAGTGTAATGTTGTGAATAAAATGCAGGAATTCGTCAAAACACTTTGTATCAATAAGAAAATTGCTTATTTTGACATATCATTTCAGTCGAATTGATTTTGGGCAAGCGCGACGGAGCACGTAGGCGCTCAACAACAAGTGCGTCGCAATGTAAACAATGGCGTTTTGACAGCTCGTGTGCTCCGTGTTTTCGGGCCGTGGGGCTAAAACGCTCAAAGAATTTACCTCCGAGGATGTCGACGAGTTTGGCGGGCGGCGTCGAAGTCATCATTTCCCGTTGGAAAGACACACTCTGGCCAAAACAGTCAACTTTTCGCACTTACAACTCGGGCCTTCAGCGATGAAGTGTCGCCCCAGCCGCGGCCCTTTTGTTGTGACTGCAGCCGAGAAACGTCAACAAAGTCACGTCAGCCAAGACGGCCAATCGGCGTGCGCCGAGACTCAAGCTGCGTCTACAAAGTTTTTAATCGAACCACAAAATTGCGTCCATAATTTCAATATTGGAAAAAATGTAAACTTGTTACTAATATTTTCATTATGTTTCAAAGAAATCAAACAATTATTGTCATAATGTTTTTCTAAATTGTACTTCACATAAATAGTTTTTGATTTGACTCACTTTTTATGCACATGCGCAGTAATGTAACAGCTGGTAAATCACAATAATTGTGCTACTATTTTTGCAAGCGATTTGCATCCATCAGAGATTGCTCTTGATTATTGCCTACAACTTTGAGTGATTGGAGCTGTTATCACCTGGTGAGACTAAATAAATTTAATAAGTCGCTAGAAACACTTTAAACTGACTGACATAATGACATTTCCTCGCAACTTGCAAGAAAACTAAAACAATTAGAGTTTCCCTTTGGACGCCCTGAATGTTTATGTATGTATTTCTTTAGCTAGCGTACCTTCTTTTACTGTAATGCGTTTTTTGCACTTTCAAGCAAACTAGTATAAACATTACTTGGTTAAGGGACACTTCAGTTAAAAATTAATTCGTGTTGCCATATGTATATAAAAAATAAAGGAAAGATTCAAGATTCATACGTTCTATGTATAAGGAATTTTTGCATAGCCGAGGTATGTTTGCTGGCGGCGCTTATGGGTCTTGAAGGTCACCACTACATAACATAATAACATCCTTAGAAGTGAAAGCGTACTATGTGTAGTCATATAAATATACATACAGAAAATACTAAGTCAGTAAAATATATAAATATTATTTCACTTTGGTCTCAGTTTGTGAAATAATATGCATGCACAGAATTGATATGAAAATTAAGTTTTAAATATCTTGATTGTGTATCGTTACAGAGCCATGATCACCAAAGTACCGTCGTCGTCAGGCGACGGCTTCTTTAGCCCTGAAATCATCTACTCTTCGTACATGTCAGACTCAGGGTCATCTGAATCGGATGACTTTTCTTTAGAATCGATAGACTTTGACGGTGAATTTACTGAATATTTGTGGATGGAAAATGAAGAGGAATTTGAAAAAGAGGTTTACTAACATTTTAGGTTGAAATTGATAAAACATTAAACGTTCATCCTCTCCAGGTGCTGCAAAAGCTAGAGGAAGAAGAGCTGACAGAGCAATGCTTAGAAGCTATGTTAGAAGACGAGAGGGAAATACGAAACATCAGGAACGCCATGGAATCTAACATGTAAATATGCAAATGCGAATTTCAACATGTATAAGAGAAATTTTTTAATTATTCTAGAAACTATCCACCTGGGTCACTTCCTCAGCAACTGCAGTCCCTCAGGGTTTTGGATCCACTTGTCGTAAGCATGGCAAGTTTTTAACATTTTATTTTTGCTTGGAAATAAATATTATTCAGAATACAATACATACTATAAATGAAGTTAAATTATACAGCATTAGCTCAAAATCTTTTTCTCTTTGTTTCATTTCAGAGTTCTTTAAATCCTGATGCAGCTGAGTTTGTTCCGACCCAAGTGACACTGCCTATTATGAGTCCAACAACTTAGAAGCTGGTAAAATTTGTTAATCTACTATAGTACATTTGTCCTGCAGAACGGATGCTAAAAGCCATACAGAAGTTTGGCATCATTAACATTTCACTTGAGTTAGGAGCACACAAATTTCATAATAAATTATCAATAAACAACAATAATAATGTTGGGCCACTTTGATCCAGTTTAATTTTTACAAAGGGAAAAATATTTAAGTGACAATCTCAGATTTCTTTCTTAAAGCCTTATCCACCATATACTTAATTTTGACGCGTCCATATCTGAATTTCTTGTGAAAATGATTACAAATTAAGCATTCAATTATTTATAATAGACCTATTTTTTAATATAAATGATTTATTTTTTACTTTTTTGCTACTTATGTTGAAATTTATGTTTATTAGCTTTTAATGGCCAGAATGTAAACTGTCAAACTGATAACAAAAAACTAAAAAAGGCACTAGAGAGGCACTATTGAATGTACCGATATTTATAATTATTTGAATTAGATAGAAGCCTAATTTCCTTTCTTTTGAGCAAACAAGAAAGCCTCCAGCCTCAATTAGGCAGGTCTTTAATTGACAAGATGCAGAATATTTAGAATAAAAACCAAAGAGACCATTTATTTAAAAAAGAAAGAGAGTCCAGCATTTGTTGCGAAATCATTATACATGGTTTGTGCTTTCATAATATAAACTAATCAAAGATGCGTACTTTTTAGTGTACTTAAATGTTGACAATTATTAATAACCTAAAATTTAAATATCACGCTGGTTCAAAATAGTTACATATTGTTTAATATATTATGTAAAACTTTCATTGCTCATCTTGTCTTAGATGTTAAATTTATCATCGCTTTATAAACAAGAAAATAATAGTCTGTGGTCTTTATATAGTTATTGCTGTGATGCAGATTGTGTGTATTTTACGTATTTTATACGTTTCTATTTTTCAAGCTAAGAGTATAGATATAAATTTATTTATAGAAAAGAAAAATTGAGAATTGTGATTTAATTACTTGAAATATGTTACATTCGTACAAATTATTATTATTTGTCTTGATTGAACCTTACTATGCTAAAAATCATGTAATCGCTTTTAAAGAGTTTTGGCAAAATCAGGATGTTGTTCTATGATACAACACACTATTATGCTACTTCTGCTAAATATCAAACTTTGACACCATCACCCTAAAATTGATGAGATAATAATGTAATTTAATTTATTAATTAAATTTTTTTTGGTTCTCCTGTATAACTTGAATCTTCTGATGACTATATTGTCTTAACAAATTAGTTTAATAGCTGATAATTATTAATTTTAAAATAATCATTAGGAAATTTTTTAAGTACCTGTTTTACAACAATTAATACAATTATGTAGAATTTAGCTCCAGTCCAGGGGCACAGAGGAAAGCATTCTCTGCTTTTAAGGTGTATCTTTTCTTTAATGTTTGCTTCTCATTTGCTCCCTATGAGGGCACGCAATTGAAAGAAAACTGAAAAACCAAAAAAATTGTGATTGTAAACTATAAACGGAATCTGAGCTAGTTGTAAGGGAACCAATTAAAATAAAAAAACTAAATTTTCAATCACTGTGTTCTTAATTTATTATATATTTAAAGAGGCATGAAAAATTTTATCACTAAAAGTTATGGCTTTTAAAGAAAAAAAGGAAAATTTCTTATAAATTTTTTATTCTACGATTTTGGTGAACATTTTAAAATCCTTTTTCATTGAACAATTCTAAAACCAAATTATAAACATCACCCTTAATTTTAATGAGACCATACATCTCATTCACATGAATTCCATGCTTCATATCTAGTCTATCCTCAATTCTTTTGTTGAGCTCTTCCTTGAGACGCCAAATATCGCCCTTTATGTGCCTGATAACGGTGTGTTTTTGGAAACCTCTATTTCTTATTACAAGGTAAATTGAAGGCATGTGATTACGGGAGCGTCCAATAGAATAAGGATGACTGAGTGCCTCCTGTTTTGTTGGTTTCCATCCTGACGGAGTTTCTTCAGAAGGGGGTGATGGTACCGTCTTGCGAGGAAAGAGTCGTTCCACAAATATCCATTCTGGAGGGTTGCGAACGACTTCAACGTCGGGGTATTTCTTTAATGGATCAACTACTTTGCTGCCAAGGTAGCTGGAGTTTCGTGCGGGTTGAATTCTCATTGCAGAACGTGCATTTTTACATGCGAGACCCACAACTGAACGGCTTAAAACTTGCAGAGACATGTCTGAATCTGTTAAAAATATAATGATTCCTTTTAAATGTATTAAATTACTTGTTGCAATTATGTATATATAACAAAAGAAAAGCGAGATAAGAAGAAATTTACCAAAATAATCTTATCCTTATTCCTTAGTCACAACAGCAGCCACTAATTTGAGTTTTGAGTAATTAGCAATTTTTAGTTTATGGGAAGTTGTGAGTCGAGTCAGTCGAGAGTCGAGTGTCGAGTTGAGTTCTTGCACTCGGCACGCCCACTTCAGATGAAGCAGCTGCGCCAACCAAACGAAGTAGTAAAATTATGTAAAATTTTTGAATCTCAGAAAAATACCTTAACAATATAATATCAATTGGATGAAACCATAATTATGAATAAAAGTATTTAAAAGAAACAAATTAATAATTATTAGCAAAATTTTAACATTTCAGTTTTCAGTATCTTGAGTACATAAATTTTGTTTTGTTTTTAAAATTGACCAGTTGACTCAACATTGCCACGCCCATCCATCTATCCTTGTTAAAATTTATTTATTAATTTATTTCACTAAGTTACAAATTGTGTGGACTACTGTGGACTTGTGGAGTCTCAAACGGCGATAATTTGGTTTTGTGACTGAGGTAAATTTCGCAGGGTAAGGATTATTATAAATTCACACAAATTGTATTGCATTGCATGTAATTGAATTGTATGAATTCACAATTGTATATTTTAAATAATTATTATAAAGCTTTCCATTAAATGCATGATTTTTAAACGAATTTTGCTATTAAAATAATTAAAAAAACATGTATTGTATGTAATATTTAAAAAGTGTTAAGTTTACAGCAAAAACATGTCACGAACTGCCAGAAACGTGGGAGCCATTTCAGCGAGTGGAGGAAGGGTCAAAACAAAACTAACCAAATCAGGAGGTGATAAAAAGAACTGATAACGCACGTAAGATTTGATTGAGCAGCTAGGATCATTCATTTTTCAGACATGATCGCGTACAGTGAAGCAGCGGTAAGAAATAACCATGGCGTAGTGGAGTATTGTCGCACATCAATGGCTGCTCTCTCTGGTGGAACTGCAGGAATTTTAGGTCTGACTGGTTTTTATGGATTTGGCTTCTACTTTTTCTCAGTCGTCGGATTATGGGTACACTAAATTAGTTTCAAAATTAAATTTGATGGTTCTTTTATGTACTATTTTTATAGGCACTTCTTTTACTGAAGGCTGGAAGTCAGTGGAAAAAATTCTTTGTCAACAGAAGGAGCCTTTTGACAAGTGGATTCATAGGTGGACTGTTCACGTACATCCTATTTTGGACGTATCCTTTTCAAAAATTAGAAATAATTATGACAATGAGCACGTTGAATTATCTTAAAATATTTTCCTTAATTGATTTACAGCTTCCTATATGGAATGGTCCATGTTTACTAAAATTGACGTCTTGGACCATAAAATCACTGTGGAAACTTCATTAATATGCATGCATTCATTATGTGTTAGTTGTTGTTGAACATAATATCATATTGGTTCTGCTTTTGTTGCAAAATAAAAGTTACTTTTTTTGTTATCACAATAAAAAAAAACCTAAGTATTTTCATATCTCTAGGCTTCAGCTACATATACTGCAAGTAAAATTAAAAATAAATGCGGAGTGAATTGCTTTTAAACAATTTATTCCTTAATTTCCAAGTCACATGCTGTCCAAATAACCAATTTAAGGACGAGTCTTTCGAGAGCAATTCTCTTCTTTAAAGTTCATACGCAGCAAGTTGTTATTTCTTATCCAGACAAATTCTCTTTGTTTGCTGGTAAATAACATTCAATGCATAAACATCAGAACACAGGTCACAATGATTGGATTTCTTTTTCTCACAATAGGAAACCAAACTGCAAGTTAATGCACTGTGATAACTAGCATGCTCCTATTAAATGTATGTACAAACACATCTTCTAATTCATTGTTACCTAAGGTCTCAAATAGCAGTAGTAATAACAAAAATCCAACACAAATAATAATAATCAGCTCGCTAAAGAGTTTATGCATAGAAAATAATTATGAGAATTCAAGATTCCAGAGAGTATTAATCAAAATTTATGCGAGCAAAGTTTTATGTTTTATGATTTTTTTTTAACAACCACAATCAAATTAAGCGCAGATATTCTATACTGCCTTATCTTACACATAGTTTGGCAAAATCAATTAATCAATTTGAATCACAATTAGGAGAGGGAAACACCAATAGCAAGCTGCAACATTAATGAATTGAACCTGTCTTGCATGTCAAAAAAATTTATACAATAATGTAAGATAAACAGCACACTTTTCAAGTTTGAGATCTTAAGCCCAAAAGCAGAAATAGTCAAGAGTCACTTGTTATTCCATAAGTAAAAATTACGCTTCTCAGTTGATGTTTGTGGAATGTAATAACTGCAAAATGCACATGGGGCACACTTGTTTTCACTGTTAAGGAGCTACTACTTAGCATTCAATTGAAACCAAGGAAATGAGAAACACTGGAGACAATGGCTCAATATTCAATAGGACATTTTTGCGCTTCTAGGCGTATCACAGGACCAATGCTGTCAGTCGATTTGGTCCTCAATCAAATGCTGTAAAAAAATTAAAATAAGATTAATTAAAATCAATGGTAATATTTTTTTTAATTCAAAGAAAAAAATTTATTAATTTAATCTAAAATAGATTTATTATATAATAAAGATTTTAACATACGTGAAGGAGTGCGGTTATTGTTTGAGGAAGCGCTGGACGGTAGTTGAGGTGTTCCCTCAGGTGGTGTGCTCGAGTTCAAAAAGTCCCAAATCAAAATTGTGTCATCGTGAGAACTGCTCACAATTTGGAATTCGTCAAATTGCAATCGAAAAACCCGCCCCGTATGTTCCTGAAAATGAACACAACTTTGAGAAAACTTCTAAGAAGTCGAAGCCGAATCTTACCACCAGTGTTCTCAGGCATAGTGTGCTTGCAGGAGACCGTGGATCCAAAGCTGCTACAAGATCCCAAACTTTTATTTTCCTGCAATGAAATACAAAATAAGCATGATTTCCCACTTGCTTAAATTCATTACTACGCACCCATCATAAGCGCCACTAACAATTCTTTTGTTGTCAAATCTAATGCATCTTACGAGTTCTTCGTGCCCTTCAAGTACTCTCAAACAAGCACCACTTTCAATGTCCCATAGTCTAGCCAAAAAAACAATTAGTATGAGATGAGTGAGCGAAATTTTTTTTCTACCTGATTGTGTTGTCAGAGCTGCCACTGACAACCAGTTGATCTCTGTATTGTAAACAAGCTATGCCTCGTTTGTGGCCATTGAGCGTGCGTACAAATTCACACGAAGATGTGCTCCAAACCTGTGAAAGAAATATATATTTAAAGCTTATTTACATAGATTGACCAATTGCATTGTATTATTTCCCTCTCAAGAACCCATACATATTTAATAAATTTGAACAAACCTTAATGGTTCTATCACCACTTGCAGAAACAATGTATTTTTCATCGAAATCAACTACGTTGACAGCTGCTCTGTGTCCGACCAGGACCCTTCGCATTGTTATTTCAGTGGGGGTGGTCATATCCCAAACAGCAATTGACCGGTCCTAAAATTATTTGTAAATTTAATTGTTTGAGTGGTTTATAAAAAGCTTACTTTTGAGCATGTAACCATCATTCCATTGTTGAAGCGTAAATGTAGGACGGCCTCGCAATGGTGAATGAGTGTGTTGACCATTTCACCCGTAGCAACATCCCACACCCTCACTGTCGAGTCACTCGAGCCAGAGATGATCACTTTGTCATCATATTGTAGGCATAGCACAGATCCAGTGTGGCCAGTGAGGACCTACAGAGGAAATAGATTAATATCAGCAAACATCATTTTAAAACAATTAAAGCTCACTTTGACACAACTGAGGTTGCTCCTGTCCCAGACTTTGATGGTGTTATCTCTTAGGCCAGAGACAATTTTTTGGTCGTCATACTGCAGGCAGTAAACGCCTTTTGAGTTTTCCGACCGGCAATTAATGCGTTGCAAATTGTGCCTTCCCATGCGCCAGTTGTTTTCTATGCTCTGAAAATTAAAAATAATAATGAAAATAGTAACGCTATTTTTTTTATTCAATTTTAGTATGTCTTACATCTATATCCTGAATGATTGTTGGAAAGAGTGATCTGTAGAATGAATGGATTCTGTGAGTTTCACCAGGTTTTGGCTTGAACAAGTATTGTATCCTAAAACAGACCATTTAGCAAGTCTATCGCCACAAAAAGGGATCTACTTACCATCCTCGTCTTTCAGCCAATCCTCTCCATAAAGAATCAGTTCGAACTTTTCGCTCAATCAACTTTTTCCAAAGCATGCCTTCGGAAATCACACGGTACCATTCTTTGCACACACGTTCCGCTGCACAAAGCGAATCGGCATCGAGGAAGGAAAGAATGCTTTCCGCAACGTGGTCCAGGCCTTTTTCTGAGGGCAGAGCAACAAGCAAAGGTAAAAAACTCATCCTCGATTAAAATTTCCTATTTTTTTCCTGCACAAATATGAATATTTGAATTGAAAAGGTGTTTTCTCAAAGCTTGATGAAAGTATGTCAACTGTGCAATTAAATTAATAATTCTTCTAAGGCTTGCTTATCAGTAACATTGCCAGGCAATGAGATCTTATCACATTAGCTCATTTTGCGCGCCCAATCAGAGGATGGATATTTTAGAGCACTTAATGATAATTTGAAAGAATAAGGAAACTAAAACGCCAAAACGCCTGCGAAGCAACAATTAAAATAAAATATAATATATATCAAGTATAATTTGACTACATCCAAGACAATTTGCCTCTTTTTTTGAAATTCACTAAATTCAAACCATTGATAATAATGAGATTATTTGCTTACTTGGAAGAAGTGAGACGAAGTCTCTTTGCAGCATTGGTTTGAGGAAGGTGTTGATGTGGCCATGCTGGTAGTGGCACATGCGGGCCAAGAGGTGCTCCACAAATTCTATCTGATCTTGTTCGCTCCATCCCTCAAACTGGCGCAAGCACAAGTCTCTTTGCGACAAGTAATGCACAGTGTGTTCCCTTTTGCGTAGATTGTCGCACAAAACAGTCATAGGGTACTGCGAACACAGAAAATCAAAGAATTATTTTATTGCTTTTTGGTTTATCGTGTTTGAAATGCAAGGGATACATGAACAATTCTAACTAACGGAGAAGGTTAATTTCTAAATTGCTAAACCTAAAGTTAAAGACATCCGAAAACTGTTGACTGAAAATCTAAATTGCAAGGGTGAAATTTTTTCATTGCAATAAATGAATTTGCCGGCAGCGTTTTTTGCAGGGTCTTTGTTAGAACAAGAAAACAGGGAATATAGAGCTTTTGGCATTCATAGCACGCGCCGGCTGAACATTTTGTTATAACTTCGTCCACGCCTTGAATTTTGTTTCCTAATAATGCTATTCAGCGCGTCAATAACAAAGCGCAGGAGCGCAGAAAATCATACAAGCGGGCCTAGCTCAAGTTCGTGTTGAAAAAATTTGCCACGATCAAATTTTACAGGGAGGAATATGAAAATTTTATGAAGTTGGTGGCAAATTTGAGAAAGATGGTTGCTCTAATTGTTGAATTGAAAGTTTTCATTGGCAAACTTGCGTTATTGAAATCCATCAAACATTTGACGAATGAAAATAATAATTAAAAATTATATGAGCCTTTATATTATCTGAATTGAGTAAATATTGAAATGATTTTTTCATTAATATTATGATACACGTGGTTTGAAAAAGGGTTATGTGGTTGCTTTCATTTTCTCATCGTCTGGGTCATCTGCCCATGGTGACGTCACTCCACTGTGAGAAGAAAGCCTTTCGCTGCCGGCTCTTCTCTCTTCATGCGGACCGACCTGGCGTGAGCACAAATAACGGCAGAGGCCTCATCAGCAGTCACCGCTACTGCCAGTCTCTTCCGCGTGTAAATCCTCGCACGTGCACGTTTTGAACAATTTGACTGCACAAAAAAAGTTGAGCATTTGCCACTTCAGAAGTTTTCGTGAATTAAAAAAAAAAATCAAACAAAAAAATCCAAAAAATTGTTAAATAATTTTCATCGCAAAATCACTGAAGTGCTTTAGAAAAATTAATTATATTTCACAAAAAAATGACATATAATTAATGAAATATAATGAGGTTTCATTTGATTACAAAAAAGTCCAAGGCTTCGATTCTGAAGGAATTCATCATGGTAAATTCGTCTTACAGAATCAGATCTCAGGTCTTTATATACACAACCTATAAAATAATTCATGAATTTTCTTATTATGTGCAAAGGAAAAATAATGATGTTTTTTTAGGAAATTTGATTTCCATTTTACAAAACTCTTCTATATTTAAATTAAATTATTTTCATTTAAAATTTTTTGTTAATATTTTAATGACTTAGTAAAATCAAATTCTAGTTTCTTTTAAAACATTGAGCTTACATCCTTGAACGATAATTTAGCAAGAGAATTGCACCACTGGCTAACTCAACTTTAGGACCCCCAGTGAACAATTCTTGCAAAACTCGACTTTTGCAAACGTTTACGCTCAAAAAATCACAGAAATTGTACACCGAAAAGGTATTCCAATGCCTGATGAAAATTTAATCATTACATTTCATAGTGAATTAAAAAATTCAAGGAAAAGCTAAGTGACCCTCATAGATTATTTGCCTCTGGCCGGAAAGATTTTATTGAAAAAAAGTCAGCACGTATGTACACGGCAGGCCGGAAAAGTGAAACACGGGTTCATTAAATTAGGAGGCCGCACGGAAAAACAAGTCCTTGGCCCAAATGATTAAATATTTTTGAGTCAATTCACGTCAAGTGCACGAGCTACCGCACTAATCGAAATGTAAAATTATTTTGTTATATGCCATCACGAGGTCAAGTCGAGAGCACCAACTTTGCAGTTTGCACCAATCCCTGGCCTCTCTGAAAGGTCCAAGGCCCGAATTGAGCCGCATCAAAAAATTACTTGAGAACTGCGACGCACCCTCCGAGCGACTCGGACCCAGATTCGAACCTAAGCTCGTCGGACGGTCGATTTTCGGGTTGATTTCGGGGGCAAAATGGCGGCGGAGACATCCTCCTTGCTCGAAAGTACCCTTGCATTTTCCAATTCCTGAGTTCACTCACCTGCGGCGAAGTCGGTGTTGTGTCCTCGACGATTTTGTCTGTTTCCATTGTGCAAGGGGTGCGGTCAAAAATCCCGTACCGTGCAGTCGGACGCTGACAATCCGTCACCCAGTCCCTGAGTCGTCACTTTATCAAAACTTTCAGCAGCCAGAAGTCTTGTTTCGTCGCTGTCTCTCTGACGTCATTGACCTCGTCCAGCTCTCTTTCTCCATCCCCACCACCAACCAACCAACCAACTCCACCGCCGCGATTTGAGGCCCATTTGCGGCCAAAAACAAGTTTCGCGCACCATCTAACGTGCGACGAGTCAACTATCAAAACAACCAGCCAATCAGGAAGCGACATTTGCAGCAGCGGCCATTGGAATTTTTACGTCACTTCCTGTTCCGACTTGTTTAACTTTTGAAAAACGCGAATTTTGCAGGGCACGGCGGACAAAACTCCTGAAAAATGCTGGCTGTTTCGAAGGTTTTGAGGTCTGGTGGCTGCTCCGTTCTGCAGCGCAGAGCCTTCAGGGTCAGCAATGTCATCTCTGGACCTCCAACTGTCCGCCTGCCCTTTGCCGTAAGCAGATTTAATTCAATTTTGCAAAGTGACCCAGAAAGAACTTTTCCATTTCCAGAGCCCATGTGCTCGATCGATTTATATGTAGAATCATAAATATGCTTAATTTTATGCACGCTCCTTAGATCCACCGTCAGGTTTGTGTAAAAACAGGCTGCCATTGACGGTGAATGAGTCATAAGTGTGCTAAAATATTATACCTCTGTGGTGGCCTTTCATCCGTATTTTTGTTTTTCGGGGATTTGGTCATCCCAGGGACAAATTATTAATTTTTTTTTTACAACACATTTTATTTAAATCTTGCTTAAAAAATTGTTTTTCATATTGAAATGTTTATTTTTTTTAGGAAAAGCTGGCCCATGGCTTGACCATTGCCGTCGGCCTCTTGGCCACCCCAGCTTACATCCTGGGACAGCTGAGGACCTACACTGCAAAGTAGACATCCATTTGATTCCATGGAGTAGCAACCTGCAGAATTTTTGAAGTAGCCACCGCACTGATTGAAGCAGCCATGACTGATTTACTTTGCATTAACTCGACTAATTTGCATCTAGTAATTAACTCGGAACCTAAAAAAGCGATGTCACACAATTGACTCAAACGTTTCTAGTCTCAAAGTAAATTATATAAAAAAATTAACCTAATTCCTTACAATCGTAAAAAATTGGCCAGTTCAGAAAGCCTGCTCAGTTGAACAACAGATCTGAATGAAATGATAATTTGACATCTTGACTGAGTATTAAGTTAAGACTGTTTTTGGAAGGCTGTTATGCTTTTGGCCTGTGATAATATTGTTAGTACCCTTGACTTGTTCCTTTGAATAAAATTTAATTGTTTATGGACATTTATTTCTAGTAATCTTTAACTGTTTTCCCAAAGTCAGAATATCTCGTAAGAAGTAAATTATAAAAGTTGCAGTGCTGCTAAAATTATTTTCACTAATTCATCACAATTATGTTAAGAACTATGCGAATTGTGCAGAATCGTAGACTAAATTGGAGTGGGAATTCAATTTTAATCCAATTCATTCCCAAGAAAATTAATTTTAAGAAAAAAGATTGGTAAAGTTTATTTTCGTAAGTCTAATGGTTGCCAGCACCATTATAATTACATCCATTTCATCAACAACGTCGAAATTCTGCAATAATGTCTTTGGCCCTGCTTGGAGGTAATAATTGTCAGCTATCCTCCTCCTCATCATCATCTTCTAAGGGCACTTCATGCTTGATGTACGAGGTGTAGACGTCGTAACCCAAAGATATTGTGTTGTCGTAAAGTACCCTGTATCGAGTCGGCAGCCAATAGAAGTTGATGACCTGAGCAGGTGGCCAAATCATCCATTCCGCCGCATACAGCATCCATCCTTTCTGGACGATTTCTTTTTTAACTTTGGCCGGCTTAGAATGTTCAAGGAATCCCAGTGTGATGAAGAACACCGAGATGCAAATAGGCGAAAACAAAATCTGGTCAACAACCACTTTCTGAATCACTCTTTTTACTGTCCGGCCTGGCATTCGATGGTCGAGGAAATTGTACCATAAATGGCAAATAACGCCTACAGGAAGGCCAGTCAGGGCCATGTTTTTAGTCCGTTCAGGATCCCATTTCTCTTGTTTCTTCTGCAGCACCTCATAGTTTTGTTGCAGGATGTCACCAACACCTGACAGACCCAGAGAAATCGTCGCATTGGTCACTAGCAGATATCTGGAAATAGAAACGGTTTATCATCAAAATATAGCCAAGTTAAAGTTAAAAGCATACTTTCGAAATGCCACTTTTCCAAATTGTCGACATCTTCGAATAACTTCCGTCCGAAAGAAGGATGCTGCGGCGGTCTGCATGTTTTACGTACGTTCACAATAAATCGGGCCGAAAATTAAAAAAAAAGCTAAAATAAATAATTTAGCAGATTTTGTGTCGAAAATAATTTTCCGACCTCGCTTTTGATTTATTATGTAATATGATGTGATGTGAAAATAATTAATATTGGCCGTGGTCGGTCAAATCGTGGCAAAAATATCTGCGGACATTGTCTAGCTTACAATTAGGCTTTCACAATTATTGAAAATTCATTACAGTGAACACACAAATAAAGTTAATTTAAGTCCTTGTAAAATACTCAAAACCCACATGTACCAAAAGATTTGTTATGAACCTTTTATGGGGGTTTGCCGAGTGCCGTCAGCGCCTCCTGGGGAGTGCACAGTGCACCCCTGGGGGAGGATGATTTTTAAATTTAAAGGTGGGATGGGCTTACCGCTTACGGCCATACGGCGCTCACATTTTCACATTCCAAAACACAACCTGCAATCGTTCAGCCTGTCTATTTATGTAATAATTTTCTTTTCTGTCAATCATTTGTACATACTTTCGTGAATTGAGTTTGGCCTACATTTTCGTCGATAAGACAATTAAGTACATTCATAAACGCAGGGTTTCAATTAAATTTGAATTTCAGGATGGCTGGCTGCTCCAAAGGCGACTGCATTATGCAGGTGGTGCGAATTTTTGTGCATTTGCTGGCGGCCTCGATGTTCGCCTACAGCGTTTACTATGACTGGAATTTTGTCGTTATTCCACCCGAAGTCAGCCCTTTGTCCGGAGGTTACGGAGGAAAATTCAAATACCTCACATTTTGGGATGCTGTAAGAATTTCAGAAAAAAAAATCTATGTTTGTAATTATCATACTTTTAAATTTTAATTTTCCCAGGTGATTCAAACGCTGTTCTTCACCCTGTGCGTCTTCAACGACTTTCTGGGCAGCAATGACATTGATCCAAAGCCAAAGCCTCTGCTCAGGAAAATCAAAGATTATGTCCAAGTCACAATTGAATTTCCAGTCGCAATGGTTAGTTGGATTTTTGCGTATGCATATTTTTCAGACAGTTAAAAGATTTCTTGTGATAGTTTGTAGGAATCACCTTTTGGGCCCTTTATGCTGTCGACCGGGAGCTGGTTTTCCCCACAGCTATAGACCCTTACTTCCCTAACTGGCTGAACCATGTGATGCACACCAATATTGTAGGATTCGCTGCCTTGGAAATGGCAATCACATGCAGACGCTACCCGAATAGGTCTAAGGGCCTTACCGGTCTTCTTGGGTTCATGCTTGTCTACCTCTCATGGTATGATAAAATTAGTTCGGCCTATTATATAGCTCTAACAGCATTTTCAGGCCTTAATTTTCAACTCAGTGAGTTTGTATAAAGGTTTCAATTATGTTAAGCCAATCTTATTTTAGGGTGTTTGTGATTTACAACAAGAGCGGACGATGGGTGTACCCTGTGCTGGCTGTTCTGAACTGGGTCCAAAAGGGAATTTTCTTCCTTGTACTTTTGCTTCTTGTTACGGGTCTGTACTTGCTTGGTGAGCAACTCAACAATTCCATTTGGGGTAAGATAAGGTTTAAAAAGATATCAACGTAATACAACCTTATCTCAAACATTAGCAAAACACTTGAAACTGGACCAAAGCCCTAAGAAGTCAGCCAAGAAGGTCAAATAAATAGATGTTGAAAATGATGACCTGCCACTACGTCAATAGCAATAATAAGTTAAATTGTTATATTTTGTTAATTTTTTTGATAAATATGAAAATTTGTTGTTCAGTCAATGTTAAATTGCTATGTAGGTCAAAGATTGATGTGATTTATTGTGAATTAAAATTTGCATGCTGATAAAACTAGAAACATTCCTTATTGAATTGCTTTTATTTCTAGTATAACATGAAAATTGGTATAATTGTAAGAGGCCTTGGTAGATTTAAATTATTTCTTGCTCCTTTTGGCAGCAGTGGTAGCACTCCTGCCCTTTGTGCTTTTGCCTTTACTTTCTGCTTTGGCTGAGGGTTTCTTGGCCTGTTCAATGAGAATAAAAGTAGCAATTATTTCAATTTAACATTTAATTTCACCTTTATCATAGAGTCCTTTCCAGCATCATTGTCTTCTTCATCATCAGATTCATACACAACAGCATCTTCCTCATCCAAGCCATACAAATCGTCAATATCTGCTGCTCCCACACCTCCCTTCTTGCTGCTCACCGACTGCATGGCAAATGGAGTCATGATGGGCATCTTGTTGTACTCGCGGGTCAATTGCGCCTTCACCTTGCCTTCAATTTGCTGCCAAGGACTCAAAGAGTTTGAGCCCCAGGTGGAAAGCTCGGCCAGTTTGTCTAGGTCATCCCGGATGAGATTGTAGCCAACCATGGCGTCAATGGCTTCGGCCACACCATCACTCCCCCTTTCATTCATGGAAGTAAAAATTCTGTCTTGAAGGGCGTTTAGATAGTCCAGTTGGACGGAACTCTTGCTTCCAGTAATTCTAAAAATATATTCAAACTAGACAAGTCACAACGCAGCAGGTTAATTTACTTACGAAAGTCGCATGTGCAATTGAAGTTCGCTTGCCAGTCTGTCGAACTTGTTCTTCCTAGAATTCTTTCCCAGCCAAGACGGGAACATTGCCTGACTAGTCAAACGTCCCCGGAGAACAATGCCCGGAACTACCGTAGAGTAAATTGCCTAAATACAGATAACAAAATGAAATGCAATTAAATTAATGTTGTAATTTATTTCTCCACAAAGTTAAAATACCTGCACAGGCAGTAGTCCCCAGGCTTGATTCACCCTTATAAGATTCTCCACCAAATCACCTTTGGCAAGACTGTCGGATGCTTTGGACATCAATTCCAATTTTTTCTTCATGCTTATTTAAAAATTTTTAGTAATATAAGTTTATAAACAGATTTGTATTACTTTGCGCCACCCTCAACACCATGCACAGCAGAAAGGTAATTTTCTTGGACAAACAAAGGGCCCAAACTGTAGTCTTGAAAAAAGAGGTTCGTTTTATCATAAATGGCATTCTTGGTGTTGCCACTTAGCTCAGCACTGAAAACTTTAGGTGTGACATCCCAAATGCCCTAATAAAAGCAGTTTTCAATGGATTTAAACATAAATAAGATCATCTGTGAAATACCAGTTTGAATTCCTTTTTAGATTTTTTTGATTCCTTCTCCATCAATCCTGTATCAACTTTGGTCTGACCAGCAGCCCACACACTCATCATGTGAATGATCTGACGAATATCATAGTTTGTCCCAACAATCATAGCATCCAATGCATCTTTTGGGATGTTGACCTTCTCTTTGAAACAGATTGTCATCAGTGCAGCCTAGAAATAAAAACAAAAATTATGATTTGTTATTTAGAATTGTTATTTATATAATTAGCTACAAAATGACAAACTTTGAAACCTTTGATATAAGTCATTCAATTTTAGTTATTCAGTTGAAAACAATATACTTAAAAAAAATTAGTTTGGGAATAATTATAATGCCATAACTATTTGATGAGAGTTTTTAAGTGAAATCGAAAGGTGATCAGAAAAAAAATCTGCTGATTATATCTAAAACCACCTTCTGCAATTTTAAACTCTTAACCACTCTTAACCTTGACTCGTCCCTGTTCCAGACCCAAATTGACAATAAATCAAACCAAACCCAAACACCACACTATTGATTAGTAATTTACTTTGTTTAAAATATTTTTTAATATTATTTTTCTATAAAAATTAAGTCCATTTTGTCAATAAGACTTTATTTTATTATTATTTAAAAAAATCTGTTTTATCCTTAAAAACATACAACCAATGCCCCCCCCCCCTCAATAGATTTTTGTGTCAAAAAACTGTAAAAAAATATTTGAAAATTGCAGTTAAAAAATGTCAATGCAATTATCATTGGTAGTGATGAAAACGGGCTCCATAAAAGTTTTTTTTTGAGTACCCGTAACTTCTTCATCCAAATATAATGTATTAATTTATTATTTGAGACTCATTGCGTTACACAGTGATTCAACTACTCTGGGTAGCCCACCTATTTTATGCAATAGAGTCCGAGCAGAAAAAAGCAATGAATGTAGACTTACCCTAATTTGCTCAAGCTTTGGCTTTTGGAAGCGCAGATCAAAGCAGTAGTTAACCAGACTGCGAATCTTTTGGGATCCACGGTCATTGCAAGTGCAAATGACAGGAACTTTAGCCTTTTTAATCAACATGATAAGCTCAGCAATGCCACCTCTGTCCTGATTTCCTGTTGCATTTATGTAGAAAAAAATTTCCAGAAAAATAAGTTAGAAATTACCGGCCATTCCGTCAACTTCTTCCATCAACAACACGCGTTTCTTCGACATTGCCTCTTTTTTGTTTCCTGAAACCAAAGTTTGTGAATCAATTCATTTTTTCTTCTCTGAACAAGTCAGATCAATCAATTGTGAAAAATTGGCTGAGATAAAAATAGGTACAGTGCCAGTGAATGACTCGCTGAAACTCGTAGCCGAGTATTTACCGAGAGGCAATAAATACCCTACTTCTTGCAGCACTGATAGTTTTTGGTGTTTAAAATATTTTTTTTACCATGAAACATTCCTGTTAAGCTCTGAGTGGAAAGCATTTCACTAACTTCTTGTTGGAGGAGCTTCTTTGATCGTGTGTCTGACGCATTGAACTCGACAATATCAAATCCTAATTCTTTGCAAACAAGCTGGATAGTGGTAGTTTTTCCTAGTGAAATATTTAGTTTTAGTTATATTATAAAAATCATATTTTAAACAGACCAATTCCCGGAGGTCCTGAGAGCAGAGCAGCTTTGAAGGCGGATCCATTATCATTCTTTGCCCAGGGAGCTAAAAGATTTTTCTACAAGTAGAAAAAAAAATTAAATGAATTAACTAACCAGGTCTAGGCTTCTTTTCATTAGGGTTAGAGTGGTTTTTGTTCCAATCTAACAGCCACTGGGTGAGTTTCTTGGCAATACTTCTGTCTGTTTGCTGCCCTATGATTTGCCTGACGCTTTGCGGCTTATACTTGTCAACCCACATAGCCTGGTCGCCAGCTGAGATCACAGGACTCGGTGGCAGTGTTGCCTGAGATCCTAATTTGAAAAAAGTTTTACTGAGTTATTTTAATAGTGAATGCTGCAAGAACCATAAGAGGATGTTGATTGCTGGCTGCCCATATTCATTGCCTGGCTTCCAGAGGACGATGCCTGGGAATTTTTTTTGACTGTTTGGAGCATCTTATCCTCTTCTTTTTTAACTGGAGTTTTTTGTTTTGGGGGATCCTCTTTCTTAATCTTTCTTCCCCCAGGAGTAGTTTGTTTGCCAGTCTTTGCCAGTGTCAATGTAGGAGTTGGTCTTGTGCGAATCAAATCCAAAAGACCATCCTCATCAATATTGGGAATGTTGAAATTTTTTGCCTAAGTAGACATTTTTTTAATGTGATGATTTAATTACCGCGTAACCCTATATACACAAAACCTTTTCCAGCTTAGATGGCCCAGCATCCTCTCCAACTACCAAATAGCTGGTATTTTTGCTGACACTGCTCGTGACCTTTCCTCCATACTTCTGAACAAGTTCCGAAGCCCCTTCTCTGTCCAGAGAATCTAAAACTCCGGTGACAACAAATGTCAGTCCCTGCAAACAGTTTTTAGCTCCTTCTGGGATCTCCTTTTCTCCCATATGTGCTGGGCCTTTCCTCTGGAGGAACTTCCTATAGCTTTCAGCATGTTGTTTTCTTTTATCCCAAGCTTCTTCCAGCGCTGCATCGTTTGGTTCTGCTTTAGAAAGCTTGGCTTTACATTCAGGCGATTTGGTTTTCTCTTTAGATTTTTCCTTGACCTGAGGTATTTATTGAAATATCAGTTAGAAATGTTTCATACTCTTAGAAAAAAACTGACTTTTGGATTCTTCTCTTTGGGTTCATCTTCATTTTTTCCTAATAGCTTAGAGATTTTAGCAGGCTTTTGTGGCTCTCCTTTTTCAGCACACCTCTTTTTGTCTCCAAGAGACTTTTCTTCAGCAAAATTAGTCTTCTTCGAATTTTTAGCTGCTGGGGAGTACTTCTTTTCTAACTTGTCAATTTGGTCTAAAGTTGCAATAAAATCATCATCACTATGAACTTCAGATTCAATTTTGCCTTTTTGCTAAAATAAATTGAAATACGTTAAAATATAAAATAGCAGAGAACTCATTTTAATTTTAATACTCTTACCATTTTAGTATTCAATCCATTTTCTCCTTCATTCTTACTTTTCTTTGGAGACACATCCTTTTTAGTTGTTAAAGATGAGCGTTTGGCAGGTTTCGATCCGAAGATACTGGAAATGTCTTCGATTGCATCCGACTTTGGACATTGTTTTTTAACCTCTGCGCAATACAGAGTTTAATGCGTAAGATTGCCTTACATACATATAATTTTAAAAATCTCATACCCTGCGGCTTAGCTTTCTTTTGAGTGACTAATTGCACTTCATCGTCGCTGTCGGATTCGATGACCTTTTTCTTTCTCTTTTTTACAACAAATTCTTTTGGCTCATCTTTCTCTGCAACAGTTTTCTTGGTGGAAGCGCCGCTGAAGAATGAACGAATGTCCTGGAAGTTTATCCAATTTTTAATGTTATACAGCAGGGATTGCAAAATTTGAGAGCCTAAAAAGTTAAGTGGTGACGACTCGATCTTGTAAACTAAAATTGTTCAATTTTTGCACTTTGACATCCTTATTATTCCTTGGTCTCTCCACAACGGGCCTCGATGGCGGTACATAACTGGCGGAATAGTGGGCCCATTAGAATAGCATTGCGCCAAAAAGCTACCGCCAGCCCCGTCGTGGATGGGCCGAAGGCCTAAGGATTAAAAATATGTGCATAAAATTTTATCTTACCCGGCTCATTTTTTCAGCTTTTAAAATACAAAATAAAGGGCATAAGGCTAAAAAGGCCGACAAAATTAATCGTTTACAAAGTGCACAAGAGCAGCATTCAGCGCAAATTCAGGCAAATTCAGCGGTTGAGCGATGAGCGGCTCAAGAAAAGTTCAAGAGTCGAAACAAGACAAAGAAAAACAAGTTCTAGTTGTAACTAAAAAACATGTGTTTTCTTTAAGGATTTAGCGGCAAAATTTGCCAAGGACAACCAAGGAGGCCCAATCAAGAGGCATTATAGTTGCCTCGTTCGCCAATAGGTGTCTTTAGACGGTCGCTGAAAATATTTTTTATTTTTACTTTCAGTGTTTCAGTTGGTTGTCAAGTTGGTTGTCAATTGTCAACAAACAAACATGGCAGCCACTCCGTCTACCACGGTATCCGAAATTCTGAAAAGTAAATCGCAGTTTGAAGAGGATGAGCCAAAAAAGAAATCGAGGGAGGAATGGCGAAAAGCAAAAGAACTCGAGGAGGCTCGAAAGGTGAGAAATAATTCAGTCTCATTCTTCCAGTGTTTGGGAATTTTAGGTTCCTAAAATCTGCTCCTGCAATTATTTATTCCAAAACTCCAAATCAGAATAATCTGGATTTTTTCACCGCAGGAAATTTTAATCTAACAATATGCGGGATGGCGGGATCTAAAGCATTATTTTTGACAATTTCATAATTATCCTTCCTTTCTACACAAATCACATTATTTATGAACATTCCAGGCTGGCACAGCTCCTGCTGCTGTAGACGAAGAGGGTCGTGACATCAATCCCCACATTCCTCAGTACATTTCCAGTGCTCCTTGGTATTATGGTACCAAGGGTCCAACTTTGAAGCATCAAAGACCTCAAGAGGATAAGGAGAAACAGTTTTCGAGACTCGATGAATGGTACAAACGAGGAGTCGACAAAGTACGTTGCTATATTTTTGTTTTAAATTTATTTAACATTGTTTTGCTTTTTTATTGCAGAGCCATGTGGCCACAAAATTTAGGAAAGGGGCATGTGAAAACTGCGGGGCTTTGACCCACAAGAGGAGGGATTGCATGGAGAGACCAAGAAAGGTGCTTTTATTAAAACTTTTATAAACCATTTTTAACACGCTGTACGATCTTGATAGATTGGCGCTAAGTACACGGGCCTTGCAATTGCTCCAGACGAATTTTCCCAGCCTAATCTAGCAGTAGATTATGATGGAAAAAGAGACCGATGGAACGGTTATGACCCAGCCGAGCACAAAACCATAGTCGAGGAGTTCCAAAAAGTTGAGGAAGCTAAACGCAAACTCAAAGCTGAAAAACTAAAAGCGGATGGAGATGAGGACAAAGAGGTAAGCAAATTAAAAATGATTCATATAAAAATTTCAGATTAACTGCGTTTTTAAAAATAGGGCGAAGGTGATGATGCTGATGACGATGAAGAGGACGAAGACAAATATGCTGATGATTTTGACATGCCTGGCACTAAAGTTGACAGCAAGCAGAGAATCACGGTGCGAAACTTGCGTATTCGAGAAGATACGGCAAAATACCTGCGCAACTTAGACCCCAACTCTGCCTACTACGATCCCAAAACTCGTTCCATGAGGGACAATCCAAATGAAAAAGAGCAAGAAGAAGTTGACGAGTGAGTTAAACAAAAAATACATTTTTGTCTTTAATTAATTTTTCATTTTCTCAATCAGGGATGAGTTCGTTGGTGAGAATGCTGTCAGATTTTCTGGAGACACAAGAGGACACGCTAAGGCACAAATATTTGCTTGGGACGCGCATAATCGCGGAGTTGATGTTCATCTTCTGGCAGAGCCTACTAAGTTGGAGCTTCTTCAGAAAGAATACGAGTCGAAGAAAGAGTCGTTCAAATCGGAGGCACAGAGCTCTATCCTGGCCAGATATGGTGGTGAGGAGCACCTGAAAGCCCCTCCAAAGTCACTTCTGCTCGCTCAGACGGAAACATATATCGAGTACTCGAGGTCGGGTCGAATAGTGAAGGGTCAGGAGAAACAAGTCATTCGATCCAGATACGAAGAGGACCAGCTTATCAACAATCACACTTCGGTTTGGGGCTCATATTGGAAGGATGGAACCTGGGGTTTCAAATGTTGTCACTCATTTATTAAGGTGCGTTTTTTATGAGAATATTATCGATAAATTAACTATTCCATTTTAGAATTCCTATTGTGTTGGCGAGTCTGGCAGAAAATCCTCAGAGGCAATGATGCCTCCTCCTAACCCAGTAGCAGAAGTGAGCAAGGTAGAAGAGTTAGTGGAGAAAAAGAGGAAGCACTCGGCTGAGGAAAGCTCTTCTGGAAGTTCGTCGTCTTCCTCAGCAGAGGTAAAAATACTTTTCAGCCTTTTTTATTCAGTTCGTCACATTTCTTTCTTTCTTCAGGATGATGGAATTGATGAGGAGGAAAAGAAGAAGCTGGAAATGAAAATCCGCAAGAAGCTGAAGAAGAAGCAGAAGAAGTTGCAGCGGAAGGCAAAGAAACAGAAGGGCGCCGATGCAAAGAATGAGGAAACAGATGAGAAGGTTATTAAATTCATCAAATTATTGAGTTGTTGTTTACAATGTTATTGCTTTTAGTCCGAGGACTTTGAGCTTGATGAACGGAAAAGAAAGTACAACAGCATGTATGACGTCAAAGCTCCCACTGAAGAAGAAATGGAAAGCTATTACAAGAACAGGAAGCAATTTGATGACCCTATGCAGCACTTGTAGATTATTTTTAGTAAATATATGTTTTAATGCAATTACTGGCCATTATTTTCTTTGCAAACCTGGGCTCCAATTCTGTAAGAGGAATTTACCATTCTATTTCGGCCTTATACAATTAGACCTCTGGATTAATTATATCTTGCCCTGCCTAAAATGTGTTTGGAATCTAAGGAAAGAATTATAAACTGTTTGAATGAATAATTAATTTATTAAATATCTGGAAATAACTGGATTGTGAGGAATAGGAAATGGATTAACACAATAAATTTATTTTGACTTCTAATTTTCAAAAAACTAATGAACATTAATTAAGTATTCCACAAACCCAAACCAAATCAGAACTTTTTAATTAAGTGCTGTGGATGTGAGAAGAGCAACACCCCTCTCGTAAAAGCTGTGTGGATCTTGCCCAGGTGCGATGTTGAGGTCAACAGTGAAAAGCAGCTCAGTGCGAGTTGAGTTCAAGTAGACGGGCAGAGAGAGTTTTCCTTGCTGGCGAGGATCCAGACCAGAGGAAACCCTAATCCATCGCAAGAGGGTTACGGGCAGGTCCATCATGATGGTGGAGGTCAAATTCAGGGTGTTGCTTCTACACTGAGCACCCTGAAGCTTCAATCCGACGACAGCAAAGCTGCAATCGTCACCAGCTGAGGAGTTGTCCTCGGTGATGGTGACGTCAAGCATCAGCTCCTCTAGAGACCAGCTGTTGGCCTGAGCGATGCACTGTCTAGTTGCAGTGATGTATGCTTCCGGGTTCAAAAGGCCACCTAGCCACACTGGGAATGTCTGCAAAAATACATTTTTTGAGATAAATTTTCAGGGAATAAAATTATAATTATTTATGGTTTGCAGAAGCACGTGGAGGAGTAATAAAAATTAATATTCAGTGACAAACCTTAAGTTCCTTAGCTCCGCCCTGAGAAACAAGCTGCGAAACTTGTTGCAGTTGTTGGATGCGCTGGGCAAAGTCTGTAATCCACTGGATGACGGTGCAGCCTCTTGGCACGGTGTACCGACGCCAGCCTGGTGGCAGAATTCCTCGGACAAGTTCACTGAGCATGGTGCGGTGGTAGTTGGTCTGTTTCTTCTCAGCCTGACAAATGAGCACCACGTCATCAAGGTCGTGGATGACGTCTTGCAGGAGGCGAGCCCCAGAATTGACCTCTCGCTCAAAGTACCGGTACAGCGGATCTTTGATGTTGTCCACTGTGCGCCGCAGGGTGTTGAGGCTCTTGGGCAGCAGTTGCAGCCAAGTGCTTGCAGAGTTGTGCAAAGTTCGCATCCACAATGGCCGGCCGTCACCTTCGCTCAAGGGCAGGGACGCATCAAGACTCAGGGCGCCACCTTCGGCTGCTCCTGCCTCTTGGTTTGAGTAGGCCAACTCATCGTCGTCCTCCAGTTGCTGCATCTTTAACAGTTTGCTCACCAAATCCGTTCCTGAATATTGAAGGTTTTTAGTATTCATTTTTAGTGTGTGAAATTTAATTAAAACTACCTCTTGTGGTCAGAAGAACCTTCTCAGCGTTGTTAGGCAGGCCTAACCATGACGGCGTTTGCCTGTCGGAAAGAGTCTCGACCCAATGCAAAAAGTGGTCCCTGCGCACACCATCAGGCATTGTGATGTGGCGGCCACCAGCAGTGCCCCCGTCAACATTAGCAACCTAGCAATTATTTTCAGATAATAATATGCAAAAAAACCTATTCTGCAAGAAATACCAATGCAAAGTCTGGTTCAAAGCTGCGAGGAGTAAAGAGTTTGTTGAGGAACGAACTAAGCAGGCGCTGGTCAAAGTCATTATCAATCTTGCCTCCATAGATGCACTGCGACAGAAGGGTCACAAGGGCATCCCAAGGAACCTGTTTTTTTTTTTCAAATAAATAATAGATTGTTTATTTCTTTATTCTCGTAATCGTCACCTTATCTGGCGGCAGGTTGGTTCTGCCCATTGCAGTGGCTTCGATCCAAGTGTCGAGAGTGTCACAAGCCACCCTAAGGTCAGACTCATTGAACTCGTAATGCTTGGCCCAGCCCAACGGTGCGTATCGGAGTCGCTCTTGCACAATGGCATGGAACCAGGCAAGCAAGAAGTAGAGACGAGCTCTTTCGCTGGGCGCCTTCATCATGCGTGACGCTGGAATGGTGCTGAACGTGCGCAGGAGGTTGGCCCTGATGCCTGGTGGTGGCTCAAACACAATGATTCGACCAGCTCGTAGCAAATTAACGGGAACCTAAGCAAAAAAGGATGAAAAAAGGTTAATGAATATTTCAGATTATATATATACAGCACAAAATTAAATCACAATTTCAATTACATCACTATTATCGAGTGCTGTTTCTCTCAATTGTGGAACCAGTTTGTGCTGAAAGTTATTTACTTTGTAAGAAATTTTGATTCTATAAAAAGTTTTAGTTTCTTACATTTTATTTAAAATTAAATAAATGATCTTTTAGGTTCCGCTTTAGAAGAGAAGTATTTTAGTAAACGTACCTTTGGATTGATCTCCATAGTGAGGAACAGCCTGAAGCCTGCGTGTGGCTGCAGACTGTGAAGCTTCTTCTCCAGCTGCACAAGCCACTGAGGCGCAAGGTGCACATTCTTAAGAAGGACCCATCTGCCGGACTTGACGGCCATGTTGATCGCGCGGTCAGCCTGACTGAAACCTTCTGCTGAGCCAATGGCAATGCTGGCACACGGTCTACCCAGCTCTGCAGCCAAGTCATCAACGCGTCCTGAAGCGTCAAAGCCAGGGACAGAGCACAGCAGAGCGGGCACGTGGGCCTTCAACTCGGTCTCAACAATGGCCGTCAGGTCCAGTTCCTTTTCGGCAGAGGCCATGTAACTTTCACCCAAGACGGCCGACACAAAAATGTGAGCAGCGGCTACAACTCGATCTTGGCGGAACGCCTATGGAGTAAAAAAATTACAGAATTAAACATTTCGATCTAGAGAGGGTTTTGTTTTTTTAATTCAAAGAAAATCGTAACAAGAAGAATCTACTTCTTTTCAAAGTTCCGGTCTGAGGAGAAGATAATTTTTATTAAACAAAAATCGTCTTCCCTGTTGTCTTCAGATTTTTCAACAGTCAAAATCCGAAATTGCATTAGAAGCAAACACTGAGCTATGTTTATCATAAGCAATAAGCATCACACTGCAAGGAGATAATTCTCTTAAAGGAGTTATTTTCTCCTTGAAGTGCAGGAACGTTTTAAAAAACATTGCTCTCAAACTCTGAAATAATAGTTCAATAAAAAGAGACTAACCTGAATAACAAGCAGCCTATGCATTGCCTGTCCGATAGGACTTAGTGGCTTTTCTTCATCCCAAAGCTGGGGAACACAGACCTCGGGAGTTCCCTGCTGCAACCAGGCGCCAAACTCGGGCATTTCCTGGATCTTGTGAGCCAGATTTTTGAAAGCAGGCAATCTCAAGGACAGTCTCTGCATGGCTTCAAGTTGTTCTTGGCTGAGGCCTTCCAAGGCAGGCGCCTTTGTGGCCAGAACCACACCCTCCTTTCCACGGAGGAAGAAGGCAAACTCCGAGTCCAGACTTGGTTCAGCAGGCACACCTCTCAGGTGGATTCTGCAGAGTAGGATGGCCAAAGTGAGGCGGTCGTTGTGCAGCATGCCTCTGGCTACCCGCTCATAGCAGACGTTGAACAGGTCGCTGGTGATGGTCGCCAAACGATGGCCGTGGTCGCTCACGTTCTGCAGCTTCGGGTTGTTCAGCAATACGGAGCTGAAGATGTCAAGGAAGAATTGCAACGAATACTGGTACAGGAAATGAATCTGGTTGAGGCTATCCATTGTGAAGTACATGTTGCTGCATGCCTGGAAGATACAAATTTTTGTTGAAGCAAGAATGTATGCATGAATGACAAATTTATACCTGAGAAAGTGGCATGTACTGTTGAGAGACAGCCTCAATTTCACCAATGACCTTGTCGGTCTCCTCAACCTTCTTGCTGATTTCAGCAGCCTCATGCTTCAACGTTTCCAAAGTAGCGATCACACTGTCATCGTCAAGAATCTTGCCCTTGGCATCATTAAGAGCCTGTTTAAAATTTCAAGTAAATAAAACAAATTTTTTTAGTCATATCCATCAAACCTGAAGAAGTGATTTCTCAAGCTGCCTCAACCTGAGGTGGAATTCCCCTTGCAGCTTGAGCAGATCGGAACGCTTTTCATCAATATCCGGACGCTCAGCCTTCAGCACTTGGTTCAAGCACTGGCTCTGCAGAGAAGACCTGGTGACGGTGAAGTTGACAAAAGTCACCCTTGAGCAGATGTCTGGCGGAAACTCAACAGTCGGGTCTCTGGTTGAGAGAAAGATGACAAATGAAGGTGACAGATCTATGTCTTGGTCGCCAAGAGTGATGAGGACACGACCTCCAGTTCGTCTCAGCTCACGATTAAGCACGGGATTGAGGATGGGGTCGTAGTTCTCAACGTCCTGCACAAGCAACGGGTTGCCAAAACGCAAGGCTGACTCCAAGTTCTTTCTAAAGGAGTCGTCAAGGAAACTGGTCTTGGTGATCTTTTTGTCTTTGAACTCGTTCATAATGAACTCTGTTGCCTGACCTGACGGATCAATGATAAGTGGGTAGCGGTTGAAGCGCTTCAGCATGATGGCGTTCTCAGTGCACAGGTCATCCGTTGGTAGGGCATTTGCTTGCCAGCGCAGACGTTCATCTGGATTGGACAGATACTCTGTTCTGGCGATGTCTGCTCTGAACTGCAGACCTGCCTGCTGAAGGTGATGGATCCACATGCTGAAAAGATTCTGTCTGTAGTGCTGGTCAAAGTAGCCGGCATAGGCCAGGAAAGCAGAGGATAGAAGGACGTCTCCAATGATAGTAGACATTTGTGACTTGAAAGTCTCGCTTGTGGCCTCCCAACGTTCTCTCTCGATACCAAGGGACTTCAGCAGAGCTATGGACCTGTCCACCTTGCCCTGGACGCTTTCCAAGTCCAATTTTATGGCCTGCGCTTGAGAAATCAACTGGGCATATTCCTCCTTGTATGAGGCAATACTCTGCTCAAGCTGGGCAATCAAGACCTTGACCTCGTCGCCCTTGCTTGAGTTCTCAGCAGCCTGCGACTCCAAAAAGTCGAGCTCCTCTCTCAGCGGCTCAACTCGCTTCAACATGTCCGCATACTCAATCTGAGCAATGGCCCACTTGACCATAGGGCCACAAGCCATGCTGGCGCGGTTAACTTTCTCAAAGCTGTAGTCTGGATTGCTTAGGTACTTGGACCTCATCTTCTCACGGACGTCATCAGAAATTTGGTCCGTCTGGAAGTTGTTGACGATGGTATTGATGAAGTTGTCTCTCATTACAACAGCCCTGATTGCCTTCCAGTCGGAGGCGTTTTCGCCCAGCAAAAGGCAAATAGACTCGAGGGCCACTTTCACCAAAGCAGGTGGGTTGGCCATAGAACGCACTTCCACAAGGTGCTGCTTTTTGATGGACTTGACGGCTTGCTCAGCATCTTTCACAGCTGGTTCCACCTAAAATAACAAATACAATTTATGATGTATTCATACTTCACAAAGCTAAATTGTTTTACCAAAGCTAAATCTGCCATCACATCTTGTTGTTTTTGACTAATTTGCACAGTCTGGATTTCGAGGGCAGCCTGAATTTCCTGGCTTTGCACCTTCTTTTGCTCTGCTTCTTGCTGATCCTTGACCATTTGCTTCAGCTTTGCGTTAGCAGCATCGTTCTTTGCATTCAGCTCCTGTGATTTCACTGCAAGGGACTTTTGCATCTCCTCGACTTGTTCAACAGTTTCAGCGATTTTGCTGAGACCGACATTCAGATGGAGCTGCTGTTCTTCAAGATCAGAACGTTTCTCATTGTAAAGTTTGACAAAGTGGTTGATAAAGTCAAGGTAATGGCGAGGAGTAATAGCCATGGTACGGCCACCACGCTTAGCCAGTCGAATGTTGGCCTGATGCAGAGTTTGATGAACATAGACAAAAGCGTTGATTACCGCATCCCTAGATATTTCAAAATTAGATTTCAATAACTTTTAATTAATTTTTGTTTACCTATGATTTGGAGAAGAAGGGAGCATGGAACAAGTGGCAGGGAAAAAGTCGGGGGCTTTCCAAGTAGGCCTGTCCAAATCAATCTTGTTGGTGAACTCCTTGCCCACCTGGTAGAGGGCTCCGTCTGACCAGTCACCGAACCAGTTAAGAACACATCTGTTGAAAAGAGCAGGCGAGGTGGCGGCTCTATCTTTGAGTCCCTCCGAGGACGGGTTCATGGTGAAGACGACATGAAGATTTTTCATGACTTGTCCAGTGAACCACTTGTAGAGCTCATCGTGGGAGTCAAGCATCATGCCCTCCCTTTGAGCGCCTTCCTTGCACTGGGTCATCAGAGTGGTGTATTCGTCGCCCTCAAACAGGCCTGGAACTTCACCGTTGGCTAGCAGGGTGTTCATCCTTTCCAGGAAACCAGACTCTAGGACGTTTGACTCATCTAATATGAAAGCAATCTTTTCATCTTTGCAACCTGAGCGGCGCAGAACTGATCGGAGATCTTCATCAAAGTCTTCACTTGTGTATTTGTTGTGAACCTAAAATTCAAAGATTATTTAAAGGAAAAATCAAGCAAATGATTGTTTAATTACCTTAATCTGGAAGACGTTGAGACCATTCATCCAAGCAACAAAACGGCAAAGAGTGGTTTTTCCAGCACCAGAAACTCCAATGAGAAGAACATGGCCCTGAGGCTGCCTGAAAATTCTGTCGATTCGCAGTGCGTGATCAAGGACTTCATCAAAGAGCACTAAAGGCACGTCCAGTTCCTCTTCGTAGAAAATCTTTAATCTGGCAGTGACATAATCTCTCAATTGATTTCTGTCCACAGGCACATAGTCCTTGCTGAGCCAGTTCGAGTACAAGATTGGCCTCTGAAGGGCGGTGCTATTGTCAGCGCCAGGGAAGTGCTTCTTTGCCACGGCATCAATGTTCTCGCTTGTCCAGCGGCGCTCAGTGTCGTCGACAAGACGATCTTGGAATAGTCTCAATGCTTCATGGGCCCACAGGCGCACCAAGCCTTCCACAGACAGTGTCTCCAAAGGACGAATGGCTTCGCAGATGCCACGTACCCATCGAGTCATTTCACGAGGAGAATACACATAATGCGGCTGCATATCTTGAGTGAATCTACAAAATGCAGAATTTAAATTTGTAATATAAAATTTACTAATGGGGAAGATTCAATAGACTTAGAATAAGGGCTTATGCCCAGGCCTAAGGGATTTCGCCTGAGCACAAGGCTCTTAGTCCCAAACGTAAGCCCTTAGGCTTTTGATTTTTATTTTATCCTCATTTTCATGATCCTCACACAATTCTGATCCGAATAAGTTAATTGATCTTTGAAATTGGTCAAAATTTAAAATTTTTGTGAGCATGTTGACAATATTTGAATAATCAGCTGATTCGATTATAGCACGGGTTCAATGTCTATCCCGCAACGCAGGTCTAGAAACAGTTATCCCAAATTGATAATATTACCTCTCTTGAGAAGCAAGGTAGAATTCAACCATAGCATTGGTGAGAGGCTCAGCATAGCCTCTGAGTGGAGGCACAAGTCGGAGCATAGCTCTACTGAAAGTTCCGTAGATTTGCTTCAATGAAGTTTCTCCTGGGTAGTCGACGTAAATGACGGGAACGTGACGCAACAGGCGATGGGAAAGTGGCTTTCTGCCAGGGTCAGTGGGTGGATTGCAAGCGCCCACAAACTGGATGCGCTCTAGAGACACCCAAGCTTGGTCAGAGGCACGATAGAAGCCCTTCTGCTCAACCAGCTGGCGCAAGAATGAAATTACTCGTTGGGTGCCGTACTGGTCCATATCGGGCAAGTTGATCTCATCACAGAAAAGAACGAGCCACCTGCCTAGCTGCACTGGAGCCAAAACCACGCCATTGGGTGTTTTGCGATACTCACAGTAGTGGTCAAAGGTCTTAAGCAATAGCTCTGGAGTGGTGGCAGAAGAGAAGTTGAGACCGACGACTTCCATGTCAGGCAGAGCACGTAGTGCCGAGAAAAGAGTCATCGTCTTGCCAGAGCCGGGTGGGCCACAGAGAACTACACACGGAACATTTTTTAAAGATATTTAGAATATCTAAGTATGTTACTCACCAAGAGGTTTGTGTTCAGCAAGCCAAGTGTACAGAAGCGTCTCATGGCGAACTGTATCTAAAGTGGGCACCACTACATCGGGGGCTGCAACTTTGTGGGTCTCAACTTCAATTTGAGGCACCTTGTTAGACCATGGCTGCCACTCTCCTTGAATGCTCACCTGAGCAAAATAACACATTTAAAATATTATTGGAATAAAATAGAATTAATACTAACCTCGTAATCAATGATGGGGATATTGCTTGTTGGAGGCAAAGGAATAGTGGCAACAGAGCGGATGAAATCACCCAGATCGGAGCGCACTTTTAGCTTGGCATCACCAGCAAAACTCCAGAGCAATGCATACACAAGGTAGCGCTGGATGTAGTGCTCAGCTTGTTCAGGTGGCAACGGGAAATCAGAGTGCGAATGGTTGTATTGCAAAATGTTGCGAACACCCTGGTTCAGCATAGAGAATAGCGAGTTCAGGGCACGCAGGCGAGTGAAATCCATGATGTGCTCTTGCTGAGTGGCAAACTCAAGACAGCGTACAACAAGTCCGTCAGGAGCAAAGAAGGGCTGGAAGATGCTGGCAGCTTCTCTCTGAACCTGCGACAGAAAAAAATTTTAATAGTCCACTTAGTTTAATGGGCGACTTTCAATGGGAATTTTTTTAATTGAATACCTTTATTGCAGGAGAGAGGTCCTCTTCTTTCTCTTTTTTGAAATTAGCCTCTTCCTCACCTTCGTCAAGGGAATGTTGTCTAAGGCGGTTCATGAAGTGCTCGAAAATCATTTCTGTGGAAAGAACGTCTTCTGAGAACCAGACCATGCCACAACGGGATACTGTAGCTAAAGTGGCAAACTTCAAATCTTGCACCTGAAAGTAATTGAATGATAAAAAAGAGCTCATAAAACCAGTGGTAAAATTACTGACCTCGAACATGATCCTAACATTAGGTGGAAGTGAGAGACGCTCTCCGTTAGGCAAGGTGAGCAGTTTGTTGTCATCAAGCACGGAATTAAGATTCTCAACCCACTCAGGGTCAACATCACCATCAAAGATAATCCACTGGCGCTTGTTGATCTCACCACGAACGTTGTCAATGATTTTTCTAAAAAATAAATATGTACAATTATGCAAAAAAGTTAGTTAAAAGAGTGCTGAAGTACCTAAGAATGTGAGTGAAAAGACCATCGGTCCATTCTCTGGTATTAGGGTCGAGAACACCATAGAGCGCTTCTTTGCTCATAGCCTTAGGGTCAATGACATGGGCAACACCCTCTACCCCTTCAAGCCTCTCAAGGGCCTTGAGGAGAACTCTCCAGGCTGTGCTTTTTCCAGAACCGGATGGACCAACCATCATCAAACCGTGGTTCAAGCTGCAGATTTGGTACAATTGTAGGACCTAAAAGATTTTTTAATGATAATTCAGCTGAAATTATTTCTAACACCCAAACATGAAAAAGAATCACATTGATTTTAACAATGAGAAATCAAAAGTAAAATTGTAGTGATTGAAGATTGTAATATTCCGTGAATAATGAGTGATGGTGGTAATACTTATGTTAACACCAATGATAGATAAAGAGATTTGGGAAAGTTGGCCTCAATAAAAAAAGTGCTGTTTGCAAGTAAGCCATACAATTGGGGTGCAGCCCAAGCTTTGGTTGAATATATAGCAAAAATTAACTTGAGTGCCGTTATATTCTTACCTTCTCGCACCATCCTTCCCCTAATGAATCCTGTGTTAAGAGCACAGGAGAGAAATTAAGTAGGCTTATAATACATTATTTTTCACAAACCATTGCTGTCATATTAAAAGTTTGTTCTAAAAATTCATTCCAGAAATGCAACTATTGCAAAAGTGCGAGAGCTTTCTTTAATGTTAGTAGGCCAAATTGGGGGTGCCCGCTTAAAATTAAACCAAAAATTACCTTTTCCATCCAAGCACCACCTTGCTCCTCTCCTTCTCCACAAACGAGGAATTCTTCTTGGCAGACTTTGCGGATATGGTCCTTTAGGCCTGAAAAAATAAGAAAATTAATTTCAAAATAGAATATTTGTTTGGCTATTATTACCTTTCATCTCTGCTCTAGTATAGCCAACGTTGGGGAATACATCAGACAACAGTGAGAAGAGCAGAGGTATGTCTTCAGCCACTAGTTTGGGTACCATAGTTTCACAAACAGATTGAATCAAAATCTGAAATTGTTACCAAAGTGTCAAAAACTGGATAATATTATTTGTAATTAATGCCAACCTCTTGTTCTGGCAGGTTTTCAGCAATAGCTGCCTCATCGATGGTCTCATTTCCTCGGGCTCTCATATCATCTCTAACCTTTTGAATGCGGTCTCTCTTGACATTGCCTGCAGACACAAGCACTGATTTCAGTGCTCGTAAGCCAAAGTCGTAATGAGACTGATTGGAAAGCTGCTCATCGCACAGTTTGAAGAAAGGCACAATCTTTCTGGCCAGGGTTTCAGCACTGCGGAAACCTTGAGAAAACAGCATCACCTCTGCAATCAATTGCCTGTCTGGCTGAGTCATTGCCAGGGAACGGAACAATTTCTTCAAGTTGTCTGGCAGGTTGGAGCGTCCAGCATAACCAGGGTTCATAGTGATGAAGATTGCCATGTCTGGGTTCACAGAAACTTGCTTGCCGACCAATTCCACTGAAATATCTGCAAGAAAATCAATCTTTGGTATTGTAAAGAAAATCTTTGCTGAAGTTCTTACGGCCTTCTTTGTTGCTTTCCTGAGTGGACTTGAGAGCTTCCTGGATTGTTTGCACTTGCTGAGACACAGCCGACAACATTCTCTCTTCCAGTCGGTTGAACTCATCAAAGCAACCCCAAGCGCCAACTTGGCAAAGACCAACAAAAATCCTGCCCATGGCTTGGAAGTCGAAAGTCTCGTCACAGTTGAAAACAAGCACAAATCGGCCAAGCTGGTGGCCAAGGGCTTTTACAGACTCGGTCTTTCCAGTGCCTGCCGGTCCGAATGGAGAACCTCCAAGGCGGGACTCAAGTGCCTGAGTCATCGTCAAGTAGCATCGGTCTGTCAACGGAGTTTGCACAAGACGATCTTGCACTCCCAAGTACTCGAAGCCATAGAAGAACCTGCAAAACGTCAAATTGTCCAAGATTTGAAAAACTAATTTTGATTTATATAACCTGGCATTGGCCATGTGAATAGTCAGTTGTTGAAGGACATCCGATTGCCGGGGATCAAAATAGAATCTCATTTCAGTAAGCCACTCAAAGGCCTTTGGCGAGTTGACCTTTCCAGCAATCAACCTTCTTGTTACAGTTCTCTTATGAACAAACTCGTTGATCTACATACACAAAAGACGCTAGTTTGGACATCAGATAATTTTAAATTTAATTTTACCAGGTGCTCAAGTTTCTTCCTCCTAAGCTGGGGCTGCTCTTGTAAAACGGAGTCAGCAAGCACATTCAGAGTGTTCTCGACTTGAGTCAGAACTCTTTCCAAAGGAGCTGAAGAGCTTGAAGGGCCGGAAGCCTCAATCTGCTTCAGGGCTGCTTCCACGTCTTCTGACCACAGAATCTGTGCGGCCAACACAACGATCTGTGCTTGGTATTTGTCACACCATTCCATGTAAAGTTGAGGATCAATGCTGCCTTCCTTGAACTGCTTGATGTCTTGGACCGCTTGTGCTAGACATGAGGCCAATGTCATTCGCATTGCTTTCTCAACTCTAGTAAGCCACTCATTGATCTTGGGATATTCGACAGTTGAAACTGGCTCAAAGAATTTAACCTGAAAATATTTTGTACATGTATATGATTTATTTTTCAAATTTAAAGCTGAAAATCAAACCTCTTCTCCTTCCCGAGAGGCAATGCCAGTGATCACAGTGTTGTCTTCATTCAGAAGAATAGAAGCAACTCCCGCAAACATCTTTTTGAAGTGTTTTTGCAAGCGGGCAATGTTCTTGCTGTTGCCAATAATTTCTAGCAAGTCCTCGTCACCAACAAAGTAGAATCGGGGGAACGAAGTTCTCTCTCGCTCCAAATATTCACCAAGAGCTTTCTGTATTTTGCCCAACAAGTCTGCCAGCCGCTCCAGAGATCTCTGAACTGCTGGGATATTTAACACGTCCATGACCATTGGTGACTTAGCTACTTTCTTCATGAGACCCAAAAATTCCGAGCTGAAATTAATAATATCCTATATTTTACTCTCTTTAAATGTTAAAACTACTAACCTGATGCTCTGGAAGCGCGACGTCTCAACGGGGAGCAGCGTTTTGATGTCAGCGCTGCCTGAGAAAATTCCTTCCAAGTATACCCAACGCCTCTGGACGTCAATCCAAACGTCAAACAAGGCATTGATGCGGTTCAGTTTTTCTTCCCATGTAAGAGCTTCTTCTTCAAAAACCTAATGAAGAGAGATTTTAAGAAAACCTGCTCACATCATCACTTATTATCCACTTACTTTGTAGTATGGCGAGAGTTTCATAGCTGCCAGTGAGTTAATGTGCTCTTTAACCTTGTTGAAAAGATCATCCCAGCCTCTAATAAGCCTGCACTTGTTCTGATAATTGATGAGATCTAGCTCGTAGCTCTGCCATGATTCTCGAACTTGTTTGAGGAACTCCTCAAGGGCCATCTCGCCTTGGGCAACAAGAATCACGTCCTTGACGACTGACTCATTCTTACGCAGATCGACATCCCAAACTTGGCCAAGGGTCAATTCAGAAAGAATCCAGTTGACTCGGAGTTGCCTCATTAGCTGCTTCCAGTGACGCTCTTTCAAAGCATCCGACTTCAATTCCACAATCATCATGTTGACCTAAATAGCAAAAACATTTAATATTAAAGTAAAACTTCACATATAAAAATTTGCATTCCAACCTTGGTATAATTCTGCAGGAGTTTCTTGACATACTCGTAGGAAGAGTACTGTCTTAGCCTAGCAGGCAATTCTTTCAATTGATTCATCAGAGTGTCAAGCTGCTGGCGGAGCTTTCTTGGCTGCACAGACAACCACGGTTTCTCTCTGAGTTCATCTATCTGGTTCCAGATCCTCGAGAGCTCAGACCAAACTCCTCTGAGGTCTTGAAGTTCTTCGTAAACGACATTCATGCGGTCCTCACTTGTGCTGATGCCGCCAGGCTCCTGCAGCTCCAGAGCTTCCTTAGCTTTGGCAACATTGTCCCGTTCTTCCTTCAGCCTCGAGTACTTGCTCTCAAACAATTGCAGCTGCTGCAAGGCCTCCTCAGGTCGAACTGATCCTTCAACTGGCTTACCACGCTCCCATTCTTCGAGGAAATCGTTTGTACGTGATTCCACTGCCTTGTTCTCAGTGACGATCTTCAGCTGAAGACTAGCCACTTGCGACTGGATGGACGAGTCTTTGCGCTTGATGATTTCGTTAAAGGCACCCCACTCGCCTTCAATGTTGTCAGCATGCAACCAGCTGGAGGGGAACTGGAAGCGCTGTCGCTCAAGAATGCGCTGACCTTCACGATAAGTTTCAACCAGCTTCTCCCAGCTGCGCATCTTCCGTTTTAGAGACTGAACATAAGTAATGAAGCTGACAGCATCAGATGTGCTGGCTGACTCAATACTCTGCTGCTCCAATTCACTACGAGACTGAAATTTTCAAGATAATGCGTCAGAAAGGCAGTATAAACAATAAAATATTTGCATACTTTGGAAACTTCTGAGTGAAAATCAGCCATCTCGTTTCCAAGCAGAGAGCCAAACTTGCTCAACGTCTCTTTGTGCCAAGAGTCGTACTTCAGTGAAACCTTACTCTGGACTTTGGCATAGTCAATGACAATTGGCCCAAATTCTTTGCGAGTGTCGGTGGTGTCGAATGTGGCTCTTGACGTTTTAATGTCACTCAAGCACTTCATCCACAAGTTTATATCAGTGCCGAGACGACCATACAAATTGTCAGCTTGCAAATCCCAAAGTGCCTGGTAGCAAAGCCATTCTTTGACGTAGTTTTGAATCTAAAAGAACACTTTTGATAGATTAAAATAAAAAGTTGTCATTTAACGCAAATACCTGAGTCCATTTGCTAATTACAGCCCTGTAGGCTCCAGCAAGCACACCTTTGCCTTCTGGCATCTTGGACAGCAAGTTTCTGTACGTTTGGGAAGTAGGTTTGTCCAAGCCAACTTGATATCTTGAACTCTGGATTCTAGTCTGGCTGAGAATAATAGCCTGCCAGGCAAATAGCTGCCATTGAATCTGTAGCAGAGCCTCATCCACATTTGGGTGAACATACATAGTTTGATTGGTGATCCTGATTTCATGCAAGTGGATAGTGATCTAAAAAGTTGGATGAATTTTAATTGAAATAATCTGAATAAGTTTTAAAACTTACCTGAGGATCACCTCCTGGCTTATGGGTAGGCTTGTCAGGGGCATCAGTGTCCATGCTGAGGTCAACTTCTTCTTTCTTGCCCTCAAGCGCCTTTGTCCATGCTTGAATGCCAGCTTGCAATCGAGCTGCTAGTTTTTTCTCAACCTCTTCATCAAGCCGAGCCACCCAAAGCTGCAGATTAGAGTATTGCTTCAGACTCAGATCGTCGACTGCGTCTTGAATCTTCTTGAGGATTTCAGAGAAGGTGTTGGCAGAATATGGGCAAGTTTCCAATGAGCGCACATCTGCGTCAAGTTGTTCTTCGAGGACCAGCAGGTCTTCAACTTTCTCTTGGAAAGTGAACACGGCCTCGGCAAAACGGTTCACATATGGATCCAGTTTGTAACTTTCCCAGACAAGACCAATGCCCTAAATGGATAAAATTTAGAGTTGTCTTCAAAATAATATATGAAATTACACTCACCTCTGCAATCATTGTTTGGACGTCTTTGTGGAGCCCAGCAACCAGGAGGACAATGTTTGGCTTATCCTCAATCTGAAACATTAAGTCCTTTATGAGACATTGTTGGCCTTATGTTTTCTTAATAAAAAAGAACAACAAAAATATATTCTTTGTTATATACAATTTTGTGTTTTTGTCGAGCAAGAAATTAATTAAAAACATCAAAGTTCAAAAATCGTCACTTCCAGAAAGGGCAGGTAGCAAAGCAGCTTTTAATTTTCTTCTGCACTGAAAGCTAAGTATTGTTTGAAGAAGAGAAAATCTGCAAAGCCCACTGAACAGCCATTAATACTTCGCGAGTGTGAGCTGCTTTAAGTCAGCTGCCACATTTTGTGTGTGTGTGTGTGTGCCTAAAGAAAGACTTAAGCATGTATTTTGATAGTTTGCTACAGGAAAAGCACAGAGAGCAGCCTGAGGGTTTGGAAAGAGAGGGTCATGAAAACAACCAACAGCCATTGAATGGACTCGTCTACCTTTCCTGACGAAACGCTCCTATTGTTCAGCTGATAAAATTACCAAATGTGTTTGTCAAAACTTTATTCATATCATAATGTCTTTATATATAATATTCTATGATATTCCAAATTCCAAATGTCTACATATTAAATTTAGTTGTACCTTTTCTAAAGTCCTCTCATAAGTGCGTACACTTTCGATCAGAGAAATTGCAAATGGGTAGAGCTGATTTGCCTGGTGGGCTTTGTTTACAATAGCCAGTGGCACACGGAAGCCAAGGTTCTTCAAATTTCGCACCTTAGAAAGAAATAAGAGTAAAATTTAAGATGACCAATAAATAATAATAAATTACCTCTTTGCTAAGGGTGATAATCTCTGGCAAAAAGTTGACCTTGAGCTTGAGAACCGAGCCCCTGCCAGAACGGCTGCGTTGACTCTCTATTGTGAAGATGCGGCCCGTCACGCCCAGATTCCTAGCTTGCACATTTCTTGACCAATCATCAAATATTTCTTGTGTGTTCAGTTTGGCTCTGAAGCTGTCTCCATCTGCTTTTAACTTTTGGCCTTCAATGTGGTTCTCCCAGCCTTTGCCTGTACAAACCATAAGGGCAAGTTAAAACTAGGCCGCAAGTAAACAAGAAAATAAACTTGCCTAGAACATCCTCAACACGTCGCAAGTAAGCAGTAAGTTGGCGATCAATCTGTCTGGCCCAAACAATTGATCCAGATACTGGAGGTAGATCATGCACTCCACTCATTCTACTGGCCTTACTTTGAGGATATTGAACCTGCACTCAACACAAAACAATTTTTTTAGTTAAAACAGCAAAATTTATAATCCAATCATACTTTGAACTTCTCATGAAGCGCTTCGATATCATCTTTCACTCTTTGAATGAGCTGTGTCTGGTATTCTCGGATGGCTCCCCTAATGTGGGGGCGGACAAAGAGGGCGTTGAAGCGCGAGAAAATGCGGAACATCTCATTAGCATTCTTTGCAGTTCCGAGCTGATCGCGCAGCCTTGCTGTAATTCTAGCCTCAACACGGTCGATTCGCTCCTCATAGCGACGAACAGCAGCTTCCCATGCCTCAGTACCTTCTCGAGAAATGTCCAAGCAGTCAACTTCTTTCACGTTTTCATAAGCAACATTCACTTCCTACATAATAATTGGTTAACAAATAATGCATTGTGTAAGCTCATAAATCCAACCTCTATAGCACTGGCGTCATTAGCTTCCAGGGAAAGGAATTCCTTGCCAGGCTGTTGGCCTTCTTCGCCCTGAGTAATAGCTTGGTTGTCACCCTGCTTGCCAGTTGGTCTCAGGACGCGCACAATGACTGTACGAAGCTGCTCGTGTTGACGACGGAAGCGCCTCATGTGCTCCATGCGGGTTTGGAGCTTTTTGTGAGCAGGTTGGACACGCCACACCATTTTTAGATGTTCGTCACGCTTCTTCTTAACAATATCTCTGTAAATTAAGTATAATTTATATTTTTCCAACAAAAAAGTGACTCAAGTATGTACCTCAGGAGGCCCTGAAGTTTGTCGTATTCATCGTCCCAGCAGGAGAATACTTCAAAGCACTTGCTCATGACCTTATCAAAATCATCAAACGGGATGTGCATCAATCTTCTCGTGCCCAAGACTTTCAATAGCTGGGCCATGAGATCTCTGGAAATGGCCTCAACCAGTCGGAGACATCGTTGGATGGGATATTTGGTGGACCGAATCTTGCGCAGGTGGCTGAAGATTGCAGTCAAAGCTACTCTTATTCTGTCCAGCTCAGTGGCAGATAATAAATCATTTATCGGGAAGTCCTTCATGAGTGGGTTGTAGTCATTGACTGTGGCCAGCGCTTGTTTCAAGCCAGTGTCCGTGTCAAAGGAGACGGTGGCGTGAAAACGCTTTCCATGTTTCAGAATGTCTAAAGTCAGACCCACTTCAAGACTTTCCCGCTTTTCCTGGATGCGCAACAGCGCCCTTTCCAAGTTCAGCCAGAAGCTCACTTCTTGCAATGCAGTACCAGATGAAGGATCTCGGTCCAGTTTAGTAACCTAAGGTTAATACATTATAATAAGGGTGCACAGTTATTTTTCAATATAATTTGAAAATTACCTTCTGAATTTCTTTGATCCACCGATTTACGCCATTCTGGAGCTGATTAAGGAAGGTAGAGTCTTCGATCCTATCCCCAAAGTCAGCCACTTTGGGCTTTCGATCTTGCTCCATGCACTTCTTGATGATTGTGGCAACAGTTGCGTGCACAGGTAGCGAAATTTCAGGAATATCGATGTTCTGCTGTAGATGCAAAAGACCCATTTCAAGCTCAGCAATTTTCTTCTCAACTGATGGTGCCATTTTATCCCCTTCTCTATAAAAGAAAAATTAAAATTATAGATTGCTTTTTTTTCAGAATTAAACGTAAAATATAAAATAGTTGTACCTGTCTGATCTGCCAGACTCTCTGATATATGACTTAAAGTATGGAGCTACAGCGCCACTAATGAAGGCGTGCAGAGTCTCGTAGGGCGAGTCTTCGCTTAGGTTCATCACCCGCATTTGAGATGGAATGCTCTTGTCAGCTTCAATCACGGCAAACCTCTTAAGGCATACAAGACTAAACAGAAAAAGGGTTATTCCAATAAAAGATAACGATTTTTTTCTTTATTAATTAACCTGGTCATTTTTTGGTTCAGAAACTGGACTTCATTTGATAAGAGATACTGGACATCTTTATCATCTTCACCCTGCTCACTGTCCTCCTCTATTTTTTATAAAAGTGTCATCATTTATTTCATTTTCAATCAATCACAATCAATATTGCCAACTAGAGGTAGCCGCAAAAATTAGCAAAAAAAATAATAATAAACAAATAAACAAGCCATTGACCCTCTGCTCCTGGCTCCGCCTACTCAAGACAGTGACTCATTTGGTGCTCAAATGGCCGATTCTTTTTATCAGATTGATAAAATGGCAATTGTACTAAGTGGATCAATTCCATGTTAAAATGGATGAAAAATTTTGAGCTACAATCAAGTTTTTTTTAATTAAAAAAGGTATATTACCTTTGAGGGATTGGCGCTGAATAAACAGGGCCCGAGTTTGAGGGTCGGCAATGAATTTCCGTAGGGCCTCTTGGTATTCCTTGGCCTCGAGACAAGCCTTAAGATTTGTGGAAGGCTGCTCGTCATTTTCCAGGAGAAGTGTAACGACGTGCTTGAGATAGTTGGTGAGCACGTTCGTGTCGGCAACGGCGACATTCTGGATTTCGGGTGGAGCATCGCCCGCTCCACCGGTGTCACCCACTTCGGCGCTCATCTTAAGCTTCTGTCCGCTTTGGAAGAAGCGGATTCGGCTTTTCGACTACTCTAAGTTAGGTTTTGATTCTGATTTAAGCTGGAAAAAATGATCTGATGGCGAAAATCGGCCAAAATTCGCGACGATTAGCAGGACACGTCAAAGTCCTCCGAAATCTGTAGCAAAGTGGGTGTGGTCAACCGTGAACCGTGTAGGAGCACTGGGAGGTTTCCATTGGCTGGCACCGAACTTTTTAACATTTTCTGAGCGCGAAAATATTTGCATTGCACCCCAGTCGTACGCAAAGCTTTTTTTCCAGAGAATGCACGCATAGAATGATTTGCTAAGTTTTTTTCCGGTTTTTTCATGAACGACATTTTATAATTGAAAAATAAATAAATTAATGTAATAATAAAAAAATAGCTTAGTTAAAATTGCATTTTACGCATTTTACATATAAAAAATAAAAAACAATTTATTTTATTATGAGTATTTAAAAAGATTCCCTATTCACGATAGTCGATAACTCACTGCTGCGGAGAGAGCGGATGGGGTCTTTTTGATATCGGAAGTTTAAGCAAAATTCTTGCTAGCAGTGTGGTGGCGTTTTTTCTAACAAATGTGATAAAGCGTTTTAGAGATTTTTTAACTGCAACCAACTGCAACAATGTAAGCTCAGACCAAAAGACCATAAATTAAATTTACAATATTTGCATAATCTTCTTTATTCTCAAAAATACACAGGAACAGGATATTTATAATTTTCTCTTTCTTGAGATTCAACAGCACATTGTAAAAGCATTGTAAAATGCATAATAAAAATGAAAATTTTACAAAAATAAATTTTTCTGACTTAAAAATCACATGCAATGGAACGACTTATTTGCAGCTTTCTGACGCACGCCGACTTAAATGTAAAAATATTACCGAGGAGCGAGAGGAGAGGTACAGCCTCTATTGCGATAAGGAAGAGCTAACGGATCACTTTTCCTGGTAACATTTTCAAGCATCTGGTTGCCATATGTGTAAGTAGAGCTGATGGCACCAAACATTCGGTTCACCAATCCATTTTGTTGGTTCTGTGGGATTTTCTGAGGCACAAGTGAGTAGCTAATTCCATTTGGATTGACTGAAATTTTAGAGAATTTTTGTTATTTAAAAGCTAGTTTTAAAATGATTGAGGAGAATATTTTGGGAGAAGAACCTAATAATTTTTGGAAGAATATTTAAAACTATTTTACCTGCTAGAAAAGTGAGCAAAAGTTTGTTGACATGATGAACAGCCTCTTGATGGGGAGCATGACCCGCACCTCCAACTACTCTGACAATTAGCTTATCTTCCAGTTCAGTTGACTTGATAGCTGTTTCCATTGAGAATGACTGGTCTTTATCACCAACTATCAATAGAAGTGGAATGTCCAAGGATCCAACGAGATCAGAACGAACTCTGGCTTTCCAAAATGTGCGGAAGTAATTTAAAGCACCCGTCCAGTCCACTGTGAATTAAAACAAAAAAATTAAATAACTTTCCATCCTCCATCATATTGAAGAAAACCTTTTCTGGAGAAGACAAATTTATACGTTTCTCTGGAAACCATTTCGGAATTTGGGTGGGCAAGTACGTGAGCATGAAAAGTGTCGATGAAAGCAAGGTCATTCATCATGAGCATGTTTTCCATGACATCTGGCACTTGAAACTGCTGCACCATTCTATATTGATGAGAGTTAGAATTTTTTCAAAAGATTTTGGCTTTGTACTTTTTGTTCAAAGACGCAGAATGTAGCAATTCTTCCCAGTAGATATTTGGGTGTGGGCAAGATATGCTAACAAACCGAGCCACCAAGTCAGGATTGGAGTAGACAAAAAACCATCCAACAAGTGCTCCCATGTCATGACCAACAAGGACGCATTTTTTATTTTCACCCGCTAGAAAAAGAGGAAAAAAGAAAATATTACAACTACATAATATATGTAACACTTTGATTATAATTTGTCTATACCTATTGCTTTGGTGAATTCAGCAAGCTCTTTGACAATCTGCTCTACCTTGTACATTCCTGGGCGCTGAGGTTTTTCAGAATCACCAAAACCTTTCAGATCTACAGCCACGACCCTGTATTTGAAAAACAGTTTTAAAAATAAAAATTTAATTTCTTTTACATACCTAAAATGCTGTGCCATAGTCAGCATCTGAAACCTCCAGCCTATCCAGCAATCTAAAAATCCGTGCAAGCAGATCATCAGGGGACTTTCTGCATTACCAGCTTCAACGTAATGAAATTTAACACCCTAAATTGAAAAACATGTTTAAACTCTTAATGATTTTCAAATTGATTTTTTTTATGTAAAACACTTATCGCACCTTCAGTTTTATGTAAGAATGAGTGCCAAGAGAAGAATCGGTGAGGCAGGTGGGTGCCGGTTTGTCTCTTTTCTTGTTGCCGAAGTGCTTCTTGGGATTCCACAGCCAACAAATGATGATCTTCATCAAGGTCACCAGAGCCCAAAAAATGCCAATAGAGTAAAATTGAAGCTTGTCTAGCAGCGAAACCTCTGTGAAACATGGCTCATGTTTGCTTCGTTTACCATACGGCTCAATGGCTTGCACGATCCGCTGCTTGATCATTTGTTTAGTGCGAAACATCACTGCTAAAAATGTAAAGAATCATTATTGATATTATTATCAACAAATATTTGTGTTCAGCACCGATGATTGCTTGCAAATTATTAAAAATAAGACCCATTTTTGAAAACCTGAGAACTGCTCCCACAAAGGAGGCGTGACCGTTTGGACCACATTGACCAGGGCACGCCCACTCTTGTTGCCGAAGTAAACAGAGGTGGTTTGGAAAAGGGTGAACGCGTCCGAAAAATGACCAGGCATGCTAAGAACTGCACGGCGGGCGCCGTCTATACCTATCACGAGAAAAAGAGGGATGCGCAATCCTCAGGGTATGGAACCCAGAGCCAAAGAGTTGGCAAGGATTCGATCAAGGACTTCGACTGCTGCTCTCTGACCCTTCAGCCGTGCAGAGAGCCGCTCGTCTCGTACGTTTTTTTGTCAATGGTTTATCTCGGTTCTTATCTAATCAAGTTTTACGTCTGAAGGCCTGAGGGACACATATTTGATAAGGAGGCCATTTATAAATACATCATCACCAAGAAGAATGAATACAGTCGCAAACTCAAAGAGTATGAGCGACAAAAGAAGAAGGAACAGGTTGGTTATTTTTTTTAAAACAATTTTTAAATAAACATAATATTCAATAATCATGTTTAAAGTCTATTGTCTCATTTGCTTATAATTTTAGTCTGAAGTCGATGCACTGGCAGAGGCTGAAAAACAGTCCAAGCTGAACAAATTTCTGAAAACTGAGAAGAACATTGTTACAGAACCAGTAAAAGCATTCATTTCTGGTAAAAATTTCATCAAAATTTGAGGAGAACCACCTTCTATTATGACTTTCAAACAGGCCCTTCAAGTTCAAAAGAATCTACTGTGTCAAACATGAGAGCTGGAAAAGACAAACAACTGCCAAGCTTTTGGGTCCCTTCGATGACACCAGAGAGCAAGACCAGTGTGGCATCTAAGCCAGTAACATATAATTTTAAAATTAATTCATATTTCTTTTATAACTTTATTTTCCATTTTTAGGATAAGACCATCTATTGCCCCATCACAGGAAGTCCCTTGAAGGTGAGCACCCTAATTCCGGTTAAGTTCACTGAAATCAATGATCCAGACGATAAAAAGTCCCTCATTGCAAAAACCGAGAGATACAAGTGCCCTGTAACTGGTGACGTGCTCAGCAACTCCATTCCCTGCGCCGTGATTAGAACAACGTAACTAGAATTTTGTTAATACTAGAAGTATTTTAACATTAATAAAAATATATTATGAAGGGGAGATGTTGTGACCATGGAATGCGTGGAGAAGATCATCAAAAAGGACTGGTTACACCCAATAACTGGTGACAAGCTTTCTGAGAAAGACATCATTCCACTTCAGCGGGTAAATGATTAACTTCCTACTCTACAATAATTACTCATTGTAATTGTTTTATCAACAGGGAGGAACTGGATATGCAACAACAAATGAGAAGTTAAAGTCAAAACAGGACAGACCCGTTCTCCAGGCTTGATAATCCAAAATATTTTATTGTATTTAACTATAATATTAATAAACTGATAATTTTTTCCTCACAATAAAATAATCATTTAATTGTTGTGCTTTAAAACCAAGTTAAGTAAACACTGCTTATTAAGCCAAGGATTAGTTACCCATATACATACTTTGTTGTGTCAGGAATTAAATAATTATTTATTTTTGAAAATTAAATATATGTTTTTAACCATTCATTGTCAATTTGAAAAGTATTTTGAGCTATCATTGCGTCGTCGTAAATGGAAGTCACTGTTCACAAATTCTTGAATGGCTTAGTTAACATTGCATATTAATTAATTCTTAATTTTAAGTAAATAAAAAATTATAATAATAATAATAAAGGCTACTAAAATAAGTTTTAGTAGAAGAAAACACAATGCAGTATTGTTCTTTCATTTTTGGATTCAAAGTCCTGCAATAATTCGTCGATGTCATTATCCAGATCTTCGCTGTGGCTCATCTGAAAGGAAGATAAAGTTTTCAGAAAAATTTAGTTGATAAAAATGACATACCATATCAACAAGCTCGCAAATCATGAAAGCTCCTATGGTGGCCTCTTCGTGGTTGTCTTGTATGTCTATGTTTATCACATGGACTGGGGAATTTGTTTCGTTTTCCTTATTCTCCAAACCTGTGTCAAATAATTACAATTTATTACAATTATTAATCAAATAGTGCAAAAAAAATTCATAATACATTCGATAACTTGGTCGTAAACTCTCTCTTCGCAAGTTATAATAACGTCAAACTTTTCTTTCGTCAACTGGAACCGCTCAGGATGCTGTTTGATCCGCCTGTTTCTTTCAAGCATGTGTAAAAGTCCATTTTGCGTGTACCTGCAAGAAAAAAAATTTAGCAGAGACATAAAAAAGTAAAAAATGAAGCAATTAGTAAATTTACAATGCTTTGTCTTTGTGCTGCAGATCATTGTAAATTTCGTCGTATGTGGAGCCGAATTCATAAACATTGGGTCTGTCAGCAGCAGGGCCTGGCAGTTTTACTTTGTCACCAGTTCCGTACGATTTCACACAGTATCCTTTTTTGCTGTGAATTTTTTTTAGAGATGCATGATTAAATAAATCTAAAGAGTTATATTTTGAAAATTATCAGCACATTGGCGTATGAAAAATAGGCAGTTTATGGGCACACCTGAGGAAAGCATGTGCTTCCATGCTCCTGTTCATGTTGCTCGAACAGATAACCGCGATTTTCATACCACTCTGATCCGGCATAGCGTTAGGTTTAATTGATTCTCTTGAAATTAGATCACTACGAATATTTTTTCCAAAGTCAAGTTATAGTGAAAACCGGTGATTTTAGCTTTCTAAAATTAAACACGCAACGATCATCAAAAATAAATTTGGGTTTTCAGGTTTCCACAATAGAAATAAGAAAAGTAGATTGCATATGAAATTAGGACGAATAAGAGGCTCAATTCTTTTTATATTATGCAAAGCTACGCAGGTCTCTGTGTCGATGCAAGAGAAAGGACGAAAATCTGGTCAGAACAAACAACAGTGTTGTGATGTGATTTGAGAGGCGTGACGTCAAGATGCGACAGACACGCCCCCGTCAAGCTATCGTCCGCGTTTGAAGCGGGGTACTTTTGGTCTGTGGTACTATTGACGGAGTCCCGCAATAGGGCCGAAAAGAACAAGGCCGAAAACGGCTGAGCGGAACAAGGCCGAAAAGGAATAGGGCCGAAAAGGAACAAGGCCGAAAGCTGAAAAATAACCGATAACCGCGAGCGCGTTCAGCTCAGCGAACATTCAATCCTTTGCGCGTCAATATCAAAATCCGTCATGCGGCCGTTTCGCATTGCAAAATAGATGAAAATTGATTTTACACAAGATTTCGCAAAAAATCTTCATTTTGGGCGAGACACATAATCACAAAATCACATAAATTTGGGGGACAACAAGATGAAGATAAGTTGATCTCTTGCACAGCTTAAAAAACCATACTGCATCGGAACTCGGAAAAGATCTTTCAAGAAATTATTTGTCCAGGAAACTTATCACTTATGTGTATAAACTTCTCAACCTTTTCCTATAAGATCATTGTAAATTTTTTATGTCCACTGACCTATTGATTTGAAAAAAAGCTTATTTTGAAAAAAAAAAATTCTAGGAAATTCTCATAACAATGCTAAATTTAAATTTCAAAAATTTGGTTCTCCTAACAAATTCATTTTGTCTTAACTATGTCTCCTTGGAACTGACATAAAAAATCCAATGCTAAAATGTAGAGCAAAATTAATTGGGTCAATTTTTTGCAAAAGCTCTCCTTAATATTGAGTTTTCAAGTCTGCTGGTCAGTTTTTGGTTCACGTGTTTCCAGCATATGTTTCCAGCATAAATAAAACCAGGAAACTGAAAATTTCCTCCCTACCACATATTAAATAATTTAGATATTTCTTACTTTGATTTATAAGGACAATGATAAAAAAATTTGTGTCCTGAGACCCGAGGCGTTCCATTTCTTATTGGGATGGCGGGTTGACATAACACGGTAATCGCGGTGATTTCCCAAAAAAAAATCGGTTCTTCCTAGTTTGTTTGCACCGGTATTTCGGCCTTGTTCCTTTTCGGCCCTATTCCTTTTCGGCCCTGTTCCGCTCAGCCATTTTCGGCCTTGTTCTTTTCGGCCCTATTCCGGCACTCCCTATTGACCTACAATCAAATGCTCCTTGCTCTGGGGAAGCGCTTATCTTTTATATGTTAAAATTCTTTTTGGTTTAAATGTTGAACAATAATTAAAACTTTTTCAAAATTTCTTGTAGTCTCTGTATTCATTATTAATTAAAATGATTTATGATAAGGGTGCACACTGCACACCTATCATTTCCTTACAGTGAGTTTTTCATAATTATCATAGAGCGTTTTTACTTGCACATTAATTTCTTTGACTTTTAAAAGAGCCAATTTTTCTTAATACAGGTGCAGGAGTAGTAATTGCTGTACTGTATAGATAGCCTAGAGAAATATTAATTTACTTCAAATTTTAATTTACAATAAAATTTTGAGCCAGAGAAAATTCAAAATTTTAGATATCTTAGTTTTTAAATGGAATTTAAACACATTAACATAAATTTTATGCATGAACAATTTTTTGAAATTTATTTATTTTTATTTTTGTAAATGCGCACAGAGGAAAATATTAAAGTCAATTTTTGCACATTATACTTCCAAGCGTTATTTGTACATGTCAGTTTTGGGCCAAGGCTGATCACCCTCTAGTGCTGCCGCCAGGAGCCTTGTTTTTCTTAACGCCTTCAGTCTGACTTTGCAAAGTCCTGATTTTTGGAAGAGGAAATTTGGTACAAAGGTAGTTGTATCCCAAGGTTCCACACATGGAATGTAGCTTCAACGATTCCAGAACTGTTTCATTTGACCAAGCTCTTGGTCTACACTTATCATTACCGAAATCAACCATGTCCCCTAAAAAAATATATACAAAAGATTTATAATAAATATTCAAACGTTGTCCTAGTTTTAAAACAAATAAGTGATTATCTAATTTTACCTAGCACTGAAATTTGATCCGGGTTAAAAACTTTCCCAAGCATCTTAGATAATCTCTCGTTTTGATTTTTCAGCATGACGATCTCAGTTTTCAGCTTTGCATTTTCTTCTACCATGTCCTCATCAATGGCATGTCTCTCATTTATGGATCTGTGGGCTAAAGATTCTGCAATGGACGGGTATCTTGGATTCGGTTTCCTTTTTCTTGAAACTGTATCAAACTCCTTTTTAAATGTTATTGGTTGTGGGACAACGTTCGCCCTAAGTTTTCTCTTTCCGTCCTTCAATTCCCAATCCGAGTCCAGAAAATGTTCCTTCATAAGAGAATAATTTTTATTTAAATTTTAATAATTAATAAAAAAAAAAAAAAAACGGTTTTTTTTATTAATAACTTACTCCACAAACATAGGAAGCTTCTGTGGGTACAAAAGTTCCATCAGCTCGTCCAGTTCTTTTGACCCATGCTTGAAGAAGCTTTTTGTTTTTCAAAGGAAAACGCGATCCGTCCTTTGCTGACCTTGTGCATTTTGCAAAACTGCAAATACCCATAAAAATAATTTTTTTGTTTTCACAAAATAAAATAACAAAGCAAAATTCTCAGCTGAAGTGTAGAAGAGGCATTAGGCGCGCAAGGTGGCTGAAATGAAAGTGAAAGTGGATATTTCACGACATCTAGCGTTTACTTAGAAAAACTAAAATAAATGTAAGATGCAAAAACACGTGAGAAGGGATTAAAATATTTTTAATAAAGTAAATTATTGTTTTATTTTCAAGTTTCAACTAAATTATCACAATAAAATCTAGTTATAATTGTTCGCACGCAGCCCGCACGCAGCTCGCGTAATTTTAGTCTAGCTTTTTTATTGCATATTTTTATTTTTCGATCTATTTCTGTCTGTTAATGCTAAATAAAATTTAAATTTTGCAGTCATGTATTATCAATGCAAATTTGTGATTTGTGACTGTACTTCTATGACCTTAAAATAAAATTGCGGAAAATCGATTTAATTAAAAAATATTGCCTCTGAAAATTAATTTAGGATGAAGATTAAAAAAAAAACAAGACCAAGTTATATCTTTTAATACCCAAAATTGTTGAATTTTTTGCCAAATTTTCCTCAGCATAAAAGCAGAGAATAAATTTAAATTGCCCAGCATTCTATGTTGGTGTTAATTTTGTTGTTGCAGTGTGATAGTGATAAGTAGATTTAAATTCGCGGTAATAGAGGAAGTAATTTTTATCACATTTTGTGTAAGAGCTAATCCAATTTTTGTAAGTGCGATTAAAATGGCATCAGGTGAAGTGATATAAAAAGGCTGAGCAGCGAGATAAAGAGCATATCCTACCCAGCTACGCAGAAGGATGACTCGCTTCAGTTTGGCACTGTTCCTGGCGCTTATTGTGGCTGCAACAGTAATATTATGCTCTACACACAAAATTTACAGCACACTTATTTACAATTTTATTATTTTATGCAGCTTGCAGGTAGAAGTATTTTCTTGGTAATATTTGAACAGAATAAAAATATGATACAAAATCCTCAAAAGACACAAGAGTGAAAAGGCAGAGCCCATCTTGCAACAAGGGTCTTATGACGGTAACATATAATTTTGAAATTTTTAGCCATGTCTGAAGGTAAACAAATAACAGAGGATTGCTACATGCGTCACATTGCCTACCCTCATTCCTGACGATGTTTTGAGCGCCTGTAAGGCCAATGCAAGCCAGCAAGCAAATCCAATCCAGAACATCACAGGAAGGTTTAATTTCAAACCTCCCAAGAATTTACCCTTTGGTGGCATGGCTGGAAGTCTCAGTAACTCAATTTTTGTTTATCAAATTTTATTCCGAATAATAAAAAATTTTCAGTGAAATCTTTGGCAAGCGTGAAAACATCTTTTGTAAGATGCGATAAAATTATTTTATTAATTTATATGAAAATTAAAATATTCTTAAAATATTTGCAAGCTGGTTGAAAAAAAGTTTCATAATATTTTTATTTTATTTTGCAATTTGATGAATAATTATGTCGTGCTTGATATCTTCATTTAACAGTGCCAATATGAGTGCGCCTTCAAGAATTTGGGACTGGTAAATTAAATATCTCAAATTTTTGTGTAGTAATAACGGAACAATTAAAAAAATTAGCTGGATGACAGCGGTAAAGTGAATGTTGATGCTGCAAGCAAGGGGCTGGCAAGTGCTGTGCCCAGCGAATGGCAAGCAGCAGCGCAGGTTGCAGCGACAAATTGCTCGGCTACGCTGACTTCAATGTATGCTATGATGAACTCGAGCAAAATGCCCACACCACCACCAATGCTGCAGGGCGGGTGCAAGCCATGCTCTTTCTTCTTCAGGTCGTGTGTTGTGGCACAGCTTTATCTGGCAAGTTTTCCCATAAATTTCAAATTCAAATTAAGTGAAAATTTTTAAATCCTTTTTCAGAACGCGCCTGATTTCTCTACTGGTAAAAAAAACCAAGCATTTTATTTATTTCCTTAATTTTAAAAACTCTGATTTTCTTTATTAGATGCAAAATGCACTTCAGACCGCAAGGCGTTGAGCCAATGCATCACAAATGTTCCTGCCCTCTTGGGACTTCCACCTATGCCAAAAATGCCGCTGCCACCAAACACAGCATAATGTGAATGAAAATTTTAATTGCAGAAATAAAAATTGTGAATCAGCAAGTTGACTTGACAAATGTTTTATTTCCTGACAACGGAGTATATGACAGCAAATTTAATGACAAAAATTAATTCATTTTTAAAAACAAAATTTCTTTTGGAAATCTTCTGCACAGAAAATTAATTTAATATTATAACTTTGTGCTTTTTTCGTAAAAAAAGTGAAATTAATAACGTAAAATTAAAATTTATTAACCAGAATAAAAAACTTTCATTTGGCCAATTTGAATCAGATTGTTTAGAGGTTATTTTTTTTAATAAATTATTACTACAATACATGTAATAAATAATAATAAAAATTATAATAATGCATCATTAATAACAAATTTATCAACAACTTAAACAACCATTTCTAAAAATTACTTCATAATCTCTTCACTGAAATTTTACATATATTTCATCTCAAATCGACTTTCGACTTTATCAGTCGTGATTAACGTCAATATGTGAATTGTAATGTGTCTGCTCTGGAGGGAAAGTAAATTTGAGTTGCACAGTCTAAAGATTATTTGCCAGAGTGCATCGTTTAAACTTATCGCCGGCAAAGCAAGCGCCAAATTTAGCTTGAATGTGATAGGCGAGGGGCTTTTAAAGCGCGGTCGGAGCTGGTACAAGCGCGAGGGCAGACCGAGCGTGCATGTGAAACAGTTCTGAGGCAGCTGCTCGGGGTGAGCGAGGGATGAATCTTCCCCTGCCCGGCAGTATTGATTTTGTTCTCGAGGACACCAGCACCCGCCCTTGCCGCTGCATGCTCGTTTCCTAGGAGTCGCCGCCCAGCACGTGAGTTTCGACCCCGCAAGGGCCCACCGGGCCCCAAAATATTTTTGCAAATTCGTGCTGCTAAATTTTTATATCGCAGTTGATGCAGCTTTGCTCATTTATTAATATTGGCTGCTTTTCCTCTTCAGATTTTCCATAGATGCTTCTCTCATTGTTAGGTGCATAATTTGCTCAAAATTAGATTTTGTTTTACTCTTTGTGCAACGCCACTTGCAATTTATTTTATTTGTAATGATTTTGAAATTAAATTTATAATATGATGCAGGAATAGCTTTTAATTCGTGCTCAATTATTTTCATTTAAAATTATTAATTGTATATTAAGGGATATGATATACAATAATAGACACGATAAGATGTTCAATGTAAAATTGTGGTGAATTGCATTTATGTCTTATTGTTAGTAAGGGCATGTTGATTAAAACAGTCTTGGTAAAAAGCTCAATATATTGCTTATGATTGTTATGAATGCTTAAAAATGTACAGGAAATGCTTCAAACAAGCATTAAAGTTTACATTCAATAGAAGTGGCAACGCTTTGAAATGAATATATGAAAGAGGGGTCCTTCTAACAAATAGTTAGGGGGAGAAGTGGTTCAATGAGACGGCTGTGAATGAGCCAGTGCCAGAGGCTGCGCTGATGAAGTTGCACTAGACAACTACTCGTGTATTTCAATAATTAAAAAAAAAATTGTTGTGCAATATATGAAAAGGATTTAAAAACATTGAGCTGAAAATCATTCAAGCTTCACAAATTTTAATTTCAACACAAAATATATTTTTTACTCTCAAATTTGGAAAACATTTTTTTTTTTATGACCTTTCTTCTTTGTGTTCATGTGTAACTGTATGGGAAATTGCAGTGTAGCAAACTATGGATCTGAATATGGAAGAAATGCTATCATCTGTGGGCGAGAGAGTGTTGAACGGGGGCATGGAAGAGAACGAACATACAGAGGAACCGGCGATTTCAGTTGTGCCCCAAGTGGAAGAGCCTACTCGCGAGTCTGTGCTGTAAAAATAGCTCATTTTATCACAGTTTGCTCTTTTTTTTCTAAAAGCGGCATCTGTTTTCCACAGCACAACTGTTCTCTGCGAAGAAGGGATGGAAGTATTGGCCGACCTTATCAGGTCGGGGCCCACTACAAAGGATACTTTGGAAAAATCGGCTACCTTAAACGAGGATGGTGCGGACGCAAAAAGCGCCGCCGAGAGTCACACACTGTCTGTCAGCAACGAATTCACGGTAAAATTATCACAGTTCGGATTTTTACCTTATTTGCATGCACTTGCATAGTAATTAATATTCTAAGGATTATTTTAAAAGTATATAAAGTAATTTTTTCCCATACCAAAAAATTATTTGAATTTGCTCTTTTACCGATTTTGCCACTGCAGGAGGAGCAACTTTACAATGAATTGTTGTTCCAAACGAACCATCCCTTGGGAAACGACATCAGTGACGCGAATCAATCGCAAATTTTTGAATACCTCAAAAATGCATTTCACATCGAAGACAAAAAGCACGAGGAGAAAATGAAGGAAGCCAAAATCAAAGATGTGCGTAAAAAAAATTTATAAAAACACAGAAATAAAAAGATTGCAAAAATAGAAACCAGACGTTAAGCTGAACCTTGAGATAATTGAAGCGAGGGATCTCAAGTCGAGCGAGACAAGCGGAACGAGCTGCGTGTATTACATGAAGAACCAGCCTGAAAATAAGTCGGAGAGCGGCGTGCAGTGCAACAAAAAAACTCCTGTTTGGAATGAGAAAGGATCATTGTAAAATTTCAATACTTTTTTGTAATAAATTAATTAAAATATTCCAATATAGGCCGATTGTGGACAAGGAAAACGATTCTCTCATAATAGAAGTTTGGTGAGATAAATTACCTCCTCATCTTAAACGTATTTAAATGATTAATTTTTTTGCAATCAGGAAGTTTGCACAGGAACAAGAATCAGTTTCACCGGCTAATACTGCTATGAAAGAAAAAATAGAGACACTAAAAAACAAAGCAAAAGGCATCATGAATGAAGTTCTTAACAGCAAAAACGAGGAGAAGAGGTGTTCTGGTGTCGCAGAAGTTCCCATTAAAGTAATGAAATAAATTAATTTGTGCTAAATACAAAAAATATTTTATTAACTTTAAAATGTGTCTAGGACATTCCATCGGGCGCAATGGATGCGTGGATTCCGCTAAAAAAGGATCAGAAAAAGGTTAAAGGAGAGGTGCATGTTTTGTTGTCTTTGGGCACCTCAAGGGATGTCCAAGTCGGCTGCAAGGAGCACCGCAAACTGGTCAGAGTGATGGTGAGACACGAGCTGGAAAAGAAGCCAAACGCAGTTTTCTATTGGGATGGAAAGCTCTGCGAGACGGCAGAGCAAATTCTGGCTCAACACCGCGCCCACGCGAGTCTCAACGAACTGCAGGTCCTGCTGGCAAGATGGGCAGGTTTTTGTGACCAGCTCGAAGAGACGCCCTACAACTTCCTTGTTCTCGAGGAACTTCTTCAAAAATTTACCACACTCCAGGCAAAGGAAGAAAAATTGCTTGAAAACCACGAGGTTTGTTTGCTATTTTTTCTAAAATAAATATAATAATAAATATGCATCGTTCCCACAGGCAAAAATGTTTTGGGAGGCCAACAAAAACTTGCTGCCACCGTGCTTGAAGTTCATTAGGTACTTGTTCAAGATGAAAAATAATTTTGGAGACGCGATGGACCAACAACTCGGCACAATGTTGCGGTGAGAAGAGATTGCTCTTTAAATAACAAAATTTACTTCGATTTTTTTATAGGATACTCGCGATCCTGATAGAAATAAAACCTCCCGAGGACATCGACATTTTCCCTTCCTCCAGGTACACATGGTTAAAAACGCATCATGGTATGAACAACAAATTAAAAAGGAAAGTGCTGGATGGAATCGTGCATAGTGCAAGAGAATGGTAATATATAATCTGCAAATTATTGAAATTACAAATTTTAATTCATCAAATCAATAGGATTGACGAAAAGTTTGCTCAAATTGAGTACGTTCCTGGAGAGGATGATGAAAATAATAAGAAGAAATGCTGGGTAATGAAATATTTAAGTGACGCACACAATCAGTATTTAATTTGAATTTTCACAGGCCTTGATAAGCAAATGTAAAGATGTGGCGGCAACGAGGAGGAAAATGAATGCGAGCAACGTTCCTGAAATGAAAAAGGATCTTTTGAATTCTAAAGCTTTATTAGCTTGTTACAACAAAGAAATCCCAGAGCTAAAAGCTTGCGTGCTGGCTTCATCGTTCCACGACGAGAAATTCAAGTGAGCAATTAAAATAATTTTTTCACACTTTAATACTAAAAGCTCTGTGATCAAAGGTGTTTAGACATTCACTACTCCAAAGTGGTGCTCCAGGTGTTTGACAATAAGGTGAAGAAAAGCATATTTTTCTCTAGTGCTCTTCAATCTTGAGTGGGTTTTTATGTTTATTAGGTGAATGAAGCTGTACGGCCACTGGTCTTGAGCATTTGCAACAACCTTAAGAAGTACGACCCAAAAGACAAAGAGCTCGATCCTCAAGACAAATCGACCGATCTTGTTGGTCTTTACTTCAACCTCAAAGCTTTTAGCGAGTAAGTCGCACGCCTTATATTAGCTGGTTAGGCAAAACGTGTTACATAGAAGCTGAAACGGTTGCCTATTTTTAAAATGGGTAAAACTTAAATAATAATAATAAAAATGGTAAATTACTTAATTTCTGTAATTGCTTTAAACCTTATTTAAAATTTGAGTTTAATTCTTTAAATATTTTCTCGAATATGTGTAATGAAAATGATTTAAAATTATTTAATCGGTTTTATTTATGTAATTCAGATTTGAGGACTCGTACTTCCTTGGTGATAAAGTGAAATGCAGTGATTTTCACAACTGGTTTGCTCGAGGTGTTTCTCAATGGCTAGACATAACGCTGCTAAAAGCAATGAACATGATCAAGAAGGCTGTCGAGGTGGACGAGCTAGAGCCACTAGAAGATGTGAAATTCAGTAGCTCGGCTGTTGACGTTCTAGCGATTTTCGTAATGGTAATATCGAGAGATAAAATAATTAAAGTAGTCCGATTTAATAAATAAAATTAATCCCAATAGTTGGAAAAAGATTTGCGAGCTCTGAAATGGCCGGACGAGAAAGATGAATTTCCACTAATGGCCAAACTCGTAAAGGTAAATAAAAACTAATCTAAATCTATGCAGAAGTCTGACTGATCATTTTACTTATTTAGAGCATCACTGCTTGCACAAAGCACTATGCCGATCAAATCCGACAAAAGGTCGTAAAGGTCACTGACCTCCCGGGCGACTACGAGATACAACTTTGCACTGCCATTAACAACATTGAGCACATTTTGGTCGAAGGTCTGGAGCCACTGATGAAAAAGCTCAACGTTGAAGCTCTCTTTGTCACCCTGACACAAATTCGGTCGCATATTCCTGAATGTCACAAGGGCTTGAAAGTATTGAGCAGGGTGGTTGACGCGGCTGAAAATGCCGACGAGAAAATGATGGAGATTGTCAAAGTTGTCAGCGAAAAGGTAAATCGGCTACACATGAAAAATATATGAAAACTATTATAAATTTAATTTTGGTTTTCTAGATCCTGAAGGTTGTGCGGGAGAATCAGAGTCTTTCGCCGACCAGGTTCATGAGCCCCATTAGCCCGATCAACATTCATCTCGGCGTTCTGAAACGCCAGCTCAGCAAGCACAACTACCACAGAGCAGTCACCTTTATATGGGAGAGCATTGTGGAGCTCATCAAGCAGATCGTCGACACCACCCACAAGGAAGACAAACCACCAGGCTTCTATAAGAACCTGAAAAAATCACTAGATTTCTTTGAGAGCGCATTTAGCAGGGAGTCGCTTGCGTTCAAAAATGGTGAACTACTGGAAGCAACAAAAACTATCTTGGAAACACTTTCCAAAAACTCCATCGACCCCATTCACAAATTTTATCTTGAGCGGTAAATTATGGCGATTTAATTAAAAAAATTATAGCATATATTTGGTATTTTGGCAGATTGGTTGCCCAAGGCAAAGTAGATGACTATGACAAGCAAGGACAAATCAACGTAATGCTCCAATTCCAAGAGACGAGTCTCAAATTCGAAATCCTCAACGTCAGAAATTTGAGGACAAGGAACCGCAACGGTTGAAACCTCAAATAACACAGCTAAAAATAGAAGTCAATCGTTTTTATTTTTTCCAGGTGACTGCAACCCTTATGTGCGAATTGAACTGATTCCGAAGCAAAATTTCCCCGAGGCAAACTCGAAGCTGAAAACAAAAATCCAGAAAAGGAGTTTGAAAAGTTGCGCGACGTTTAATGAGACGTTTGAGATGTAATATAAATTTTGATCAAAAATTGGCACGTATCTTATAAACTGGCGTATTTATTCGTGATTGCAGTGATATGACAGATGGAGCTGACACAATAGACAACGCGCTTGTTCGTTTCGTTGTAAAGGATTACAACCGCTTTGGCCACAACACCACGATTGGCGAGGCTCTCATCCGATTTGATAAAATCAATCGCGATTACGCTAACAAAGCGTTTTCTGATGTACCGCAAATAGAACTGCACCTGATCGAACAGGTCGAAGTTCCTCAAGGTACAAGTCAAATTTTGTTTGCCACTTCCGTTGCGTATTTACTAATCTTTTTCCACATTAGATATAGTCAACATTAAGAAGAGCAAAACGTGCGACACAATGACGGATGTTGACACCCAGGCCACAAATGAGTCGACGGGCACTATCAACTGAAGAGAACAATCGCGACCAATCAAATTTTTTTGCTCACTGCTCGGAGTGCTCATAGAGCAGTTCGACAATTTTGCTGCACAAAGCCTGTCGTGCAAGCAATTCTTTTCTATGTTAATTCCACAGCAAGCAGTTCAAATGCAGTTCAGGACAATTTTTACAGAAATTTATATACTCTTATACATTAAAAAAGTAGACATCATTTAATATTAATTACTCTAGCATATATATATGAAAATTCAAAAATTTCTTATTGGCTCAAACGAAAATTAAGAAAGCTACCAGATGTTTGTTGCCTATAATAAGTAGATAGACAAAAATTGAAATATTGTGTTCTGAATACCAAGCCATCAAAAACGTTAGAAGGCCTTGGATGATTTTGGAGTGTATTAGGAAAAAAAAATTCGAAGGATGTGAGACAAAATTTTCTAAAAAATCTCAAGATCTTATAATTCTGTGGCAAAAAAAATTGAAAATTCCTTTTGCTCACGTATTAAGAATATTCTATAGAGTTGAAACATATGCATTTATTAAACACACGAACTGAATTTCCAACCTGAACATTAAGAATCTTAAAGAAATCTCTCTGATTGTTTACAATTTAAAATTCTATAGGCATATGTAATATTATTATAATATATGCAGTTGTATTTCAATTTTCATTGATTAAAAGGTGCCATTAAAAACAAAATTAGATTATTGTATTGGTTATTATTAGGTCATATTGTTAAAGCAATTTATTAAAAAAATCATTCAGCGTGTGTGAGACTTACAAAGATTGTATAATGTTTTGAGTTTGTATGTACACATTCTATAAAATGAAATTTGTAAACAGCAAAGCCAAATCCATTCAAACAGCAAACAGTTAGTTTTTCCAATGTAGAAATATTGCAAATATTGTGTATGAAATGCAAACAAATGCAACTGTAAATAATATAATTTTCCCGATAAAGCTTGTTTAGTCAGGGGTTATTATATCTGTGTTGCACATTTATTACGTCATGTCATCCTATAGTATAACATGCTAACCATAGGGAAGTAACGAAAAACTGCCTTAGTTGCCAGTGTCAAGAAATTTATTAATACTAATGAAATTTTATGTGTACGTCTGGTAATCTGAAAGGAGTTGAATTACAACCACATTATAAACTGATTGAAGTCTTCAAGAGAAGAAATAAAGTAAAATTCAAGAAATCAATTAGTTGTTTTTTAATTACAGAAAAGTATAGGGACATGAACAAATATACATGAATTAAATTAAAAAAAAATTAAAGCACTTTTCTTGCGGCGGCAGGCTGTGGAATACAATTTGGATATTTATAAAATTATTATTGCCGACAAGCAACAATTATGCGTATCTAATAGCCTGAAAAAAATCAGGTTTAATCTAGAGTTGTCTTGAGGCATCTTTAAGCGGTTTCTGGCGAGGAAGGGATAAAATTTGAGTGTTGTTATTTGGAGTTTAAAATCACTTGCAATTATCAGACGCTGGATGGTGAGCGAGCGCACAATTTGTGGTTTTGATAAAAATATACACAAGTTTTGGTGCTTTCAAAGTAAGAATTTTTTTAATACACCTTTATAGACTTCGAAACTATGCTTAAGAGGGGCACAATACAATTTTTCAAATTTCTCTACTGAAAGTTAATTGCTTTAGAGAGAACTAACAACTTTGTGTACAAATATAGTAGTAGCAGACTGATATGTTATCAGCTATAGGTGCAGCTTACTTTTGGTTTATTGAAAATTTGTTAATAATGGCATGTTTGCAGCTTGATCGCCGTCGAGGTTTAATTTTTTTCTTTATTATTAATATTATTTTTTTCAATAAAAATTTTATAATTAGATTTGCGACTACTACACAATACCAAAATAGCGATATTTTTAAGCATAAAATTTTTACTATGCCCTAAATATTAAAAAAAAATCACAAAAGTTTTTGAAACTGACTAAAATTACATAATGATTTTGATATTAATATACTTGTATAATTTTAGCCGATGCTGCTCCAGCCGATGTACTCTGCGGCTCTGCGCCGGTTGACTGTGATATTAAGATGGATTTTCCACCCGTGTGTAAAAAGTAATAACCAGTTTGTGGAGCATAGCCTGAAGAAAAATTTAGCAAGGTCATCCAGTTCAATAACAAATAAGACAGCGTTTTTAGATTTTAGACGCGCTCACCACTTCCTCCTTCTGCAACAGTGGTAAAAATTTTTATCATAAGGTAACATTTATTTTTAAATAATGTTGCTCATATGTGAACTTCATTTTGACGCGATCCATTAAAAATTAGAAAATCTCATAATTTATATGAAAATATTTTTCGAAAAACTTCCCTGATTAACTTTTCATTTCAACAGGGACAAATTGTGTGGATTAACATGAAACGTCGGCAAAATTCTAAATTTTAGAAGATATAGGATATTAAAGCAATAGCATTTTATAATTATGCAGCTGAGGGAATAAATAATAAATACATATTTTTCGGTCATAAAACCTTACAATCCAAACAAGTGTGGATTCATTATATATATTTTTTTTAAATTAATTTAGCTTAAAAAAAAGTAGAATAAAATCCTTTGTGTGTCTTGGAAACTTATGCTTGCTTTTTGCTAGCCTCAGGAAGGGAAACTTCAAACAACAGTGGTGAGAATTTCTTGACTGACGTAGAATATGACGGGAAAAGTCTGTTTAGCGTCTGCTACTTGTGGAAGGAGGTATTTTCAAGTCAAGTTGCTAATGAGAAGCCGCCTGAATAATGAGCTATGCTGAATATACTTAACCTTGCACGACAAACATATTTGCATGCTGAGCTTCTTTAAGTTTTTATCAGCAAAGTAATTCAAAAGCTGGAATGTAAAAGTTTATAGCAATTGTAACCGTTTCATATTGTCAATGAACCAAAATATGCATTCAATTGACGGAGGCGTGCATGTCATGAATATTTAACCAGCGGAATGGTTATCGCTCTGTCCTCCAGGACCAGCCATCAATTGTGCAATTGGTGAATATTTGGCCAACGTGTGTTTTCCTTCGCGAGTTGTCACAAAGCAAATAACAGAGCACGGCGTTACACATCTCGTCGAGAGGCGCTCGCAGGCCTCACGAGTGCAGCTTTCTTGGGTGGAAATTTTGGCTGGGTGGGAGAGAATACGCAGCTCGCATTGAACACGCTTTTCGACTCTCAAACCAGTGTAAGACACCCGCGAGCCCAGTCCGCGTTGGCCAATATAGTGAATACCAAAGGAGAAGAAGAAGCTTTTAAAAATGAACTCCTTGTCAGGTTTGTTTGGAATCTCTCATTTCCTTTTCAATCATTTACATGGGATTAGATTTGAGGGTTAAAATATTTTATTGAAGATAAAAGAATTCATAACATATCTAGGATTTTAACTGACGAGTTGAAAAATATTTAAGTTGCAAATTCAACGAAAAAAGCGGCACATGCCATTTTGGAGATATCTAAAAATACGCCGGGAAGAGTGGAGGAAGGAAGACACGCTCTTATTCGCCACATAATGCAAAGCTTAGTCTGGTTAAAACGTTTTTAAATGGGACTGATCTACATTTAATTATATCAAATAGTTTTAGTTGCTTCAAGTTTGATATAAAATGAAGTGCTGCAAGTGCCTTACGGAGCCAAGTATTTTGTGCTTGACTGCCCGCTCAGCTTTTTTTTTGTTCTTTTCAAATGCTCCTTCCCAGGCAGCCGAGAAGGTTGCATCTACACACATTCCAGAATGACCCTTTTATGTGTGGAGAAAACGCCTAAGCATTGTAATATTTTGAGGGATGATCGGCGGCGGCTGGAGAGAGAAAAAGATATTCTAGCTATAGGGCACTTGCCGAGGCAACTTGTCAGCTGGAGCCAAATAGAAGTTTCATTTTATTCAAAGTGCCGAGTTTTAGTTATCAAAATCATATCAAAGTCGTCTGAATTCATATCTCTCACAAAATTGAGGTGTATTTTTCATTACCTCAAATGATCCAATTTATTGTAAAATGTTTCATGTTTTAGAATGATTTGGAGCTTATGGCTCTTAATTTTACTTAATTTTATTTTCTTACTTAAATTTAACACTTTGAAATGTCGAAATGTCTCTGTCCATTTTTTTAGCAAACATGGACTGGGTGAAGAGGAATTTGAAGCGACCGTTGATGCCTTTGAAGCTGAAATTGTACGAGAGCACAATATTGAGGAAGCACCCAAGTTTTGAGGATGGAGATGCAAATTCACTCTCCAAAATCACCTCGGCAGAGTGAGTAAAATTAGCAAAACTTTACAACAAAATCGCAATTTATTATTTAAGAAGTTTGAACATTTTTATTAAATATATTTTGTGTAGCTTTTCAACTTCAAATTTTGCCAGTGCGTGCGTGTTTGTAAAAAAAAGTTGATAGGAATTACGCATCGCTAACTTACATAATACTTAACAAATTCGCGTTCCTTTATCTTCAAAAGAATATAGCTTAACTTGTTCTCCTCATTAATAATCTTGCAAACACGCAGTCAAGGGCAATGCTGGGGATTTTCAGAAAAAAAAATAGTGCGCGTTATTTGTGGAGAACTATAATATACTTAAAAATGACTATTATTTATTTTCTCGTTACTTCAAAGTGCTTCAAAGATTGCAAATTTATTTTTGCATTAATCACAGAAATAAAATCTTAATAATTAATATCAATTAACTTTAATTAACTACTGCACTTGATGCCTCTCAAAATCTTAGTTTCATTCCCTAATGATTTAAGCGTGCCTTCCTTTTTAAAAGATACGCACAATTAGCAGCGACAATGAAAGGGAAAGGGTAAAGAGCCGCAGCCCGCTGCGCCAAACATATGATTCACATTAAAATGTGTGTATACGTAACATCACTCATTGTACGCTCACAAGCGGAAACACAATTTGCACAAAATAAAATTTTGGTTTGTATTTGATCTGCAATTTTCCCTTAATGAAAATTAATAGGCACAAATATTTTGCTCACATTATAATTTTAATTGAGCTATTAATAGTCTAAAAATTAAGAGTTGCTATTTGAATTTTATAATTTGAATTTAATTTTTTAGTAAACAAATTATGGTCATAAAATTAAAAAAAAAAATATATATATATATATATATATATTTATATAATCCATTGTAATCGGTTTTGTTGAAGTTCACACCTAATGCTAAAGCTAAAAATAGCATTAAAGAAATGCGAGATTATCTTTATCTTTTTCATTTATAAGTATGTACATAAAAAACGCGATTTAAATTTTAATATTTTGAGAAACTTAAAGATCACTTTTATTATATAAATAAAAGTAGAATGTAGTATTTTATAAAATAAAAAAATTCGGGTACCATCATAATGTCCTAAAGAAAATGTCCTAAATTGAGGTTAAAGACAATGTCCTAACAGAGAATGTCCTAAAGAAAATATCCTAAAGATAATGTCCTAAAAGCTATGGTCGCACATTGTCCTAAAGATTTTGTCCTAATTGAATTTAAAGAAAATGTCCTAAATTTCGGAAAATTGGTTGATATATTAAAAAGAAATTTAGTTTTTTCAACAGGGACTAACATGAACTTCATTCCTTATCAAATGAATTCACTTATGCAGAAAGAATGATGCTAATTGTCGAGCTTCTCTGTCACATTTCTAACGAAAGTTGATCAAATAATTCAAAATATTAAAGTGTATAAAAGTTTGAAACAATCATATTATATTCCACAAATACAAATACTTTAAAAAAATAATATTATTACTATAACGTATATTTTTGAAAATCAATTTAACGAATATTTTCAATAAGAATTTTTCATATTTTTTGTCTTGAAAAAAAAATTCGAATGATATTTCAAAGTAAACTTTTTCATAGGAAACTAAAATATATTTGCCTGAAGATTTTTACGAAATTCTTTGAAACTATTGTCTAGAAGAAAGATTAATAGTTATATTTCTCAACTACCCGTAGAAAAAGCAAAGAAAAAAAAATTTTAAAAAAAATATTACAGTCATTATACAAAAGCCAAAAATTACTAAAATTAGTTCAAAAGTCTATAATGTATATTTTCCGATAAAGACTATATATGAAACGTAAAATAATATTTTGAATCAGGATAAATTTTAACGCAAAATTACTTGAAAGGATAAATTGAATTTTTTTTGCACATGACACATGACTTGTAATAATTTTCAGGCGTTAGGATATTTTCTGTTAGGACATTTTCAATTCTTACTTTTAGGGCATTTTCTTTAGGACATTTTCTGTAGGACATTTTCTTTAGGATATTTTCCGTTAGGACATTTTCTGTTAGGACATTGTCTTTAGGACATTGTGAGGCACCCCAAAAATTCTACATTTTTTATACTGCTTCTGCGTAAGATTTCACTAGCTATTATTTTCAAAAAGGTTAGGTCAACAACCTTGATGTTATGTATTTTTCTCCCAACTATTACATTAACTGTTTGGCTCTTTAAAATTTCAATATGATGGAGAAATATTTTGACAGGCGTAGTTCAAAGTGTATGTTTATAATATGCATAGAGACACCTGCCCCTTCATACAGGTGACTCAACTTCCGGCTCTCGCGTCGCCGCCGGCGCGGCGAGTGGGGAGATTAATCACGGCAAATAATAATAACAAGAGTACAGGCAGGTGGAAAATTTCTCCGAATTTTAAATGAAAAGATCTCATTAGGTCGACTACAAGCGTCTTGGTTGCTTAATTGCAGTGATTTTATTCGCTCGAATTCCCACGCTCCTCATATTTAAAAAAGGAGGAATGACCAGAAGTCATAAAATATTTAATTGGAGCAGATGATTCAATAATTTGTTTTACGAGACGGTTTACTTCAAAGATTAAAATTTTTTTCCATATTAATGCCGACTAACAACTAAAGTCTATTTTTAAATTTGTTTTCCTCCTTGGTGATCATAGCAACCTTCGTAAGAAAGGTCCTTCATGGTAAAACGCACTGGATCCAACCAAGAGTGGAAATGATACAAGGAAAAAGAGAGTGAATCTCTGCCACCAACATCCTGCCATTATTTCAAAATTTTAACGCTCTGCTCCGGCCGAACTGACGATTTTTACGCCAAGACGAGGTCTTGATATTTAAATTGCACGGTGTCCAGCACGACTCGCATTGTTCTGGAGGAGATAAAGAAAAATGGCTCTGGAAAATTCACTGATATTTTTTAGCTTTCTTGGAGGAACATTTGCAAATTATTTTAAATTTTTTCCTGTCAAGAAAAGAAATTTTTATTTGTTTTATAAGAAAAGAATAATGGTTTAATTATAACATCAAATGGAATTGATTTGATTTATTTTTCCAGCAGTGCACAGTTATCATAAATTTTTAATTTCCTAGTTAAATTTATAGTATTTTTTTCTATCGTCAACAGCAAAAATTTTAATTAATCTGATTTTTCACTGATTTTTAAATCTTTTTTGGTCCTCCAGTTTCAAGGAATATTTGTAAAAAAATATTATAAAAATTTATTAAATATAACGTTAGTGTTAATTAGTTTTCTTTAATCAAAAAGCAAGCAGCATTGCCAAAGGAAGAGAAACGTTCCAAATCTTGCATGCAAAATTAAATAAAAATAATAATAATAATATTTTACAAAGACAAATATTTTTCTTACCTGTGTGACTTATGAAACCAGATTCCTCTCATTGTTGAGCAGCTTGACATGCGTCGGTCAAATTTCCTGCACCATAGTCGGTGGGTCGGCACCGCGACTCGGCGTGCATGCGTGTTTTTGTTTGCACGGCTCCCCTCACGTGTGACCAGGCGCAGGGCTCTTGGTCGACGCCACCACTAGCGCGGCCAGGCAGTCGGCCTGCTGATTCCGCTCGTATTGGTCGCGTTTTCGGCCAGCTGGGGCTACGATGGCCCCTCGCCTGCAGCCCCAGGGGCCCCGGGGCTTCGCCAACAGCCCCTCGTCCACCCTCGAGCACCCTGTCAAACCGTGTTGGCAGCTTTCCATGGACCGCGTTCTGTTCATCTGGCTCTGGCGGCGCCGCTGGAGACGCAGAGTGCAACCCTTTCAGGCACCACGCACCACTTTCTGGTGAGACAGATGTTTGTCCTGAAACAAAACGAATGGAGCAATTCAATGATCAATTCTTTTCTCAAGTATTTTTATACATAAATTACAAATGATTGTTTTAAGGAGGAAAAGAAAACAGGATTTTTGACTTAAATAGCTGAATTTTAATTTTTAAAATGCAACATTTTGTAAATAAGGGATAGGAAATATTTTACAGAGCGATTTCAAATCAATTATTCGCTGTTAAGAGGAAAAACACTAAACAAATGCCCAAAGAAGGATCTATATTATTTTTATAACATTTAGTTCTTCTCTCAGTTTGGATGACAAAGCAAAATAATCGCAAATAATTTATTCGAATAGTAGAAACGTTTAGAGGTCGGCTCTTAATTTATGTTAACTAAATGATCGGATTGCGAAAAGCGATGGGAAATTGAATATTATTTTTATTTTTAACGGTAACTTCACAAAGTAATTTTGAATTTTTCAAGTTCCTTACTATGAGATGATTTTGGTGTTCTCGAAAGTAGATTCTTATAATATTTTTAATTTTATTGCAAATCAAAATCGTGCGAATAAATTATTTAAAACAAAGGTGATGGTATAAGACTCGGAAATTTAAAAACAAGCTTTTTGGAAGTTTTGAATAACTGAATATATTTCTATGTGTGAGTTAAACCCAGATTGAGACAGGATAGACATAAACGCCACGACAATAGTCTGAATTCTTTTTAAACAGTATAAGCCGCGGCAGTGGCAAAGTGCATTATCAAGTTCAGTGTCGTCCGGAAGGGAGCAAGAAAGCTCGCGCTATCTCGCCGAAAGGTAACTTCAGGTCATTTCATGTCATGCGTTGCTGACACGACTGATCAAAATTTGTATTAGCTTATTTTATTATTGTTTTTTTTTTCAAGTTAAGGTTAGTAAAATAAAGATAAATTTTATATTTGATTTTTTATTTGTTTATCAGAGAAGGATAATTATATTTTATCTATTTTTACTTACAATAAAACTTCAAACTTTGATTTTTCTTTCATCAAAAAATTCTGTTGGTTGCGTTAAATGTTTTGCATGCAAAACAAAGCTGGTGGGCGTGATATATGATAATATGCAACTTGTGATCTGTGATATAATAGAGATTACAATTCTTAACAACTTTTGAAGCAGCGATAGTTGTAAAAAAAATATCATTGCTAAGTTATACAATGCGTAAAAGATAATAAAGAAACAAAGATGACTGAGCAGGAAAGTCTTCTGCAAACCACAAGCCGAGGTCAAAGAGGTCCAGACCAGAGACAAATCATCAAAATAATTAGGCTTGCAATTCAGCTGTCCAGCTCATCTTTTCCTTGTGCGGTTGATTGACGTTAAAATTGATCAAATAGAAAGATTCCACGCAACTTTTTAACACAACCCTTTGATGGCTTTGATTATAAAATAATGGTCGCTTCACGGAAAGGCGGAAAGCCGCCGAAGCCTTGCAATTTTTCTTTTACCGCGCTCACCTCTTAAGCAGAAATAATAAAAGGATTGATTAAATCGATTAAAAATTACTTACAAAATTATTTAATTAAATTTTAACAATTTTTCATTAATAAAATAAAAACCTTTAAACTACTTGATATATTTATGGCGTTACAAATCATTCATTTAATAAATGTTCATGTTCATACGGTCCATGCAACTTAAAAAAATCTTATAAGTACGCAAAATATAATGCTTTAAAAATTATGAATAATTTTATTAGGGAAAAATAATTTTCCTAAAATAATGTAATAATTTAAACATTCAATTTCTGTTTTTCTTCAAAAATTTTAATTTAATACTATTTTGTAACTTGCACTTAAAAAGATTTACGGTTGAAATTGAAGTGTGATTTAAATTTGTTAGTTCTTTTCGGACTAAAGTCTGAAGGTCCTTAGATGGATTCTGTCTGAAATTGATTTTCACCGGTATTAAAAAACGGCTTTGATAAAATCCTTCTCATTATTCATCCTTGCACCCACGTTGGTTATTAGCGTTCAAATGTGAAGTGAGCCAAAGGTGAGAAAGTTTTGGTTATGCTGGAACATGAGCACCAACAGACATGCGCAATGCACCTCCGGGGGCCTTGCTATGGAAGTGGAGGCGCAGCCAGTGATGGGTGAGAGCACAACGATAAAGCAGCTCGGATCCGCTCTTTGCGCTGCTCAAAATTCTCTCACACTTTTATTAATTTGGGCCGAATATTATTAATGAAAAATGGCCGACAAAAAGGAATTTTCTTTGTGGGATTACGTGCAAATCTTGCAGCTGAAAAAGGGCAGTGAAACTGTGGACCACGAAGAGGTCTCTTTGCTGGACCAACAACCAGCCGCTGAATCCGAAACAGACTCGTCACAACTGCAGTGAGTCAGATACAATTCCACTCCGAGCATCGCGATGCTAAAATTCTATAACCTTGTTTGGGCCATCAATCATCAATGAAATTAGCAAATTTTTTTTTTAACTTTTGGCATTCTAATTTTTATTAAATTTTTAGAAATTAAAATTAAATTTTTGTTTTTAAATTAAAGCGCATTTCAGAGTTTTTTTTTTTTAATAATTCATACAACCGGTCGATGCCACGCTGCTGATAATGGTGCTGCTGCTGTCCACCCCAGTAACCCCCATCTGCGTTGCCACCCTTAAATCGATGCGCAATAGTAAGGGAAAGTGAGTGGCGCGCTTAAATGCCCTGCCTTTTGCTTAGCAGATCTCGGTATGCAGCACCCTGCTGCTATTTACAATGACATCATCGCTCTTTTTTGCACTGCTGAGCACCGGTCCGCCTTTGTCAATTTAACAGACCGCACTTTACTTATTAATGTTTACCCAGCAACAACTTGGGCGGCGGGATTTGCATATAATTTCGGTTTGTAGATTTTTTAGAAGCTGGGAATAAACCGTGGAATTTTGGTCACAACACAATGGTCTATTGTTTGTTTGGACGGAGACATAATATGCTGAGCACAGCTAATTTTTCAACTTCGCAACAGCCTTGAATTTTCATGGCGTTCAATTCATAATTATATTTTTATGGTTTTGCGTTCACTTTTACCCAACCAGCGCACTTCAGCGGTTTTGTGAAGTACTCGCAATTTTTAAATTAAATAATTACCGATTGGCATTGATTTTGTTCAAGGATACATTATTACATTTTTTCGGGGCGTGTCAAGCGCTGTACGTAATCCTAATGCATTAAACTGGGATCCATGGTGTATTTGAAGAAAGAAGATGCTTGAAGGATCTTAAAATAAACGCCCACATGGTGTCTGGAATGTGCTGCATCTTGAAATAAATTTAATGTTGATTTCCTTCTCTCCCCAATGCGTGCAGCAGCCCATACTTAACAGGCCCCTACGCAGAGTGCTTTTGGTATCAATTTTCGTCCAATTTCTCATGGTGATATCAATGACCATGACGCGCCACGAAGAAACTGATTAAGATTTATTCGATCAAGTCGTATTATCAAATTGGCATGTAAAAAGCTCCTCAATGAAAATTATTGCTTTCTAAGAAATAATTTAATTTAAAATTATTGCTGAAGCTCCATAGTTGCAGACTTTTTTATTTCATTGTAGGACCTGCGCTTAACCTTGCTGTAATTGAAACACGAGTATATCAGCAGAATGGTCGGAAAAAAAATACAGACCTGCCGTATCGTTTTTCAACTTGCATGAGAAGAGAAGCATACATAGTTTAGTTTTAAAAAGATCCTGACTTATTGAAGTGAAACTTTAGTACCAAAATCAGCCCAAATCACAAATTTATAATGTAAGTGTGAATTTAACTTTTTTGTTATTCCATAGTTTGATTCAATACTTTTTTAACATTATATTAAAAATAAAAATAATGGTGAAGCAAAAGACGCGCATTCAAATTGGTGCAGCCATGGTATTTCTAAAAACGATCAATATTCCTCTACAATCTCCTTCAATATTTATTTATATCTTACAAAATACTTAAAATATAATATATTCTGAAAAGAAGGAAAATTGTCCCGTTCATAATATGAACTTCATGTATTTCATATTCCTAATTTGCTTCACCTTTAATTTCATTTTTAATACAATAATGTTAAAATTAAATTACAGTTTTCTTTCTTTTTGGAAACCTATATATATACAGTTTTCGAGTATATTTGATCCAAGATGAAATATTGAAGGAGATTTTATGTGGAATATTTGATCCTTTGTAGAAATACCATGGCTGTACCACTTTGAAAGCGCATCTTTATCTGTTGAAATACCATTGCATAGTGGGCCACTTTTACGAAAGAGAAGGGAAGCGTGTTTTTAGGCTCCGCTAACGGGCCGACAGTGCTAGAGATGGGACGAAATTCCTTTAATGACGTTTCTTGTCTCTATAGTATAATACGTCACTAACAATAGTATATGACGTCACGAGGCGAACGTGATTCCCACTCGTAATTAGGAGGAAGGGAGGGAGCAGGTCGCTCGGCTGCAGGTTCTCAGGTATTTTAACAACCGCATCCTCAAATCGTTTTAAGAGAAAACTTGCTGGGCAAGTTCAAAAAACAAGTTGGATGTACGTCTAATGATGTACTAATAAAAGAATCCCTGCTCTTGAAATTCAGGTTCATTCTTCCTTCAGCCGTAGACAGTGCGGGACTAAAATAATTTTTATGTTCATTTAACTTGATAGCCGCAATGGCCACTTTACAAAGAGCATTTTTTGCTTTTTTGTTTGTTGATAAAACGTAAATTTTGTGCACTCTTAATTTTTGTCTCAAAAACTAATCTTGGAATGTGATTTTGTTTTAGGGTTCGGCAAAGCGATGGCGAATTCTTTGAAAAGTTTGGCAGCGCTTTGCGCGACCGAGCATCGCAGGCCTCAGAACATATTGAGTGCGTCCGCGTGCCCTCAGTGGCCGCCGTGTGCGGCCAGGAGGAACAAGTTCATGAGGCCGCTGCTGAAGACTCTGAGGAGGAGCACATTATAGAGGAGGATGAGATATTCAGTGATGTTATTGGAAGCAACGTAAGTAAAATTTAAACATTATGATAATTTATTATTTTAGTTTCTTAAACCATAACGCGGTATCAATTTTAAAGAGTAAAAATGTCTTTATTTTCTATTTCGAGTATTTAATAAAATTTAAATATGTAGGATTTTTTTTATTTCGGTTCTCTCAAATCTTACGCATCACTTATTTACTGAATGCTCAGCAAACCAGCTGAACTCTCGCGCTTGGCAAATTGCATACCCACTAGTCTGTATCCGCATTCAGAGTCTGCCAGACTGGCGACGGCTGAACACATACCGCAGCTGCATGTAACTGAAATAAATAAAGCAAAAACAGAACTTCCACCCGGTATATTTTATGGCTGTCTAGACATAAAACTTCATCTCTCGAGAAATGCGAATTTTTCTCTCTAATAAATTAAAAAATTTCTATGCGGTAAGAATTGCAATTTAATTGGTGAATAATTTTTTAATTGGAGCCAGGCCAAGCATCCGAGCAATTACGCTATAGATTATTTACTGACGCGAAGACAGATAAAAAGTGCATCAAGAAGGCCATCATATTAATTTAAGTTTTAATTAATTGGCGACCACGCGGCCCGCGGTATAGTCCTAATGAAGGGGAGCTGCGAGAGCTGCTGGGAGCATAAATAGAACCAGAGGGGTAATCTGACCAGTGTGTTCTTTCGCTCGGCCAGCCGATGGCCAGTTGGTCACATTGCTTTGAATGTTGAAAATGATCGTGGTCCCTCGGAAACTGTGCACAATAGATAAGCGATCGGATCTGAAGTCGCCTAAATCGCCGAGTGTTCAATGAAAAGAGCGAGTGCCCCGCCGACGGCGAGCCGCCGCAGGGCCACCATCCTCCGGCAGGCCACTATCAATGGCACCTTCCGAGGCATCAAAAAGGAACAATTTTATTTGCAAACACAGACATATTTGAAGAATATGACGGTAGGACACGGAACAGCATAAACAGAAGAGACTTATTAAGCCTTGATAAGATTTTTATACTTATTATTATTTTTTATTTATATTTAAATATTTCAATCTCACTTTCAGTTAAAATAATTGTAGCAATTATCTTTATTAACAGTTTTGCTGTTGTAAATTTGTTAAATTATTATTCTTTTTTAGTCAGCATTAGTTTTAATTTTTAATAGATAAATAACTACATATTTTTTTCTTTCTTCAAATGCTCCTTATAAAGGTAAACAGTAAACTATATTTGATCATAAATTTACAAGTTTTTTAGTTTTTATTTTAAATGAAACATTTAAATTATTATAAATAAAATAATACAATACACTTATAAAAGTGTCAGAGAAACATTTGCGATATTGATTTCTTGAGATGTAGCGAAAATCATTGACGATGCAGCAATGAAAGGTCGTGCATGAAAGGAAGTGCCTGATTATCACTGGCTCTGGCGCATTTAAACTTGTTGCAGCACCAGCCGCGAATAATGCTAATTTAAAAACGCTCCCGCACACGATTGGAAGAATTACATAGTTATGAACATACAACCGTGGTCCATTGCGTGCAAGAACCATTTTAAAAATGAGCATCATCTCTTCTGTTGCATATATATGTATTTTATCAAGTCGTAAAACTGAAGACAAAATTTCACGACGGGGCCTGGTGCCTCTCGAGGTTTTGCAACTCTGCATTTATTTTGCATCTGGACCACAAATTTTATCCGCCAATGAAATAAAATTCTTTTTGTATACCTCGAAGATAAACATTCGTCAAACCTATAATGCATCTCATGTATTTACACTCGCTCTATTGTGAGTCAGCGCAGACTTTTTTATAGTGATTTGGCAGGACAGGGTGAAAGAAAAATAAATCGATTGTTCTTTCTGACACGCTCCCGTTTTTTCCCTACCGAAAGACACGCACCTTGCCAACTTTTTAGCACTGGGACGTATTTTTGGCCGGCCGTCGATCGCGATCTTGGGGTGACGCAAAACAGCCGCGTGTGCGTTCCTTTGACCACCTGAAAAAATAAATAAAATACCTTTCTGACTCCGTAACCCTTAAGCGAAATTAATGCCATTTCTCCATCCGGTTCTAACATATTTTATCTTTAACATGTTCAAAGGTGGAACAACTTTACGCCGAGGTGCTTTACGAAACAGTGCATGGACTTGGACTTGGTGCCACAGAAAATCAAGACGAAGTTTTGGAGTTCTTGAAGACGGCTTTTAAATTTGATGAGGAAAAACATGGATTGTTGTTAGAGGAAGCCAGAGCAAAAGAGGTATGTAATTTTTTTTTCTTTTTTTTCGGCAAGCTGAACTTTAATTTTGCTAAGTTAAATTGTGATTCAAAAGAAAATAATTTTGGTTTATTAATTTTTATTTAAAAAAATTATTCGAATAATTCGATTTACATATAACAATTTGTTTGCTTTTGTAAAAATGCATCATGAAAATGTATGCCTGTGTGCTATTGCGCACACGGTTTGATTGGAACAAATTGATCCTTTTACACAAGCGAGCAACCTAGCAAGTGACCCATAAGCAGCGAATTGAAAACATTCGCGAGCTGCATTTAACTTAAGGGCTCTATACTTTGAAGTCTCTCGTCTCGCTCACACGTTGTAAATTCCAAGTCAAGAGCTCCGAAGAGTCTCTGTTCAGTGTTTAGTGCAAAAAACTTGGTGGTCCGCTTGATTCAAAACATTCTCCTGCTTTTTATCCTCCATAGGCGCCAGACATTTTACTCAACGTGGAGGTTATAGAGGCGCAAGAACTCAGGGCCAAGGACTGCAATGGCCTCAGCGACCCCTTCTGCACTCTGTATATTTCAAATCAACCGACGCAGCGGTACAACACCTCCGTCAAATCGCAAACACTGAAACCAACATGGGAGGAGCACTTTTCACTGTGAGTTAAATTCATAAAAATAAATGACGAAATAAATTAACTTAAAATTTGAACAGGCCTGTTGATGATCCTAACAATGATGTCCTCGTAATTGAAGTTTGGTAAGAAAATTTACTAAAAATAAATCCACATTAATTTTACGTACAAATTACAGGGATTTTGATCCAGCTGAAACTGTTAGAGAAAAACTTGGCAAAATTAGTGACGTGAAAGGCGTCAAAGGTTTAAAGAAGCTTATAAAGGAAGTTGCAATCACAGCCTCAACTGGAAAACATGATAATGAGCTTGTTGGAATTGTCGAAATTCCCCTAAAAGTATAATTTTAATTAATTAAAAATAATGAAGTACTAAAAATTTTTGGTTTTCAGGAAATTCATGCTAGCGGAATGAAAGCGTGGCGATACTTGAACAAAAAGGGCAAGTCGAAGCACCAGGGCCAAGTGCACGTCGGGCTTTCGCTGGGTGCGCTGAAAAATGTTCAAGTCGCCACCCAGGAACACAGGCAGCTGTTGAAAATCCTGCTCAAACACGACATTGAAGTCACCAAGCCCCTTCCCTACAAATGGAGCGGCCAGTTTCTCGATCTAGCCGCCAGCATCCTGAACCAGCACAGAGTCCACACTGGCATCGATGAAAATCATGTGCAGCTGGCACGGTGGGCTGAATTTTGCTCTCACCACACCGAGCACGCTTTGAACTTCCAGCTTTTGGGGCGAACGCTTGAAAAGCTCTGTAGGCCTATCAGGGATGGAGCTCTGAATGACGAAGAAGTATTTTTTGCGCAAATAAATTTTTCCCTCAAAAATTGAAACTTGCTATTTTAGGCTAAAGTATTTTGGGAAGCTGCTAAAAAGTTGATGCCTGCCTGCTTGACGTGCATCAGGAAATTGAGAAGGTTGATGCCTGAAGACAAGGCCACGCTAACCCAGCTGGAGGCGCTTTTGAGCGTTTTGTCCCAATTAACAACCTTGACACCACCGGCTGGATTTGAATTGTTCCCGTCCACACTCTATGCCTGGCTGAGCCCTTCAGACGGACCCAATTGTGACATTAGAAAGAGTATTCAAGACGCAGTCAGACAAGGAGCAAAAGAATGGTGGGTATAAGAATTTGGAATTTTCTTTTAAATAAAATTATTATTTTATTTTGAAATAAAACATTTTGTTGATAAAGGTATGGACACATTGTGGAAACAAACAACGATGAGGATAAAAAATCTGATGACCAAGATATTCAACTCTCGTATTACATCAAAATTCTCACATGTCTTTACTCTGATATTCTGCGGGCCATCGAGCACCATGATAAAATTTACTCGGAGTAAGGAGAAAGTGAAATAAGATTTATTATTGTAATTTATAATGTGTTCACTATTTGTTCAGTGTGGTCCAGTTTGAGTACTCGAGGACAGTTTATGAGATCTATGATGACCGTGTGTACGAACTTGTGCAGCCGGTTGTGCAAGATACATGCATGAGTTTGAAGCCTCTGAAGTTCAATGAAGACCCTGCACAAGGAATCTACGACAATGACTCCATTACCATGGGCACTTCGCTCTTTGAATTATACATTGGTCTGCAAAGATTTGTAGTGTGAGTTTATTTTTTAAATTAGAAACTTTCTTGCACTTGCGTAAATGGCACATAATGTTAAAATTAAATAAAACTTTCTTATAAAATTAAATTATTCCAGAAAAGTGCCTTTTTACAAAAGAAAGTAAGATTAAATGTAGTCAAGACAGAGGTGTCTTATTATTTTCTTTGCATTCTTTTCAGGTTGGGGCAAGGCCTATATCCGAACAAGGAGTTTAAATGTACCAAATTTCACACTTGGTTCCACAAAGGAGTGGCGCAGTGGCTGGACATCGCTTTGTACAAGGCACTGAAAAGAATTGAAAAGGCCGTTGAGCTTGGCAATTTGCAGCCTCTTGATTCAAACGTCAAGTTCAGCTCTTCAGCAGTTGACACTCTATCAATTTATTACCAAGTAAAACCTTGAAATTTATAAAAATACATTTTTATTTCATAATTTCTTTTAGATCAAAGTATTTTGGAAGCAGCTAAATTGGCCCGATGTTGAAAGTTCCTACACTTTTGTGACTAAGATAATTGATGTGAGAAAATTTTTAGCCAAAATAATAATATTTATTAATGATTTTCTTTATTTTTATTTTATAGGATATTTGCCGTTGCTCTGTTTTCTACGCTGATAAAATGAGTCACCGAGTGAGCGGGCTTGGAGAATCAGAAAACGCATTTAGCAAGAAATTTGAGGTCACGACAGAGGTACCATTTTAAAACATAATAATTTTTTCTTTAAATAACATAAAAATTAATTAAAATTTCAGTGGTGCACAGCAATAAACAACATTGAATACATTCGTCAGGCAATACAACCTTTTGTTTTGGAGCTTGGACTTGAGAAAATTTTAGACTCCATGGCTGAATTCCACTCAGAAGCAGAAGCAAATCAATGCAGGAAAACTCTTCAGCTGGTCATCGACAACACAGTTGATACTGTCAGCAATAAAATTGTCGAGCTCATAGAAATCATGGCTGAAAAGGTAATTGATATATTTCTGATTGGAGACTTTTCCTAAATATTTATTCCAATTTTAGATGAGTCCCTCACTTCACAAGTTTTTGGTGGAAGGGGCTGAACTGTTGCACCAAAACAGCATGAGCCTCGACAGGCTAATTGACTACCTCGAGAAAAACTTTTCCACCCTTCACAGCCAGCTGAGTGAGGAAAATTTCAAAAGGACTTTAGCTGTTGTTTGGGACAATCTGACCAAGCAACTTCAGGAGCAAATTGACAACAGTATTGAGGTTTGTTATTACTAATTTAAGTTTTTAAATTGTCTAATAAATTTTAAAAAATTTAGAAAAGGCGACCTCCCTCATTTTTTGCCAACTTGTCTGAAGCACTGACAATTCTGGAAGGATTTTTCAAATACGATGAGACTGAAATTGCATCCTTGTGCGAAAATTCTGATCTTCTGGCAACTACGAAGGCGCGCCTCAAAATGCACAGCCTTGAGACATCTGATCTAATTCACTGCTATCATGTCAACAGGTAATTTAAATTGTGACTAAAATCCAATTTTTTTTATAACTTTTGATTCTTTTTGTAGGTATGAAGAGCAGAAGTTGCTGACACACACTCCGTCCCAGAACTCTGAGCAATGCTGTGGCCTTCTCACAATCAAATGCATGTTTCAAGATCAATTTCTCAAAATTGAAATCCTCAATGGCAGAAATTTGAGACCCACCGATTCTAATGGTTCTGCTGGGAAATATCTAATTTTAATTTTTGACTCAATATTTCTTTACCAGGTTATTGTGATTCCTATGTGAAAGTGCACCTACTTCCCGAGGAAAAGTTTGCTGGTATTGTTAAACCTAAAACTAAAGTGCACAAGAAAAATTTATTCCCACTCTACGATGAGACTTTCTCAGTGTAAGTTTAATTACTTGAAAAAAATATTTAATACTAATTAGTATTTAAATTTTAGCCCCATGTCTGAGCACGCACAGCGAACTGAAGACGCTCTCATTCATTTTGTGGTCAAAGACTACGAAATGCTGAGCAGCAATGAACTGGTAGGAGAAGCATTCTTTCCCTTTTCCGAGGTGCGGTTCGACTCAGATTTCCAAAATGTTGCCCAGTTCCACTTACCTCTAACAAGGCCTTCTGCAGCTCTTGGTGAGTTTAATAATAAAACCATAAATTATTTAATTTTCAATCAATTCTTTCTTTTCTGCAGAGAACGAGGCTTTCATAGCTTTGGACCACAGGCAAGGAGATAAGATGGCAAAGGATTTTGTCAAGAAAGAGCGAGCTAGGGACTCTCGCTAAAGCTGCCAATTGCACATAAGCGTCAAATTTTTCCCCAAATTGTGATTTTTACCAATTAGGTTAGCTTTGTAATTTGATAATTTGCCCAAAATCCAATGTAAAAGTTAATTAATAATTCTCTTGTAAAAAGCTGAGAACAAAATTCCTATTTTGAAAAGCTATTGTGTCTCATCCATAGAAGAATAAAAATTATTCACTGTTGTGAGAGTCTGCTAGAATATTGCTGATATTTTCTTATAAAATCCTTAATATCATAAATTTCTTTCTCATTGAGGTTAGTGGAAAAAAATTGTGTGGATTAATTATCTCTAGAAAAATAAGCAATTCTGATATTGAATTTGTAGACGTACACGTTTAAAAATATAGGAGTACATTTTGATAAAGAATTTGATAAACAAAACATTCGCCTACAGTAGCTAAAAAGTTTGATTCTACCACATTTAGATGAGGTTTATTGTGATGTAAGAAAGGAGCGTCTGAAACGTCTTGATGTTGCATCAAATAATTGTTTGAGATATATGTTTATGGTGCTAAGTTTGATGAACACCTTTTAATATAAAAGCAGGAATTACAAAGCGCACGTCTGATTCTACCGTAAACCAAGAGTTTACTAGTCCTTATTTCTAAAGCCCCCTTCTTTAGAAATAAGGTCAAGTAAAAAATGAGCAAAAGTCCTGTTGCGCCAACTGATTAAATAAATTTGTGAATATTATTTTTAACTCTTGAAGCTCTTACCTCTAGGTAAGTTGAAAGTTGTGAAAAATTGAGTTTTCAATAAAGGCAATTCTTATGAAAAATTTCCAATTTATCTCCAAACGTTCTCTTTATGATTGAAATCGATTAAAGTTATCAGAAAAAGAAGAAAAAAAATGCGTTTTAACATTTTCGGTTGCGGATGGAGAAAAACCGTTTATTAAAAATTTAATATGATGTATATGACGAGTGGAGAGTGGTGCAATGCCAAAAAAAGAACCAACAATGCATAGAACTCGGGTATTTTTCATTGTTGTGCTAGCGGAAGGTTAGGCGATTGTTTGACAGTTGCTCTCTTGTAAAATTTAAAAATGGGCAACGTTCACCCTGTGGCTGCGCCCATTGCTCACCCTGTGGCTCCGCCAATGCCCCCGCTGCCACAAAACTCCCAGGTAAATTATTGTGTTTCAGTATCAGTTCCTGAATTCCCATGATGAGATCAGTTTGTGGGCAAAATCTTTATTTTCAATTCGAATGTAGAGAATTCTTGCCAGTGGGTTATAGAGTTTTCAAAAATAAAGACGGAGAGCCAAAGAGGACATTTTCTGGGTAATGGAGACCTCATGAGCTTGAATCCGGGGTCAAAAAAGATATCCCATAATACCCCTGGCCTATTTTTGTAATAAGAATTACAACCAAACTACCGTTTTTATTTTGGCTTGATCCCCCCTTTGAATTTACCACTTTTTGCAACAATCAAAATAAGTTTTTATAAAGTTTTTTATTTATTGAGTTATTAGAATCTTATTTGAAAGTAATTTGAAAGTAACTTTTTATTGGCTACTCAAGTATTGATTTGCTGACATTTCTTTTTAATAATATGTCGCAACTCAAGAGATCAACAAAATTGCATTTAATTTTTATTCCCATTTCACTAATACTGACTATAAATCAGATTAGTGACATCGCTCTGTTGCGCTCATTCCAAACTTGCACTCCATCGCATTATAGAGTTGACTTCACTTACGTCAGGTAGGCCACCCATTTTACACGCGTAGTGCATCGGTGCAGATTTCCAAAATCGTTCCGCATCCCGCTCTCTAAATTTTGAAATATATTAGAAGGATGCACATCTGAGTTGTAGGCGTTAATAAAAATCATAATTTTTTTCAATGAGTTCAAATTGTGAAATTTAGACTAGAATACATAACATAACTAATTTAAACCCAATCATTTTCCAGCAAAACCAGAGCTTGCGGAGGCCTTGATGGCCAGAATTTCGGAAGTTTATGTACGAGAGTGCCCTAGGATCGATCCAGCATGCATGCACTGCCTTTCTCAAAGAGCAGAGTACCTGCTGGTGTGCAACTATCTCGCCCTCTGCGAGGGATGCAAGATTGACCAGATTGGTGCGAATGCGATGAAATGCCCAGTTTGTCACCATCTCTCTGGACTCCATGAAATCCTGAAGGTGTTTTTGGTCAACACTCAAACCGATGACAATCTCCAGGCTACCCTTGGACAAAAACCAGTAAATTCAAAAATTAAACTATGAAATTTTATAATTATTGAAAATTTCTAGCAAATCAATCTGAGCCGAGTTGACAACGAGACGCGGACAGTCTTACAGGGTGGGAAGCGCTGGCTCCTCCAGCGTCTCCGTCATTTGACGATTTCCCAACTGCAGGACGTTCTCCGGGCCAACGGCAGAGAGTTCAAGTCCTACTGGCGTAAGTCTTCCTTTTAAGAAACTAATTATAAAAATCAATATTTTTTTTCTTTTAGGTCTTCCAAGGTATGCTGATGAGGTGTATGACCTTGTGGAGACAGTGGACTTGAGGCCAGCAGCAAACACGAAACTGCCGTGTTTTGTATGCCAAGTAAATCCAATGAGCCACATTCTGATGGCTTGCAAGCACGTTGGCATGTGCTTTGATTGCAAGAATGCTTTACTGCTGCATGTTGGCCCTCCACCTCCTGCTGGATCTCGAGACGTCCGAGTGGTTTCCTGTCCTGTTTGCCGAGTGGACAATTTTGGCCATCAGATTACACGGATTGAACTTCAAGATCCGTACTAGCAACTCTGATGATGATTTATCACTCAAGTAAAAGTTAATTTGTTTGTTTGTTTGTTAAAAAAATATAGTTGTTGAAGCAAATGAAGCATTTTTGTTAATAATTTAGTTTTGGAATTGGTTTTTTTTTAAATCGGCTGTAATTTTGAATTGGGGTTTTCAAAAGTTATAAAATTTAAAATTCTCAGAGCACATGTTTATTTTCAAAGATATTTTTATTAAATTTATTGCAAGGAAAATTAAATATTCCAAATTTTACGTAAGATATATTAATATATTAAATAAAATGTTAATATCCAAACGATTTAACAAATAAATGAAATTATTCTAATCAACCTTCAAAAATATTATGTGAGATTATGAAACCTTTCCCTTTAATTTTAATTAATTAACTTGCAGAATTTATTATTATTATTACTTATTCTTCTCGGTCAATACAAAAATTTTAAATTGGAAAAAAAAAGAGAAGACAGGGTTTGGATGTTGTGCAGAGGAATTTAAAATTGTAATCAATTTAATGAAATGGTCATTTTTTAATGATAATTTTGCGCGAGATTGTATTAGATTGAAGGGCCGAAGGGCCAAAAATTTAAAACTATGATTGAATTATTTGACAAGGATTAAAGCTTTTGGAAGTCCTTTGTTTCTTTTTACTTTTTTATACTAACAAATTTGGTAAATATTTTTATAGAGTTTAAGAATATCCGTTTTATAATTTAAAAATAAATTAATTTAATTTAGTTTTGTAATTAAAAAATAAATTGTAAACGTTTAATAAAATTTTTGTTGAAAAAATTAGAGCTAGGTCAACAGAAAGCAAAAAAATTTACAAATATTTTAAATAATAATATGACTGGTTCAAAATTTTCATTCATTCACCTTGAAGGTTAACTTTAAATTATAGAGTAAATAATCTTGTATTTGTTTCTAAATTTAATCTTATGGTCGTCCGCGCACCTGCGATTCTCCTAATGTGGGAATGTAACAAGGCGTGTTGCGCACTGAAGTTAAAGCAGAGGCTGTGAATACGCGAAAATTAATTTCTGCCGGATTCAAGTTGCTTGTGAAGAAACGGTGGAAGCGCGTAGAAAGTGCCCAAATCCTGTCTTGCTTATCAACCTGTTTTTTTTTTTAATTAAAAAAATAAGAAAAAAAATTAAATCTGATGAACTTAATTTAAATTTTGCTACTGACCACTACCGTGGAGAGAAACTGAAGGGTTTCATCGTCACGTTTCAGAACAGCAATGTTTTGCTGGTCGTACAGTTTTGAGGAGTCCCAACAGGCGAGAGCATTTTGATTCACGAGTCCAAAGAAAAGAACACCTCGCGAGTCGATTCCGCAGCCAGCAGACTGCGACGTGCGCTTTGATTTGCCCGAAAAGAAAATCTGCGGCGATCTTCGAGTCGCGTTTTGCTCTTTCAAAGCTGAAGTGTGTACCCAAAAATGTTGCAGAGATGACATGGGGTTGTAGAAAAGTTTCCGTTCTCCATTAAAACCCTGAGGTGGGCCTGAATAGAGAAATATTAAAAAATATATATTAGAGATCAAATGAGAAATTAATTCTACCCAAAGCCAAGCCCACGATTCCGTCCATTAGTTCGAATTGAACACCGGCCACGTTAAATGTGCCTGCCTCAGGTGCGGGGTACATGGTCTTATCTGTGACCCGCCATGACCTCTCTGTGGATGTGTCAATTACGATAATTGCGTACGCGGCGGTGTCAGTCACGAAGAGGTACGCGTCTGGTTTTTCTTTCCTCCCGCATTGATTTGCGTTTTTGTACTCGACAGCAATGTTGGTTGGCTGAGAATTGCATCGCAAAACACTCTAAAAAATGTATAATTATCTATTATATCTAATTTATGTTTAACGTGAAAAGGAGTTTTATTGTAAATTAAAAGTTAAAATTTGCCTAAATACAAAAAAAATTATTGCAAATTGTCATACATGGAAAAATTTGTATGTTTCTTAGAAAAAGTTTTGACGCACATAATAGTTTAGATTCGAGTAACAAATAAACATAATAAAAAAGTTACTAGAAGTCGAGAAAACCAAATATTTTTTTTTTAATTAAAAAGTTCAGTGATAAATAAGTTTTTAAATAGTTGCATAGCATGATGTGCTATTAAATAATATTCATTCTTAACAAAATTTTAGAAACACAAAAAGAGATAAAAAGCAAATTTTTTATAATCATGTGGTACCATCCAAGAGCACTCTAGCGTTGCAGCCAATTTTTTTTTATAATCATATACATTTTATTACATTTTTTATTAAATATATATTTAAATATTGATATTTATACTAAATAAAAATTATAATATTGTTTCAAAATTAAATTATAAATTAAGTATTAACTTTTGGGCTTGTCACATAAGTACATAACCATTGCCTGTAGGACCAAAAATTAATTGCCGGCCAAAATCTTACCTCTGAAAAGCGGTGTCTGTAGATAATAGTATCTGTGAGAAGATCAAATGCAACAATTTGCGGGGGGCAAATCTGTTGTGCGCCAACCTTTCCTGTGTCCACGACCCACAGCCTCTTGCATTCGTCGACGGACATTCTGAAAACGGACGTCACCCCTTCGCAATTGCCTTGCACGTTGAGTTCAATGCTAGGGTACGGCTCCAATTTAGGGGAAGACAGAGTTGGTGCGTTTGATAGGTCTGTCGGAAGTGGTAAAGAGTTCAGGGTGGATGGCACGCCCTGGCGCCACCGAGGGACAGAAACAAACAGGCGCCGCTCGTCTGCCTAATTTAAATTTTATTAAAATTTAAAAAATATGATGGCTTTTTCATGTACAAAAAAAGGCTTTAAGCCATAATTTTTTTTTAATAAATATATATGTACCTGTAATGAAAGAGGCATGGAAGAATTGATCTGTACGAAGGCGCCAGATTGTATAGCCTGTCTGCGTATTTGTTCATTGGGAAAACGAAAATCGAGCTGTTTCCAGTTAAAAAGTTCCCGGAACCCAGCATTGGGATTGTGGTGACTGTTTGCCGGGGTTACTGTGGGCCTCCATTGCCCCTGCTGATGGTAATATTGCTTATCATCCCTACGATAGCCATGGGCCCCGAGCAGCACAAACGCAGCAAGCACAAATACGGTGATCTTCAGGCACATATTAGACGCACACTGCGTATGTTTTGCTCGTTTCACGACATAATTTCAAAACAAGGTTGTGGTTTTAATAGGTCGCCGTCATCTCTCTCTTTCTCGCAATTTCTTATTTTAATGAAAACAAAAATTGATACGCTAAATATGAATATACTTTAAAAAAATAAAAACAAATTAATCTTACTATGATCACAAAATTTTAACGATACGTTATGTATTGCTTCAAAATTTGATCTTTTCTCACGATTTTATTTCATTAAATGATAATTATAAATAAATTATTCATTGAAAAAATTGAAAAAAAAAAACAGAATAAGATATAAAAAATTTAATATTTTTTGAGCTACAATATTTACATCTTGCAAAGGGCATTTTTGTATCATTTTTTTGTTATTCTTACAATTAGAATAAAAATCTCTTTACCGCAATATTTTGTCAAAAGGAAGTTTGCAGCACACAAGGCGATAAAATTGTTTATAACAGTAAATTTGGTTAACCACTGGCCGATTAAGCACTAGTATCAAAACGTTTCACTTTCATAGTATATCATCCGGTGAACTACAATGGGAGAAAAAATGAAAACTTCTCTGTACTATTTTCTCATTTTCTCCTTCATTTCTTCAATATCGGGAGCGTTGGAAAAAAAGTTTCCACCTTTAGATGATGCCCGAATCAAGCAAGTATTTGGCTGGAAGCAACTTGACTTTAATTTTCCCACTGCCGAGTCCAGGGCAGAGGCGATCAGCAGTGGGGAATTCGACCCAAGATTAGTTCAAGTCACCGGCGTCCAAGTAATTCATTATAATTATTACAGTAAAAATACAATTATAATCATTAAAAAATTATTTTGAATAAGGTAGCAGGAGATCGCGTGTTTATACCAATGCCTCGCTGGCGCCCCAAAGGAATTCCAGCCACATTGGGCTTTGCAAAATACCCCTCCGATGACCCTGCACCCCCGCTGACCCCGTACCCTGACTGGGAATCGCAGAAAGTGGGCAATTGCGATGGATTGACGTCCGTTTTTAGAGCTACGGCGGACGACTGCGGTCGTCTTTGGGTTGTGGACACTGGAATGGTTAATTCTTATGAAAATGAAGATTCCCGTATTTGCCCAGCTAAAGTGGTTGCCTTCGACTTGAGTACAGACAAAATTGTCCTCTCATATATACTTAAGGATGAGGTAAGCAACTCACATAGGATTTTTTTTACAAAAAAGGTTTAGTTTTAGAAAAAAATTAAATTACGCGTCAACTTTTAATTTTTAAACATTAAATATTTTTATCCATCTCATAATTGAGCAATATTTTTTGCACCACATAATTTATTCATAATATTGTGCTATTCAATAATTTTATTCAATTGATGAGAACATTGAGTTAATAACATAATGTTTCTTAACACAGGTAGCCGTCAGAAATGAATCGCTTCTCGCCAACCTCAAGGTTGAATATCCTAAGGGTGTTTGTGGGAAACCCGAGGATGCTGTTGTTTACATCGCAGACACGACGACCTATGCCATTATAGTGGCTGACCTTTCCAAAGGACAGTCTTGGCGAATTGTCCAAAAGACGTTTTTGCCAGACCCCAAAGCGGGTACTTTTCACGTTGGTGAGGAAACGTACGAGCAGATGGATGGCATCGTGGGAATGGCCCTGAGTGAGACGGACTTTTTTTTTTAATTTCTCCCTAATATGAGCGAAAATTTTACATAGGCCCGCAAAAGAAGAGCGTCGACAGACTTTTGTACTACTCGTCCTTAGCTTCCTTCGACCAGCACTGGGTAAAAACGTCTGTGCTCCGCAATAAGGAGTTGGCCCTGAATCCACCTCGGAAGGCCTTCAAAACATCCTACCAACCAAGGCCCAGTCAAACTGGCACATACGCGATGGACAAAAATGGCGTTTTATACTTTGGTCTTGTGAACTCTGACTCCCTTGCTTGCTGGAATTCATTTGCAAACCCTTACGAGCCGCGTTTCTTTGGAATTTTAGCCCAGGATAGAAACGCGATGCAGTTTTTAGCAGAGACCGATGTAAGATTTTATATTATTATAGAACATTTTTATAAATGGAACATTAAACGATTACATTTTTTTTCGCGATAGATTGACGAAAAGGGACGACTGTGGGCAGTATCATCGCGAATTCAAAAGTTTTTTGCAAATACATTGGACCCCAAGGAAGTCAATATTCGCGTCTTTATGGCCGAAAGTACTGATGGCGTCGTCAAAGGCACAATTTGTGAGAGTGTGAACCTAAAGAAGAAGAAGGAAGAAAAGAATAAAAATAATAAAGATGAACTTTAATGCAAACAACATAATAAAAGACAAAAATTAATTCTTTTGATTATTGTGGTTTGCATTTCAGTATAAAACCAATATAAATATGAAAATAAATACAAATACAATGCTATTCATGAAGTCAATAAATATTAATATTTTGTTTTACTTGAAATTTTCTACAAAAGAAATTAATAAATTTAAAATTTTTGTATAGACCGAGAAGAATATATATAATAATAATAAAAAACGAGTTCGGATTTTTGTGAATGAGCCAATGGAGAAATAAAAAAACACTTTATACAAAATGTTTTATAATCCATCTAAAAATATAAATAATAAGAACCAATTGGGATATAGTAAATATTTATTTAAAAACGCTTAAAATTGTAGTGAATTTATTTGATATTTCAAGGGAATTTATCCTGCATAGGTAATAAACACAGTGTTGATTTTCCTCAATGTACAGAAATGTAATGTGTAGTTAAGTAATTCTAATTGCGCAGCTTTAAGAATTCACAAGATATTTTCTTAATTTAATTTAAAAATTAATTTTGTATTAAAAAAAACAATTTAAAAATTAATAAAGTAATTTTATTGGATTTTATATTATACATTTTAAAGAAAAGAAAACAGGAATACCACAACAACATTTTAGCTAGCGGTTAATGTTTATCTAAATTTGGGTTAACCGCAAGAATAATAACTCGGGTCACAATTTGATGTATTAATTTGATAATAAGTGACTCTACAGCACAAACAACACTCAACAAACTTTGACGGGGGGTTTCGCCTTGCATCTTAGAGGTATCGTTATAGGTTATTAGCATTGAAATAAAATGATAGCTGATTTTGACCCTTCAGATGTGGCTGGCACTTTTTGCGTGTCTTTTGCTGGCGGGCTGGCCACAATATGCACAAGGAAATGCAGACTTAGCCCAAAATGATCCGGTTGAGCAAAGGATCGTGGAAGTTTTTGGTTGGAAACAATTTGATTTCAACTACCCCTCTGAGGAGCAGCGTCAAGAAGCTATCAGCAGTGGATCTTTTATTCCAAATTCGATGGACCCCACCGGAGTTTTCGTGAGCATATCTTTTTTGCCTCTATACAATTTTGATTTTTTTTTTGATCCAGTAAAAAGTATTAAAGATTCAAAATACAATTTTATTGATTGATATGGATAATGTTGATAAAAGTAAGTAATTTTACTTACAAAGTTGCTATAATTGCATCAGTTAAAAAAATTTAAATGTATAAAATATTTATTGGCTTCATTTAAGTTATTTTTGAATTGTTAACAGGCAGCAGGAAATCGGGTATTTCTTTGTCTTCCACGCTGGCGGCGAGGAGTGCCTGCAACCCTGGCCTACGTGGAATACCCTTCAGAGAGTTATTCGCCTCGTCTCAACCCTTACCCAAACTGGGAGCTGAGCAAAGAGGGCAACTGCGACGGCTTGACCTCCGTGTTCCGCGTTTTCATTGACGACTGTAACCGATTGTGGGCTATTGACACTGGTTGGTCGCCGTCATGGCTCGTCCCTAACCGCATCTGCCCCGTCAAGGTCATGGCCTTTGACCTCGCAACCGACAAAGTTGTACTCCAGTACATACTGCCTCAGGTATATTATTTAAATAATTCCAAAATTAAACATATTTTTATCCATATTAGTTGCAAATTGTGTTTATTGATATATCACAAAGGCAATTGCTGCCCATATTAATTCATCAATAAATGTTAAAAGCATTAAAAAAGATATAAATCAATTATGTAATTTTTTTTAAATTATTTTGCAGCATGTGATTAAGAGCGACGCCCTTCCTGTCAATATTGTAGTCGACTTCCCAAAAGGGAAATGCAACAACCCAAAAGACGCCATTCTTTACATAGCGGACACTGTTGCTTTCTCAATAATAGTGGCCGACATGTCGAATGATGAGGCCTGGAGGGTCGTAGACAAAACCGTATTCCCTACGCCAGACCTCACCACGTTTCACGTTGGTGGCGAAACTTTTGACATGATTGACGGAGTCATGGGAATGGCACTAGGTACTTTTTCTCCTAATTTTTAGCTTTTTAATTATTTGTGCATACATCAATCAATTTTGAATAAGTGATTATTTCATTTTAATAAATGTAAATTTGCTAATAAATTTTATTTTTATAGGACCAAGAGAAGAAAATGGCGACAGAAACTTGTTCTTTTCCGCCATGGGGAGTTATGACCAGCGTTGGGTGAAGACATCAGTTTTGCGAGACAAAGAGAAGTCCAACACTTCACCTGGAGCATTTAAAAGTGGCATTAGCCCAAGAGGAAGTCAGACCGCCGGATACGCAATGGACAAAAACGGCGTCCTATTTTTCGGGCTTCTTACCTCCGACTCGTTAGTCTGTTGGAATTCTAAAAATCCATATGAAAGTAATTATTTTGGCCACCTCGCCCAGGATAAAACAGCTATGCAGTTCCTTGCCACTGTTTCGGTAAATTTTCAAAACTTGATAATAATTTGTAAGTTATTTTCATCACACTCTATCTTTCAGATTGACAGTTCTGACAGGATTTGGGCGGTTTCTACCAGAAACCAAAAGTTTGTATTGGACACCATTGATCCTAATGACATCAACTTTAGGGTTTTCATGAGTCCATCAATTGAAGTGGCCATCGAAGGGACAATTTGCAAAGGTTCTAACTGATTTAAATGAAAAATCAAATTTTGTTATAATTTTGTTTAACTCCGAATTTTATAAATAAATTTCAAAATAAAATTTGTAACTTGAGAGAAGATATATCATTTAGCAGAAGAAAAATAAAGAACAGTTTGTTATATTATAAATTAAACAAAAATGATCTTTGAAACTTAATTACCTTTATTTTGCTGCAATAAAATTTAAAGCAACTTTTCCTTGTAATAAATCAAGTTTTGTTTGCAAATGTTTGCTTCGTTAGCATAATTATCTATTTGCAAATAAAAAGGATATTAGGACGCAGAGGGTACCAGCATCTTCTATTTGCAGTGCCAAAATTGAGATTGATTAATTGGGTTAAATGATTTAAATAATATGCCCCACTTTTCTACAACAATAAGCGTCATAAAATCCACAAGTTTTAAAAGAATACAAGTGTAAACGCTAAGTTTTGTTTACATGACTGACTTTTTTATCATCCATGGAACACAACAAAATTAAAATCACCTGAGACAGGAGAAGCACTGGCAGGCCGAGCGTCGCGCGGTGAATTTGGAGCGAAACATTTGGCAAGGTAATGGGGATTGAGGATTCAATATACCAAATTTATTTTTTTCATTACATTTATTTTGCCTATTATCAAAATAATTTTTTGGAAATAATTATTAAATTAAAAGGAAACTTCTCATAAATACTGATTTCTATTCTTGAAACAAATACAAATATTCCAAGATTTTCAGTTTTATATAAAAAAAAAATGATGGATTTTTATTATAATAGAGCTAAATAATAAGTAAGCAAAAACTGCTTTCCCTTTATCGTCCTTAAAACTTGGAATGGAACGATCTGTCAAACGCCCTGAAAGATTTTACTGCTCAAAAATGTCTCCCATTGTCTAAAAACCTTTAGTAGCAGCAACAATTTAAGTGATTTTTTTTTAATATTTATTTTATGCTTTATGCTTTATGATTAATGTAAAATTCGGTTGCGGTCCATATCAGAGTAGACCTTTTCTTTCGCTCTGCTTATTAGGGTCTTGTTCGCCGGAAGTTCCGCCGTTTCTTCTCATTTTTACTCTATATGTTGTAACTTAATTGAGAAGAATGAGCCATATTAATAATTAGTGTTCACTTGCACAAATTGCCTTTTTTTCTTACATTTATTCGTTTAGATTTTACTATATTTAATAGTCTATTAGTTGGTACAGCGGGTACAGAATAAAATGGAAATATGAATTAATTTTTTATTTATTTACTTTTTTTTATTAACTTCAAATTTTAACCAAAAGATTTTCATAATGCCACGAAAATCACAACATTGAGGAAGAAAAGAAAGAATGTTAATATAAATTTTTCTTTAGTCCCAATTTATTATTTCTAAATCAGTTCAATGAAAATTACGTCCAAATATTGTTTATTATAACTTGATCAGAGCTGAAACAATAAAAACAGCGATTTTGAAATAAATATTGATGTCATAAAAAATTAAATTTCAGATGAGGTCTGGGTTTTTCTTACTCGGCTTGCTTTCTGTCGGAGCGTCAACAAAAGGTTACGGCGGTTATGGAGGCGTAAAAAGACCACCAGGACAAGGTCAGAGTTGGGAAAATTCAAGACAAAGTCGAAATGGGAACATTTCTCAGAACTCTCAGCAAAATCGTTTGCAGGAGGTTTTCAGCTGGAAACAGCTGGACTTCAACTACCCCACACAAAGAGCACGAGATGAAGCGATCCGAAGTGGCGCATTTGTGCCTATGATTCCAGAGCCCATTGGCGTTACTGTTTGAATAAATTAAAATTAGGAAAAATTAGAAATTCTTTAAAATTATTTTATGTAATAGGCGGGGTCCAAAAATCGCGTTTTTATCTCCATCCCGCGTTTTAAGAATGGAGTTCCGGCGACCCTGACATATGTGAACTATCCATCGCAGTCATCATCACCTCTTTTGAACCCTTACCCAAACTGGGAGATGAACCGCGAGGGAAATTGCGACGGTATCACCTCCACGTTTAGAGTCAAGGTGGACGAGTGTGATCGATTATGGGTGCTGGACACGGGCTTGGCAAACTCATTTATAGATCCAAAGCGCATCTGCCCCCCACAGGTTCTGACCTTTGACCTCAAGACTGACAAAGTCATCAATAAATATCAACTTCCCAACGTAATTATTATTCATTTTTACTAGAAGTTTTATGTTGTATTTCAATTTGGGACAGGCCGTTTTGAATAGCGACTCACTGCATGTGAGTATTGAAGTGGAATATCCACGGGGCACGTGCGGCAAGCCATCAGACGCGGTTTTATACATAGCAGACACGACTATATTTTCCATAATTGTGGCGGATTTGTCGACGGGCAAAACATGGAAGGTATTAGACAAAACTGTTTACCCATCGCCTGAGGCTGGAACTTTTAATATAGCAGGAGAATCTTTTGAGTTGATGGACGGTGTAGTGGGAATGGCATTTGGTATGAGAAAAAATTTAATGTGAAAATTGAAATTTTTTTTGCTATATTTAGAAAAAAAAATAATTTGATATATTTATGATACGAGTCACTTTGAGTATTGCAATATTCTATAGCAGAATCCCTGGCGATTTGAAAAAAAAAAAAATGATCTTTTCTTTTTTGCACGTTCAAAACAAGGCAAAGGATTTTTTGAATTTGAGCACAAAGGAAATGTTAATCGTTTTGCCACAATAAACAGGAAAGCACTTTAGTCAAACATGATTGTTATTTCAGGACCAAAGACCGACCCGGGTGGACGGAAGTTGTACTTTTCGGCCATGAGCAGTTTTCAGCAGCGATGGGTGCAGACATCAATTCTCCGCAATGAAACCACCGCAACAAATTCCCCAACAGCTTTTCAAACCGGCGCCCAGCCAAGGCTAGATCAGAGTGCGGGATGTGGCATGGACAACAATGGAGTGCTCTTTTTTGGTCTGGTCACAACAGAAACATTGGCTTGTTGGAATACACGAAACCCCTTTAAATCAAGATACATTGGCAAACTAGCCAGAGATAAAACCACTCTTCAATTTCTAACATCAGTTAGTGTGAGTATTTTTTAAGGGATGGAATTTATTATACACAACTTTTATTACTAAATAAAAACTATACAAATTTTCAGGTTGATCAGAGTCAACGGCTCTGGGCCATCTCGACCAGATTACAAAAATTTGTCTTAGAAACGATGAGCCCGAACGAGGTAAACATTCGCCTATTTATGGCAAATTCAACTTCCGAGCTGGTAAAAGGCACCGTTTGCAACAGAGGATCTCGACCAGGAAATCAGTTTGTATTTAAACCATGACCTGTGGAAGGGCGGTGGCGCTTCCCCGCGTAGTCCAGTCCGCGGCGCTTGTGGGGTGCCGAGTGGAGCCCTGTGGAGCGACCAACGCCGCCCTCTAGACACTCTACAACAGTAGCAAATAGCGACGGTTCTTTTTGGTATTCAATTGAGCATTGAAAAACTTTTATCAAAATTAATTTATTGAAAACTTTTGCATCAAAATTTCATGCATAAAATTTAAAATTTAATAGAATGGAATACTGTAATTTTGAAACAAATTGTCTCCTTTACTCTGTATGGGACAATACACACAGATGACGTTGAAATATAATTTTTTGTACCATCTTTGGATATATATTTCATTTTCAACAATATATATATAATTTTTTAAATCTTCCATTTTCTGCTTTTAGATTACCAAGTTAATTTTTTAATGAAACATAATAAAATAAAATAAAAAATGTGATCTTTCCAATTTTGGTTTTGATAAAATTACATAAATTTATAATATGGTTTTCATGGTCTCTGATAAGAGTGTCGCGACAACATTTTCGATGCGTTTAGCTTGACAATGGAGATGACAAACTTACTGTGACCTCGCAGTGTGTATGTGGTTTTTTTTCTTTTGTTAGGTGCATTAAAGAGGAAACTTTGTACTAAAACAAAGAATCAAAATTTAATCTGGCTGCAAATGTATTTTTACTTTCAAAAGCACTCAGTTCAAAAGACAAAAGCATTCAAAATATGCGACTTACTGCACCATGCATTTCCTTTTAAATTTTTTTTTAACACAAATATGGGTAAAATTTATATTCTATATTATTTTTGTTCTATCGTGTCATTCCGATCAATTCCGATTAAGATTTCCAACAGCATTTGGGCGGTTTCTACCGGAAACCAAAAGTTTTTATTAACAACATATTGATCCTATAAAGACTTCAACTTCAGGGTGCATCATTTAAAGTGACAATTGAAGGGGCAATTTGCATAGGTTTATGAACATTAAAAAAGTCAAATCTTGTGTTATAATATTTTTAACAAAATTGTATACATTAAAATTTAAAAGGAATTTTTTGACTTCACATAGGGAGTCTTTGCAAAGAAAAAGAAATAACATTTAAAAATAAAAATACACCAAAAATTATCATTTAAAATTTTTAACATATCCATTGATTTCGCAACAAAAAAATTTGGCAACTTTTCGTCACTGTCGCAAATTGTTCAATATGTCCAAGAAGGGTTCACTAATCTATTGCATTGCTACCCTGTGTAGAAAGTGGAAGGGGAAGATCAGATAATTTTCAGTGAGGGCACTCGTTTTTTTTCTAAATTAAAAGGTGATTAGGACGTAGGGGGTACCAGCACCTTTCATTTATCATAAGCTGTGCCAATTCAGTTTAATGAAGTGGATTATTCGTTTTATTAAATAACGGCCTACTTATACCGCACAAAAAAATAAGTGTCATAAAAACCACTAGTTTTTTTAAAGGGAGTAACAACTGACCACGTAAAAGTTTGAACCCCCCCCCCCCCCCCCCCAATAACTCTCTATACGGCGGATGGGGTCTTTTTAATCCTGGAAGTTTCAGTTTTCCAAATAAATTGTTTTCAAATATTATGATGCAAACAACAAATTATGAACTGAATAGTTTGAAACGTTCTACGGATCACTTCATTGGAAATCCCATTTATGTTCAATGTTCATTAATAATAATGTGCAATTGTTGATAGAATTGATATAATGTATAACAGATGTATAAAGAGCAACTATGCCGACAAAAAGATTTTTATCTAGTACCAGAAATGAGCGTAATTTAAAAACTTTATTGTTTTGCTCAAATCACTACATTTCTCTCATAGCGCATCGTAATAATTTTTATTGAATGAAATAAAACTTATCATCTATTTTATCTGTAATCGCTACATACCAATTTTTTATACATAGTAAGATAGTTTTCTCCATTCTATGTAATAATAATATCATGAATTGGACAGAAATAAACAACAATAATACATTAATTGATTAAATAGGAATTCGTGTTGTAATCAAACACTTTCTTTCAACCATAACTTATTAAGAAATTTTGTGTTAGTATTTTGAGGCGGTGTGAATTGGGATTATATTAAGCTTTGAAAATCACCTTGAAATACAGGAAACTTCACATATTACTCATCATAGAATACTATTTCCATTGCTTTTCAAAGCCAAAATCCGGTTCTTCAGAATGCTTTTTGTGGCTTTTTGTTTGTTTTTGCGTTTAATATAACTAGAGGTCGAATGATTACACGAATAAAATTTGATACATGCAATTGCGGCACAGAAAGATGAGCAACCTATAAAAAATTATTCCTCTGACGTAATTTTTATTTGCTGACTTTGTGCGGCTCTTTTTGTACTTTACGTGCGCGATGGGAAACACGCCGGAACGCTTAAATCATATACCTCGCGGAGGAAACATGAAAGGAAGACTTTGCCGACGCCGCCACGACGGTCGAGTATGCTGATTTTATCCTCCATTGCACACAGCAAAACTAGAATCACCAGAGGCGGGAGAAGCATTTGCAGGCCGATCGTCGTGCTGTGAACTCGAAGAACACTTCTCATGAGCAAAACATTAGACAAGGTAATTGGGATTGAATATACTTATATTTGTATATTTTTCCTTTTTGCAATGCAAATTATATTTTTAATCATACATTCTGTCTTCCATTAATTAAAAAAAACTACGTGTTTTGCAGTTAATTCTGATTTAATTCTTTGATTTTAATCAGTTTTATTTTCATTTATTTACTAGAAAGTAGCGGCAAGTAACAGTATTTATTAAATTGGTTAATAAGATTTAATTGGATTAAGAGAGGCACGCGGGCTAATACATTTTATTCATTCAACTGATTGTTTGATTTAAATTATCGTTACAAGCCTGGTGTTTATTAATTCCTAATTCATTTTCTATTTTATAGCTGCTTTCTGTGATTTTAACAATTTTCAATGTTGCAATTGGGCATGATGGATAAAGTTTAATGGAAAATTATTTAAAATTAGTGATACAATTCTTGGCGGTGGTGGGCAATTGAAATGGGTTAAAGAGAATTTTAATTTTATTGATCCAATATTTTATTAAAAAAAAAAAACTGACCTGGAAAGCTTAACACAGATGAGAAAGGAAGAGTTGATTTTATTGACACGACAATAGGAATTTTCTGAAAATAGGAAATTTTTCAAAATTTCCACCTTCAATAGCTTTTTAACTACGTTTTTACATTTTAGATTGTATTTTGCAACAGTCTGTTAAAAAGATATGCGTTTATTGCATAAACGCAAAATACGAAATAATATTTAAGATGAGGGTGAAGTAGAGAGTAACATACAAGTACTCTCTACTGGGTGATTGATTAAAAATTGAAACAGAAAACCTTCAAATAAATTTGATAAACAAGCTGACCTCTTGCGTCCTGTGTAGATTAAATGCTCGGTCTTTTCTAACGTTGATGAAAAATGTATAGAAAATAAAATGCCACTAGACCCAAATACTAAACAAAATTTGTGGCTTCCTTTCATCAAGGGCTTTGAACTTTTTAAAAATACAAAAAATGACTTTTAATATAAATTTATAAGTGTCCAATGATTTTGGTTATAAATTTGAGTTTTTATGTATTATTCTAATTGCGGCCTCTGCAAGGTCCTTTGCGGTGTTCAATTGAGGCCTTGCATCTAATTGTTTACAGGAAAGAAAAAGATATGACAAAAAGAATTTATTTATGCTAAAAGCGCGTGAGCTGACCGAATTTCACCTTGACAATGAAATTCGCCGAGAAGAGCTTTGTTTGCACGGCACGATAGGCAGTTGATTGAAAGGAAATTAAGATGGAAAGTAGCAGCTCTGGTATATAATTATCAAAGGAAACATTACGCTTTGTGGAGCAAAAGCACTATTATAATAATGTAAAAGTGCCGCAAAGAACTCGTAAACGATGCGCTCCAATGCCTTTTATAGTTCCATATGAGTAAATTTAATGTTAAATTTCTGACCGATCTGTCTTCGTATGCATCCGAGCTTTCAATGGTAAGAATTAAAGTTTATTCAGTCAAACACAGCAAACGATTGTGCTATGAGTCGTGATCAAGCCGCAAAAGTCAATATGCACTTGACTAGCTGATTGATTGACTAGCTGCGAGTGAAGAAACTTTTTTACTTTTTACTCGCTGGTGTTACTAGTTAGAACAGAACGGTATAAAGAGTTTTTTATGTGCTCTGTCACTGCTGTTGCTTATTCAGTCGCTTTTTGCTCTCCTATTCGAAGTGACGGTTTTCTTGATTGAGAGTGTATTTCGACAGCGCGATTTTTAAGCAATTTATTTTTTTATTAGTTAACTTTCGTGAGAAAAGTGCGACAGTGTTAAATGTCCTGAGTATAGCAGGTGTTAATTAAGCTTAAATAGTTTGGCAAATATTTGCCAATTTGGTTTAATTATGATGCGCTGAATTGAAAATAGTTTGTTCTTGTTTTTTCTGAATAAATAAATTATTTGATGACTTGTATAGGAATGAATTTTATTTTAAATTTAAAATTCCAAATTATTGGTTTAAAAATCAGCTTGTAATAAAATTAACTTGTGGTATTTTTGTTTTCAAACTGGATCGGAGCTTAAACAAAGATGGTCTCTTGAACCATGAAATGTGAAATTTATGATAATTATGACTTAAAGTTACATTAAAAACTAAAAATAATTATATTTCAGATGTGGCCTGGGATTTTCTTGCTCAGCTTGCTTCTTGTCGGAGCGTCAGCAAAAGGTTACGGCGGATATGGAGGCATAAAAAGACCCCCTGGACAGAGTCACAGTGGGGAAAATTCAGGGCAAAGTCAAAATGGGTATTTTCCTCAGAACCTTCAGCAAAATCGCTTGAGGGAGGTTTTCAACTGGAAACAGCTGGACTTCAACTACCCTTCGCAAAGGGCTCGCGAAGAAGCGATCCGAAGTGGCGCGTTTTTGCCTAATCTGACTTCAGTGCCCATTGGTGTTACTGTAAGTGAAATTTTCAGTAAAAAAATGACAATTTTTATAATACGAACTGATTTAATCAATTTAGGGGACCAGAAATCGTGTTTTTTTTACCGTACCACGTTGGAATAATGGAGTTCCGGTGACCTTGGCATATGTAAACTACCCATCGCAGTCATCATCGCCTATTCTGAACCCCTACCCCAACTGGGAGATGAACCGCGAGGGAAATTGCGACGGTATCACCTCCGTGTATAGAGTCAAGGTGGATGAGTGCGACCGATTATGGGTGCTGGACACTGGCTTGGTGAACTCTTTAGTAGACCCAAAGCGCATCTGCCCACCACAGGTTCTGACCTTTGACCTCAAGACAGATCGAGTCATCAACAGATATCGTATTCCTGATGTAAATATTTCTTCATTAATTTAATTTTTTTATAGTGTACTTTAATTCTTACTTTTTACCAAAATTTTAAAATTATATATTGATTTGTGTTTCGATCAATTTGGGATAGTCCGTTTTGAAAAGCGACTCGCTGCCTGTGACTATTGAAGTGGAATATCCACGGGGCACGTGCGGCAAGCCAACAGACGCGATTTTATACATAGCGGACGTGACTGCATATTCCTTAATTGTGGCGAATTTGGCAACGGGCCGAGCATGGAGCGTTAAAGACAAAACAGTCTACCCATCACCTGAGGCCGGAACTTATGACATTGCAGGAGAATCCTTTGAGTTGATGGATGGTATACTCGGATTGGCACTTGGTATGAAAGAAATTTATTATAATTTTAGCCTAACAAAATCTTACTAGAGTAATTTCTATATAAAAATTTGAAAAAAAAATGCGCAATTAAAAAAAAATTCCTTTTTGCAAGTTAACCACAAAGATTCTCTGGAATTTGAGGCATTTGAGCACAAAGGAAATGAAAATAGATTTGACACAACAAATATGAAAGCACTTGTCAAATATGGATTTTTATTTCAGGACCAAAGAATGACCCCGGTGGACGGAAGTTGTACTTTTCGGCCATGAGCAGTTTTCAGCAGCGATGGGTGCAGACTTCACTTCTCCGCAATGAGACCGCCGCTAGCAACTCCCCAAGAGCTTTTCAAACAGGCGCCCAGCCAAGGCCAGGCCAGAGTGCAGGACCAGCCATGGACAACAATGGAGTGCTCTTTTTTGGTCTGGTCACAACAGAAACATTGGTTTGTTGGAATACAAGAAATCCATTCGAGTCGAGATATATTGGCAAACTGGCCCAAGATAGAAACACCCTTCAATTTCTTGCAACAGTTACTGTAAGTAATTTTTTTTTTTAAATATTTCTATAATTATTTCCAATTTTAAGGCAGTTCTTTCAATGATCATTATCTGCAGGGATGGAAATTAATTTTCCCCAATTTATTCTTCTAATTGAAAAAAAAATAACAATTTCCAGATTGATCAGAGTCAACGGCTTTGGACCCTCTCAAACAGATTACAGAAATTCCTTTTAGGCACAATGAACCCAAATGAAGTAAATGTTCGTGTATTTATGGCCGATTCAACATCCGAGCTGGTAAAAGGCACCGTTTGCGACGGGGGATCACAATCGTCGCGACCAGGAAATCACGGAGGCCAGCTGGTATTTAGACCATGACCTGTGGAAGGGCGGTCGCGGTGGCGCTTCCCCACGCAGCCCAGTCCGCGGCGCTTGTGGGATGCTGAGTGGAGCCCTGTGGAGCGACCAACGCCGCCCTCCAGACACTCTACAACAGTAGCAAATAGCGACGGTTCTTTTTGGTATTCAATTGAGCATTGAAAAACATATATCACAATTAATTTATTACAAGCTTTTGCATCAAAATTTCAACATTAAAATTTTTAATTAAATTACAATTAATAATGCTAGTTCAAAACCAACTGATTTTTTTAAACTATTCAAGATAACACACAAAAATTAAGTCCAAATAGAATCTTTTGTACAACTTAACAGAATAAATAAATATAACAAATTCCTTTCTAAACAATATTGCCTTTTTTATACAATTTCCTTTTCGGCCTGTAGTTAATTTTAGTTAATTTAAAATGATAGATTAAAAAATTAATTTGATAATGATATTTTGTGTTAATCAAATTACGTAAATAATAAAATGGTTTTCTCAGTCTTTGATGAGTGTGTCGGCGAAAGTAACAACATTGTTATGCTTTTAGCTTTACAATGGAGGCGACAAACCACCCACCCGTGAACAACACACGGTGTGCGTGTGGGTCTTTTTCTTTTGTGCTGAAGCCAGTAAAGAGGAAAATTTGTACTAAAACAAAGATTCAATCCTGCTGCAAACGTGTTTTTCCTTTCAAAAGCGCACTGTTTAAAAGACTTCCTAGTGTATTTAAATATATGTGCCTTGCTGCGCCATTTCCTGTTATTACAAACAAACATAATTTATTTTTAACTTGAAAAGGAAAAAATCTTTTAAATAATTTAAAAGGAAAATATGTCAACAAAATGATTGTTGATGAAATTGCTAAAGTTTGACAATTTAAATGTGTATAAATTGAATTTCATTCAATAGAATTTTTTTATTATTTAAGATTAATGCATTAATATTGTGATGACTCAATATTTAAACTATTTGATCAAATTTACTTTGAAGAACAATATTTCCCAATTAATTTTTAATCAGGTAATCATTAATTGGTAACTAAAATTAAATAATCAATATTGATTATTGATCTTCACATAACAGAATTTTTATTTATTTGTTTTAGTTTTCTAAAATATAAACCCAGTTACTGGATAGTTTGTCCTGATTGTTGTGTACGAAATTGTCAAGATGATAGTTCAGATAAGAGCAAACGCGATTTCGTTTTCTTCAAAATTGGTGCTGTGGCCAGCATATCGCCGAGAGCAGCTTTTTACTGCTTTTCAAAGTCTTTTTCTCGCGTGTTCTGAAGCAGAGCGCGAATGTCACGAGAAGAAATTCTGTTGCTCTGGTGCTGCTCATAATGTGCGACAATCACAATAAGACACACACATTATAGAATTTTCTCTCGAAATCGACGTTTGTGCGTTTGCACTTTCTCTATCGTTGCTTGCCTGCAAAAATTGGCAGGAGGTGGTATAAAGGGCTAAGGCACGGGAAGGGCGCTCATTTGACGGCTGTCGTTAACAAGATGAGTTTTATTTTATTTGTTTGAAACAGAAGAGTTCTAGTGAAATTTAGAATTATGGCACAGAGGGCCTTCCTGTGGGTCTTCGCCGCCCTTTTATATATTAAGGAGGCCACAGCAGCCCAGCAAGGCTTTTTGGCTCATTACGCTAGCGGCAATGGAGAAGAGTCAAAACCACCACCACAGCCGTTTGAGACCAACTCTATACCCTCGCAGCTTTCAAACCTTCCGACTGATCATCCCCTACATCCTGACCCTGAAATTGTAGCCGCTCCCACAGAAACTATCAAAGTACGTAAATTTTTATTATTTAAAATATATCGTCATGTTAAAAATTATTATTAAATTGAATTTAAAATCAATAACATAATTTTGCATGAAATAATTGTGCTCATAATTTGAAAGATAGAACTGCTTTTTTTTTTAAATTTCATTAATTTTTCTTAACCTTTTTCACTTCATTTCAGACGTATTGGCCAAATAAAATTCGATTCCACGGACACCATCATGTCAGGCCTTTGAAGAAAATTCACAAAGTCAAGCCTTCAAAATTTCCTCCGATTCCTCCGTTTATAAGCGACGAAATGACCCAAGCCATATTCCTTGATAGTCCTCCTATGGGTTCAGGCGCCCCACCGAGCAATTTCGTTTATCCCAGCGTGGGCAGGAAAAGCAAGGGCAGAAGAAAAGAGCAACCTCCCAGTCCTCCTCCCCTTGAACCTACAGCCGACCCTTCCTCGTCAAGCACATCCACACTCGACCCTGACACCACCACTTATCTCCTGAATAGCACACTAGTTGACTTGACAGGTGACAACACCACAGGTGGACCACAGCCCGCATTCAAAGATGCTGCCAGTGTTCCTTCCGAGGGTGGCCTACTCGACTACTTAACTCCTCCACCTGAAGGTGCATTCAGTGAATATTCAGCTTATAGCGTCGATATTACAAAAAAGCCACCCTTCAAAATTCTCCGCCTTGGAGGCAGGTCAAAAAAAGGTCCGAAGGCCCGTCTGAGAGGACCCTCAGGCCCCAATCTCCTTTTTGGGGAATCTCAAAGGAGTCAAGTGTATAAAATGGCACCATTTGGTCACTTAAATCCACTGCCTGGTCCATACAAGCCAATTCCGCCTGCTCAGGGTGGTTTTATGAGGTATCTGTTCCCCTCGCCCGACTTTGGTCCTTCAACGCCATTCCCAATTTTTTCACCCTATTTCGGAGAAAGCAATGAACTGCAAAGGCCACTGTTCAAAATTGCCGGAAGTAAGAAAAAGAAGCAGCTACACTCTCCTCCTCCTTTCGGACATCCCTATGCAGGTTCAAATTTCTTCAATTACAACACTCTCCAACCAACAACTTCTACGGTGATTGTTCCCGCCGATCAAGGCTGGGTGCCAATAATAAATCCCAATCGGCCCTTCCAGGGCCTGCCGCTCACTACCACACCCATACCTTTTACATCATTTAGTCCTGCAGCGACTTTTGCTCACGCTTTCCCTTTCACAAGCAGCTCCTTGACGCCACCTCATTCAAATAATCAACCTCGCCCGGTCTTCCTCTCACCCCAAACGACAAAATCTGAACCTCAAACCACAACACTTCCCTCGCCCTCTTCCTCTTCCACTATTTATTCTCCCAACCAACAGCAAAACACAAATAGTCCTCCATCGACAAGACCGACCCCTCATCAACACAAGGCTGCAGCTTCATCAACAAACGTGGAAGTTGTTCCTTCCATAGAAACTCCGCCAATTACTACCCAGAGTAATAATCCCATCTCTGAATTCAACGCAGAATATTTTTTGCAGCAGGTAATACATTTTAAATTAATTATACATAAAGCTAAATATATTTGTGATTATAAGCATTTTCAATTAAAGAAAATTTTATATGTACTAAATAAATTGCGATCTTCTAAATTTTAGGCGCTGGCTCAGGTGAGACACCAGCAGCAGCAGGACTTCCTGTTTCCCCCTAACGCAAATCAGCAGCAGAAAAATCAACATCAACAACAAAGTAATCAACAGCAGAATAATAAGCGCTCTCAACAGTCTACCCGCCGGGCCTTTGTGAGTGACTCGGACGAGGACGAAGTGATTTACCAAAATCCTGTGCATGGGGTGTACAGGGACCCATATGTGACAATTCACTACCCTGTCGAATCGGCTTATTTCCGCCCTAGCGAAGATGCTATGGCACATTCGTCCGAGATGCAACCAACGCCGTCCTACTACGACTTCCACTTAAATAATATCCCAACTTCAGAGCCGCCCCAGCCGACAGAGGCAAAAAAATTCCACTACATGATCTCGGCTGTAAAACCAAAGGTGGTGCATGAAAAGGACCGCGCCACCAGGGTCAGATTGCCACAAAGAAAAGAGAAATCACTTGAAATATTAAGTTCTGCTTCAACAAAGTAAATTAATCAATCAATTTAAGTAATTAATTAGATTTCTACATTCAAGATTTAAACAATTATAATAAATTAAATTTTTTTTGGAAAATTAAAAATAAATAATAGTTATTTAATGTGCTATTTATTTAGATATTTAAATATATTGTAGTTAGCTAAATATTAATTTTTAAAATTTAACTATATTAAGATTAATTATATTAATAATTCAATTGCAGGGATCCATTTGTGATTTATCCGGAGGAAAGAACTCCGAATCTAGATGAGCTACTTGCCACCAGTTACGTCACACCAAGGACCCTTCGAGGGCTTCGTTTGGGCCCGAATCAGGAGAGTGAAGCCAACACTAATCAAGTACCAGTGAAAAGGGACATAAAAAATGCTAATGAGGGACAAGCTAATGTGGAAGTGATGAAATCGCAAGGAGGGCTGCTACAAGAAGAAATTGTTCACTACCATTCTCCTGTCAAAGCCGATGGCCAATTTTTGTAACTTATCTAATTTTCGTATTTATGTTTGTGTTTTGTGTAAATAAATTCTTGATTTAGTTGTGCGTATTTAATGTTTCTTACAAGATTATTGTTTGTCGCAGATATAAAATTTCAGAGATAATAGCTCTGTGTATCAGATACATTGCTAAGCATTTTTACAGTTTATGGCAATGTCAAACTTGACCTTGTTGAATATTGAGGAATTAACTTTTTTTAATTAAGATGCAAAAAAAAAGCAGTACAGTGTTGTAAAAATACAATTAAAATGGGTAAAAAGCTAATTTTTCTCACTTGGATAAATAATCTTTTGAGTTTAAGTATTACACATTCACATTTGTGCATCTGTATTAAAAAAAATCTTTAAAAAAAATGCACTGGAAAAATGACTCAAAATTAGCATTTTTAGACATGCTTGAGCCCTTTTATTCAATATGATAAAGCTCTCCATATTTTGCGCTAGAAATATGCATTGTTTAAAATAATATAATATTGAATACCGGCAATATTATTTCAGATGAGCCAATACATATGGAATAAAAAACTTGAGACGTTTGGAATTGGATATAATAAATCTTGGAATTGTCTCAAGAAATCACAAACACTTTAATAAAATCTTAATATGATTGGAATCTCATTTTTGGCACAGTTACCAGAGAAATTTTAGCAAAAGGCTACCGACAAGGACCAAAAACTGGCCCAAAAAATTAAAGTTAGACGCACTGTTGCAACTGTCGGTCTTGCAAATGCCACAGAAACTTGTGTACGTAGACTTGGTAGTGCACTCGTCATCCAATGGTTTTCCGTTGTCATCTCGAACATCAGATGTGTCAAGGGTGCATTTCCGTCTAATTACTCGGACCCCACTGACTAAAATATTTAAAACGTATTTATATCACTAAACTCATAAATGTTTTTTTTTCTTCTATTTTAAATTAAGTATAAAAAATTGTACAAACCCATTGAGATTTCTTTCATGCAAGCGTAATGGAAATTCTGGTCATTTGGCGCGGCACCCTGAGAGATGATGCTTTGGAAGAGGTCTTTGAAGACGTTCTTTGTTTTTTGAAATATGATTTTAGCTTGGTGCTCGACCGAATCACATTCAGTGGGTTCCCTTCCTTCGGACAAGGGATTCTTGCACCAATCGTCTCTGTCTGATGAGCATTGAAAGCACTTGAAGTCACTCCCTGACACTAAAATGAGCAATGGAATGAGATCAACTTTCATATTATTAAAATCTCCGCATGATTAAGAAGATCAATTAAATACTTCAGTTTTGTAGGAAAGAGGAAAACTGTTTTTGTTTTGTAAAATTGTGCTTACCTAAATGCAGACTGAACAAGGATATGAGAAGAACGCATAGGGACGAAGCTCGAAGAATCATTTTGCCTGTTGATAGGCATAAATTAAAATAATTACGGCGAAAAATCGCAAGCTTCCAGCTTGACCTACACCCCTGTGACTGTTTTGTTTGGGTGTTCTCTCAACAAGCCTACGCCTTCGAAGCTCATCGGCGCAAAAGTTATGTGCGCACTCAGCTCCCGTTCAAAATTGTGGCCACTCGCAAGTCAACACGCGGTGGAAAGCTATGTTAAACAATGAAAATAACATGGCTTCGGGTAGTGGCGACAGTGTTCATATTGAACTGGAAACTACGACTCAAGTTTAACCATTGAATGGAAATATTCATTGTCACGTGTGGAGAGAATTCACAGGAAATATTTAAATAAATTAAAAAATAGCAGACAACTCTCGAGAGAATTGCTTGCGAAAATTCTAATTAAGTGTGAAAAAATCTAAATAATTTACTCAACTAAAAATATTATTTTCTTCGCGCTGATGCAACTCAATGATATCCACACATTTTTTTTACTCTCGTCAGAAAGTATTGTAGGCAAACTTTTTGAAAATTAGGAAATAATATATAAGGTTGCAAAATATTGGTCAAATGTTCCTGAATTTATTGTTTAAAATTTAATTGCTCTAGTTGACACTTTTTAAATTTAAACTGATTTTAATATTTTATAAATAAATTTAAAAACAAATAATAATTTTATTTGTAGAGTTATTGTAAATTGTATTTATTTATTTAAGGGCGTCCAAATAAATGGGCGATCCATTAATGAACAAAACAGTTTAATCGTCTGGCGTAGAATAGAGTTAAGTAGCTGTTACTCTGCTCCAAAAGTACCATCATCTCCCTTCTTGCACGCTGTGGTCAGTGGGTCGAAACGAATTTTTGAGAGCAATGTCCATTCACAACGAGCTCACCATATAAAGAAAAAAAAAAACAAGATGACCTGCTCTAGTAATTTTATTTCTTGCGCGCAACTCGGACGTACAAAAAAGGTGCGCTAAACCGTTATACTAATTTACAATTCAATTCACTTGCCTTTTAGAATAAATCATAATTTATATTTTAATTTCACAATGTTTCACAAAAACAAGCTTTGACTAGTTGGCTAATACAGATATTTTTCACTGAACGTAAATTAAAAATAATTTAACTAACCCTAACAACTGTTTATGCATCTTACATTAAAATCAGAACACTGTGGAGAATTTTAGTGAGCAATTTTTACAAGAAGTGTTTACAAAACGCTTGCAACAGTTGCAACATTTAGCAATTAAATAATGGTAATAATTTTATAACAAAAGGAAGTATGCTCCACATCTCATCTCGAATTTTCTATTCAACAGCAGAGACCATTATAAAATTAACAGACCAAACTTGCAATAATTTTGATTTGTGAAATGTTAACGAGTTTAAGAAAGCGCACATGGAAAAAACAGTAAAATGAACAGTATTGCGCAAAAAGAGCACTCATTTCTATATGAAATCATCTTTCTTTATACAAAGGAGCATATACTTGTCAATTAAAAACTTGCACGGAGCGTGAAGTCATAAAAAGCTCCGCTTTAGAATAGTTATAAATTTTTCGTCTGCTGTTTATATAGCAAAAGTTATAAATGCCAGAACATGCAATAAAAATAAACATGAAATTCAAATTCAAATCTGTCAAAGTGAATCGTCTTAATAGTATTTAAATCACAGAGTTTTAATTTTAGTTTCTATTTTTTTACAGCTGAAAATATACTAATCTCAGAAGAAAGCTTTAATAGTAAAAATGCAGATGATTGCGGGAAGAGCAACCAACAGTGAGGAAACAGAGTGCAATGCTCTTGGTGCCGAGTTGCACGCCTCCTCCATGCATATGTTGCACGTTTCGCCAGGGACCTGCTTTAAGTCTTCGTCGCACATATTCGGAGCTGGTTTGCCATTAGAGTCTTTAATCAGAGAAGTGTCCAAGGAGCACTTTCGAGTGACAACCACTTTGTCTCCAGCTGCAAATAAATCAAATAATTTAATTCAGTCAAAGCCGCTATTTTTTATGATTCAAGTTTCCCATTAGAAAAAGATCAAATTAAAGTTCCATTTGATTGAACAGACCTCAATTCAATTATGAGGTTTTAACCAAAAGTAGAATAAATTTTATTATGGAAAGTGCACATTAAATTAACGTACTGGTTTTTACTGTTTTAATGCACGCATGTTGGAGCCGCTGCTCAGTGAAAGTATTTGTGAAGAAGATTGCGGCTACGTATGCCAGGTCCTGGCACTCGGTGGCCACCAGGGTCACGTTCGGCTTAAACGGATCGCCGCAATCAGGATTTTCTTCGGACGTGCACTGGTAGCACTTAAAACTGCTCGCTGCAAATTTCACATAAATTTAAAAAAAAAAAACACACACAAACACACAATTCAAACAAGAAATCATCCCAAAGCCGAGTCGAGCCGAGTGAACAAAAATATTGCGTGCTTGAATGACTCACGCATGAGAAAATTTGCATAAAATCGATTGTTTATTCATGAAATAGCTCAAGGGTGTACTTCAAAAGGAACAACTATTATTTTGTAACAAAGTTAAGAAAATAACTGCGTATATTCACTTTCAGTATGCAGCTGCGCTAAATACCATTCGGTTTTGCGTTTTGTTTTGCTATTCAATGCACCTTTTATTCATTGAATCGGCAAAACAATCACAATGCATCAATGAATACAATTTATGTATGCGTCCTATTGAGTAACATTTGAATAATGCTAATCAGAACACAAAAAGGTCACCTTTGTTTATAAATTGCATTTAATAAAATATCCTTTATATTAATTGTTCCAATGTAGAATAAAAAACATGTAAAATGCAAAGTTACAAAATCAACATTTTTATTTTTGAAATTAGGTTAATTTATAGTTTGGGTAAAATTATGTTGTGCCGCAATAATATATTTAATCATTTTTCCCATTTTTAAAATTAAATTTTTAAGTCCTCTGCAAATTTAAAATAAATAAATAAAATCATTTCTGACGACAGGAGAAAATTGCATCTAAAGTTATTCAAATTTAAATGAGCTGTGAAAATACAGCTCAGTCTCTTGAAGAAAGACAATTCTTACTCTAAGGCAAATAAATTAAAAATTTTACAAACTCACCACTGACTGCAGAAATAAATCCAAACAAAAGGAAACACCAAGCTTTGGTCACCCTCGATTTCATTTTGGCCGATCTAAAGTAAGGCGAGTCAAGCACGACTTACAATTAAAAGACACAATTGACAGACACAATCGCGACAGACCTCCTTAGCAGCTGAAGCAAGAATAGCTTCTGAACGGCCACGCCGCGGTTCTCCTGATGTACAAAAGAGAAAGAAACCCGTTTTCCAAGCAATGGAACTTGCGAAGCGCCGCCTCGGGACTCCACGCTCAAACGCCGACCTCCGCAGTGACTTTTTTGCCACACGCATAGGACTCTTTTGGCATGCACATCACGTTGATTTCAACAGTGCAACGGGGTGTAGGAGGCACATTTGCTCTTGATGTGTAGAAACATTGAATTAAATAAGGAGAAATTTGCATGTTTTTAATCATGCAATCACATTAATGTATTTTCTTGATCACACATCATGGAAGTTAAAAATTTATGCGTAATAAATATGTAATTCAGACCAAAATTCTTTATGCGTTGCTGATAATCAATGTTAATCTAAAAAGTATTAAATTGAGTACTTAACGTAAAAATAAACAAGCATGATTAAACTGTATAAATGAAGAGAAACAAAATTTCAGATTTAATTGTCATATTTTTTGTTACAATTTTTTTTGGTTTTCAATGTAATTTTAAATAGTTTTTCACGAAAAATGGTTAGTCAGATGAAAAATATTATTTTAAATATTGATTTTTGTACTAATTCTAGCAAAATTAATTTGACAGCTCATGAATTATTGCTGCAGTCAAAACATGCAGAGAAGGTTTTTTTTATCTCCAACAATAAACACCCTACAAAAACCATCAAGGAAAAGCCAAATTTGGCAAATTTAAACTCGCAATGCATCAACCCTTCGATCGTGAAATTCTAACTGAAAATTAAAAGTGTTGTATATTTTTTTCTATTTGAAGAACCGCAAGCAGCTGCAGAGCTAGCAAAAATGATATTTTGAATTTTTTATCTCTTAAAAAAAACTGGTCGCACATGAGTTGCAACTTTATTATAAAAAAGAAAATTAAATTTGGCTGCATTTTATAGCTGCCTAAAGAGAAAACCATTTTTGTAACTAGCAACAAAATTATAAATCGATAAAAAAGTGAAATCTTACAGAATTTCAAAATACAGTCTATATTTCTATAGATAGAAAATTGATGGTTGTCTATGCCGTACAATATTATACATTTTGGGCGCTCGATCTGCTGCGCTCCTTTCGTGGGACCGAAGCTCCGCCTACCAGCAGCTGTTTAAGCGAAAACCGGGCAGGCAAAACATTGAACTGTGTTTCTGTCTTTGGCAGGAGGAGTAAATCGCGACTTACAATAATTAAGGCATAGGGAGTTTTTCGTACTTACTGCCCAATGTTTCAGCAGCGATTTTCGCGACTTGGTAATCTACGAAATGAAATTTCTCACGCCATCCGCCACAAAAGCGACTCTAGTCGACAAAGCAGCACACAGTACTGCCTCGATTTAGTCAGAAAACATGATTATGAGGGCTTTTTGAGTGCTCTTTTAATCCCAGACGTGACCCAAAGAACTACAGTCATTGCGCTGAGGGCATTTAATGTTGAGGTAAGTTTAAAGAGATAAATATAAAAATATACTTCAAAAATACGATCAGATAAATATTTATTGTAATGAGATGAGAAAATTTTTAATACTTTAAATTGAACTATTATATAATTTTAAGTTATTTGAAACATTTCTAATAAGAGGAAATTTTCAGCTAGCTTTGGTGGCCCAAAGGGTGAGCAATGCCGCCATCAGTCAAGGCCGGCTTACCTTCTGGCAAGAGTGCCTGGACAGAACGAATCCCCATCAACACCCTGTCGCCCTGGAGCTTCACCGAGCAAGATCAAAGCACAAGTTAAACAAAGCCTTTTTGCAAAGACTCGTCACCAGCAGAGTGAAGCAGCTCGAGAAGCCCGGCCACGAAACCCTTGCCGATTTGGAGCAATATGCGGAAGACACGGTCTCACCCCTTCTTTACCTTTCTCTGCAGTCTGCAAGTGCTCACAAGCTAGATGTAATAAATTTTATAATTCTTAATTTGTAATTAAACTAATTGGTGCATTTTCCAGAATGATTACATGAACGTTGTGAACGCAGCTGGTCGGTTGGGCAAAGCCATTGGCTTGGCCTACGCCCTCCGAGGATTAGTCCACGCCCGCCACCCCTCAGAGCTAACCATACCTAGGGACACCTTTCGAAGACACAAAGTTTCTGCCGAGAAATTCATCCGGCAGCAAGGGTCTCAGAAGGAAGTGCAAGACGCAGTATATGAAGTTGCGAGACGAGCCTTCAGACATCTAGACAAAGCTAGGACAGCCAAAGTGCCAAAGGAACTGGTTCCGTTCTTCTTAACTAGTGTCCCAATAGATCTTTACTTAAAAAGACTCGAAAGAACAAACTTTGACCCATTTCACCCAAGTTTGAACAAGAGATTAGTTACCTTGCACTTCAGAATGTGGTACAATAAAGTGACAGGAAAATTTTAACTTTTTCTACTTTATTTAGTTGGAGGAAAATCCTTACAAGTTCAATTATGCCTTTTTTATCTGAAATATTTAAGAAGCGTTAAATTGATTTGACAATTATATTGGTTCAAATTATTTACATTACAAATACAACTAACAACAGCATAAATTATTCTGCAGTTTTAATCCCAGTTCCATTGTTTGCCCGGGGTAATAGGTCCTTTTAAGACAGCAGCAGAACTAAAAAAGGAATCATAATAATTTGGATTTTAAATGATATTCTTAAAATTAGATAATCAGTTCAGTTATTTAGACTGAATAGAAAAACAAAATAAACCAATTATGTTATTACCTTCCAGCCCCAATGGCCTTTTGTTCGGAAGCAACAATCTGCGGGGGTTTGATCTCTCTACGACCATCTCTGGTGTAGTAATAATTTGCTGACAACTTATGAGAAGGTCCCTCTGGCAAATTTGGAGGTGGCTGAGTCCTCGCTGCGATGTAGTCAGCAAATCTCAATGCGTTTGTGTGTTGTCTCTGCGATTAAAATTTGATCCCTTTTTATTTTTCATCTGATATGTATTTTATGAATATTTCACTCACCCCAAGGAGAAAAGCCCTTATTTTCTGAAGAAGAGGGCTTATGTCTCTAGGAGTAGCCATCGTTGAAACAATCTGAGGATAAACCTCTGAATTTAAATAGAATTGGGTTTCGTCTCGAGCAAAATACGAATTTTATAATTTTCCGATGCCAGCTGTTAGGTATCTGGTGTGAATAGCGAGGAGCTTAAATTATTCTGTTGAAGATTATCAACGGTTCATTTTGAATATGTTATTTGGAACTTATAACTGAAGCACGTGATTTATAATTACAATTTCAATGGATTTAATTGTTAAAGATAGTTATGGAAACACAGTAAAAGATTTAAAAAAATCATGTCATTGCGGCTCCTTTGTTTACACCAATACAAGGACGAACCTCTCCCACCTATGAAGTTTTATTTTTGTTTACGTCGGCGCGAATGCAATTCCTTTACACGACATTGTTTTGGGTCACTTTGGCATTGCTAAATCAGTGGCCAGGGTCTTCAATTACATAAATAGCAATGAGTAGTTTCTACGGGCAATTAGCGAAAGATGCTCTGGGCGATGAAGTGTCTGATGTGTCTGAGGGCGAACTGGAAAAAATGCTTGCAGTAAGACTGTTAAAAATATGATAAAATAAGCTCAAATAAAAAAAAAAAAAAAAAAAATTTCAAACAAATTAATAATTTTGTTTCTTTAAAAATTTTTAAATTTAACGTTTATTAATGTGTACTGATTATTATTTTAATCTTAATAGAGCATGGGCGACTTAGACGCAGGGCTATTTGGCTCTACAAGTATTACAAAGGCTGCCTCAGCAGACAAACATGGCACTTTGACTACTTTTCTCAATAAAGATGACTTGGAAACAGAGTCACCAGAAAAGACAAAACCTCCAAAAATTGCAGTAGAAGAATCGGCACCTATCATGCCAAAGGTAAAAAAGTCGCAGCTTTTGGCCGAGCTGTTCGGCTCTGATGACGAGAGTGCATTTGCCAAACCTGCTTCCGACTCGGACATTGAAACTAAAAATCTAGTACTGCCATCAAACACCAAGTCTTCAAGCATTCCGTTACAAGGCCAAGAAAATAAAAGTGGCCCAATTTCTTACGAGCCCACAGTAGGAAGTAGAAAGAGGCAAAATATTGTTAAAAACAAACCAATACATGACATGTGGAGCGAATTCCTTAAATCTGAACCATCACCTGGAACTACCAAAGAAAGTCCTGACATACTGGCGATTGAAAACAGCAAAGAGAAACAACCGGAAAAGCCACCAGCTGAAATTATTGGTGTAATTCAAGCTGGACGACGCAATGAAATAATACAATCTCACAATCAAGCAAAAATTGACCCCAGTGACAATTCTGGGCCAATGAAACTGAGCGATGAACTTATAGAAAGAGTCGTGTCATTGGTAAAAGAGGAGCAGCAAAAAATAAAAGATGATTTAATAGCTAGAATGGACCAAGAATTTGTTTTGACTAAAGAAGAGAATATGTCATTAAAAGAAGAGATTGCTAACATGCACAAAATTATAACAGACCAAAACACTCTTTTGGAGGTATTATAATTATACATTCAAATTTATTTTAAAACTCACGGTGTAATTATGCTCTTATTTAAGGAAATCAAGAACGATCAGCACCTTATGGAAATTAATTTTAAGGAGCAAATGCACAACTACACAAATCAGTTTTCACATGTATTTGACGAATTTGAAATGAAGCAAAGGTAATAATTTGTATTAATAATTTTATAATGTCAACAAATATAATATGTATCATTTTTAGAGAAAAAGCTTCATACGCTCAGTGTCAGATTTCACAACTGGAAGAACGAGTTCAAGATTTGCAACAATTAACAGACACAATGCATCCACTGCAGATTTCCATGAAAGAAAGGCTTTCTGGACTACAGACAAATGTTGAAAAATCCCAAGAAAATATTATCAGCAAATTAGAGCGTTTCCGAGAAGTTAGTGTGATGGAACAGAAAAAAATTAAAAGCCACTTTGAGGAAAAAATACTGAAGATAAATAGCCAAGCCGGTGACTTCGAACTTCTTGAGAAGAAAGTTATTTTTCTAGAAAACAAAGTGGCAAAACTCGTATCTTGCATCAATGAAACAAGACAAGAGGAAGAATTACTTAAAAGACTGACAAAAAGTGAGGACGGAATTCTTCAGAAGCTAAAATATTTCAGCAGTCAACAGGTATAAAGCAGCTTTGTTAATAAAATGTAGTTGTTTTAATTAAATTCAAACGATTAATTCTTATTTTAAATTTTATTTTAGATCCGACAAGAAAACTGGCACCAACAGCAGCTCTCTGACGTTTCCCTATGCGTCGACCAAAGACTGTGGGGCCTCCATCAGCACCTGGAAATGACTTTGTCCAGTTGCAGAGGAGAGATAAGCAATTTAAGGAGTGACATGACTAACAGACTGAGTGACATGGAGGGCAAAGTGGTTTGCGCCGAGAACGAAACTAGTCGACTTAGCAGACTGGCAGAACGATTGTGCTCGCTTTTGCAACTGTGGGAACTCAGGAACAAAGAGTCAGCAAAAATACAGTTGGTTGCAGAGCAAAGTCTGAAAGAAAGATTTTCCCTTATTATGACTGAAAAGCAACTCCAGGAATAACTATAATTTTATATCAACCCAATAATTAGATTTCTGCAGGATTGCATTCACTCAATATTTTTGTATGACACTTCAACTTAATTACCGATGTTAATTATAAAATTTATTTAATTAATATGAGAATAAATTTTCACTGTAAAGCAATTTTACGCACTGACTCAACCATTAGTCTGAACTAGTTCTACAAAATAATCAAAAATCAATTCATAGCAAAATAATAAAAAATTTATTGAAAAAAAGGAAACTCAAAATTTAATTAATAGCCTTAAACCGGGAAAGGTTGCGCATAAATATGGACAGGTTTCTCTGCAGGATGTTCTGTAGTGATGACATAATAATTGGCGCCAGGGAGAATATCTACCAGGCTGAATTGCTCATGTACCACTTCTGCACCACTAGCAGGGGACAAAATTGGTGCCTCGTATATAGGAAGAGCAGGCGGTGAATAGGCCGTTTCGGTGACTCTGAAGGCGGGCACCACAGGAGGCGGGGGTGGTGGGGTGGGCACAACAGGGGCTTCAAAAATGGGCTCAGGAGGAGCGAATTGCTGTGAGGTAGGAGGCAAAAAAGAGGGACCCTCTGGGGCAGGTGGTGGAGGTGCCACCAGCACGTTGGGCGGGGGCGCAAAGTTCACCACTGGCGGTGCACCATAGACGGGCTTCGGGGGCGCAAATGGTGGTGCGTAAATCGGCACTCGAGAGACGTGATGGTCCGCAAAGGTGCAAACGCAACCCAGGAGAAGAATGAAAATTTCTGACCACTGAAATTAAATGATAATTTTTTAAATGAGTTATCAATTGGAGCAACACAGTTGCTGAACATACCATGCTGAAATCGGTTTGACAATGAGCAACGGCCTCATGACAGCACACATACTTATATAGAGGGTGAAAGTTCACACCTTTGTCATTATTGAGAAATAAAAACATTATAATAATCATACTTTTCAGCCCCTCTGGGGCGATCACTTAAGTGAATATTTTTGTTATTTCAGCCTATAAAGAAAATAGCATTTGAGTGGTTTTTTGTGTCAAAATCAACTGCAATAATAAAAATTCCTAATATCCACGGGGTTTACAAATAAATTATTAAAATATTTAAATGTATAGATGTTTTGACAGATCTGCCCGGCGGCACTGCATACTGAATCTAATTGTAAGTGCATGACTGCTCGAGCATTTTTTTTTTTGCATTGTGGAGAGGCGAAAAATATAATTAAGAAAGGGACCAAGCAATTTATATTAAAATTCGCAAAAATTATAAAAAAAAGATTGCATTACTTATTTTTCTAGTAATAATTTTTAATTCAGCCTTATGAAAGTTGAATTGTTTTGGGATATATTCATGTGATATACGACGATATTTTGGTTTTTTTAATCGATGATAAGAAATTTTTACATATAGCAGAAACTTTACTTTAATATTGCTTATGGACATTATTTTTTTATTGTTTTAATAATTGAATTTATGGATGATGTATTTGGGCAGAGAATGCCCGGTGATACATTATTAAACATGATTTGAAATTAATTTGATTTACCGATGTGTTTTTCTCAAAATAATATTTGCGTATAATTTCCACATCATCTGCATGAAGAATAATTATACCAAGGCGTGAGAGTTACATAAAAGATGGGAAAGTGATCCAAACTGGAATTCAAATGGACAGTGAGAGTTCAAAGGTCGCGTGTTTCAAAGGCTGTTTTTCATCGGGGCGGGTCTGTCAACTCTGTCATCCAACACAAAATTGCTCATAAAATTTAATATGATTACAATAAATAGATTCATACAATAACAATTTGAATAATTCTAATGAACAAATTTTTACCTACTGAAAATATGATTTCTAATAACATGCCTGTAACATGTCATGCTGAGGAAATATAAAATTTTAAAAGGTATAAGCACAAGTTTCAATAATTGATATCTATAGGATTGTGAATTTTTTTATCTATATACACACAGTTGTAAGCATTCCGCTCATGATTAAATTTATTATTTATTTATTAATTATATTTTGGGCATTGAGACCTAAATTGACAATAATATCGCAATGAAAAATAAACTCTACTTCGAATTTAACAATATTGAGCAGAACTGTGATGAGTGAGCTTAAATTGGTTAAAGCAATATTAAAAAATTTTCCAGTAAATTAAAACCATGGTTATATAATTTTTTTTTGTTGACAAGCTGATTTTGCAATGCACCACAAAATGCACGTCACATGCACGTCACTAAATCTATAGAAGCTTGTAATAATGCGCGATTATCGACTGGGTCGATTGATTTATTATTTGGATCACCAATTGAAAACCTTCTATCATTAAGAGATAAACACGTGAAATGTTGGGGTCACCATACAAAGTAGTAAAAATTTTACATTGGGAAAAATCTGAATTAACTCAAAGTTTAATTTGGAAAGGAGGAAAAATCACTTAGTTTTTTTTCGTTACTGCGTCACTTGATATTAGTGTATACAACTTAAATTCAGTTAAAGAATCATTCGAATTTCATAATTCATTTACCGCCAACAATTGTATTATGTCGAGAAATAATTTATTTGGTGTTGATATAAAACGACACAAAATATAAAATAATAATAATATAATAAAACAGATTTAAAGATATAATAAAATCTCCTTAAAAAAGGAGTTTACATTTGTTTTAGCATTAGTGAAATAATTTTAATATAGTATTTGTCTGATGAGATGTGCGTTTTTCTCTCTAAAACCTATTTTGGACAAGTGATACAAAAAATTTCGTGCAAATGATGTGTTTCCTTAAAGCATTGGCACAAAGTTTAATGGAATTAACAATGCTTACGTAAGTGGGATAACCAACACCCCTTGACAAGTTAAGTTTTATGATCATTTTTAAATAGATAGTGATTGCACCATAATGTTAATTGTTAAAAGATAAGACGTAATATTCAATAAGGTGGTTGTAATCAAGGTTGTAATACACTTATATAAATGGCAAATTTTTATAAGGTCGTGGTATCATTTTCATCAGCGCACTACACGAGAGGCAGTAAATACACACTATATAAGCCATGAGGATCGCGTAAGTCAATCACGACTTTTGTTAATGCTAACAATAATATAATTTATTATATTATTATATTTGCTGTAGGATTCAAAACCTAATGTTAAAATAATTTTAATAAATTTATACAGGAAGAAAACATAAATTTTTACTTATAAATACCATTCGATTAATACAAATTTTCAATCCCAAGTTTTAATAAAATAAGGACGTCAATAAAGACAAATAAATTTTTTGGTTGACCAAAGTTCCCTTATTTTTTTTTTTTAACCATTTGTATGCAGCTATTTTTATTTTTACTATCAATATTATTATGCGATAATTCAGAAACTTACATTTATTTAATCAATTTATTTAATTTTTAATTTAACAGTTTTACATTGGTCTTGCTATGTGCGGCACTCTTCTGTGCTAGCGAGGCAAAGCCCTGGGGATCCTGGTGGAACAACCGCGATAGCAATGAATCTGCATCAAACAATGAAAAGTCAGTGGAGTCTATCGAGGAAGCCTCTTCAGACGAGTCTGATGACAAGAAACCTGTGGAGTCTGCCGAAGGAGCGGTTTCAAACGATTCTAGTGACAAAAACTCAGTAGAATCTGCTGAAGATGCAGAATCCAATGAATCCAGCAACAACAAGCCTGTAAAGTCCACTGAGGATGCAGATTCAGACGAGTCTAGTGATAAGAAGCCCGTAGAATCTGCTGAAGATGCAGAATCCGATGAATCCAGCAACAACAAGCCTGTGGAGTCCGCTGAGGATGCAGATTCAGACGAGTCTAGTGACAAGAAGCCCGTAGAATCTGCTGAAGATGCAGAATCCGATGAATCCAGTGACAAGAAGCCTGTGGAGTCCGCTGAGGATGCAGATTCAGATGAGTCTAGTGACAAGAAGCCCGTAGAATCTGCTGAAGATGCAGAATCCGATGAATCCAGCGACAAGAAGCCTGTGGAGTCCGCTGAGGATGCAGATTCAGACGAGTCTAGTGACAAGAAGCCTGTAGAATCTGCTGAAGATGCCGAATCTGATGAATCCAGTGACAAGAAGCCTGTGGAGTCCGCTGAGGATGCAGATTCAGATGAGTCTAATGACAAGAAGTCAGTAGAATCTGCTGAAGATTCCGAATCCGATGAATCCAGCGACAAGAAGCCTGTGGAGTCCGCTGAGGATGCAGATTCAGACGAGTCTAGTGACAAGAAGCCCGTAGAATCTGCTGAAGATGCAGCTTCCAATGAATCCAGAGACAAGAGGTCAGTGGAGTTGGCTGAGGATAGTTTGGCAAGCAGTGAATGAATATATTATGTTTGTAATTGAAGTTAAACTTAATTTAATAATAATCCAATTTTAAATTGCAATTTATTTTCTGCGTTTTATTGAATAAGAGAGCCCAAAATGCAAATGCGCCGTAATGCATAACTTTCTGGCACGTTCATTTAAAATTGCACACATTTAGCTAAAAAATTCAAACATTTCAGACAGCCAGAAAAAAGCATTAGATTATTAATAGATTAAGTTTGTTGGTTGCCATAAATTTTTATAAATTTGGTATATTGAGTGTGGTAAAAATTTGATTGATTAGTTAAATTTTGAATTTACTTTCATTTAAATAATTGATATAAATTGCATAAATTTTCAAGTGGAAGACATTTTTATAATGATATTATGTCTATTGTTTTTTAGAACTCTGAACATATGTTAAGTGCAATAACTCATTCAGCGTATTTACCTTGATTTCGGCGCCCCACTGAATTACAAAAGTCAAAAATTTACATAATTAAATAAATAATTTTCGCAAGCATGTCTACTTTAGCTAAATTGATTCTTGTAGTAGAAGTTCACGATCGAGGGTAGATTCTTGGTAATTTGAATTTTAGATTCGGCTTTTCCTCGATGGGTTTTTTGTGAGTTTTATTGTTTTTTCTTCAACAATAAAAACTCACATTAAACCCATCGAGGGAAAGCCGAATTATAAATTAAAATCACCATAAATTTATTCTATGCAAGTAACAGTATTTCTATTCAAATGGATTTTTTGCGACTTATAAATTAGACATGGCTGCTTGATTGAACCCAAACCGGACAATTTTAGACGAGTGAACGAATAGAGAAGCGTGCGGCCTATATAATTAAATTGATTGTGAGCTACTGCACAAAGGGCACAACGACCACTCAAAAATTGATAACGAGAATATGGAAGCAGATAAAACACAGCTCAAAATCCACTGCATGCCTCTTTTTTCAATCTTGCGCTGGCTTAAACAGAACAATCAACAATGGTTGATTTCTTCAGCCTGCTTAACATTCGAGGGACACAAAGTTTGCAGTTTTCAAGATAATTCATAATTTGACAAAGTTTTCATCAAATTTGAGCAGAAAATATATTATTATTTATTATCACCTTTTCCAGGTTTTATTGTGGAGTCTACATTTATTCACAAAGCAGTGATTGCGGCTTGGAATAGATATATGACGAGCAAGGGCTTCGCTATTTATGCACCTGGGGCTGAAGAAAAAATCGACTGTTTAAGCGGAGGATGACAGGGTTTTGCTTAATCAAAAAGGGCAGTGGTTACAGAGAAGATCTGATCTCAAATAGAACACGAAGTGAAGACATTGTATTTCAACACAATTTTATATTGAAAGTATGAATCTGTACGGTTGTATGTGGTTTGATTTGACATTAAAAGGAGATTAAGGCGCGATTGACGCTGTTATTTCCAAAGAGTGTAAATTGCTTTGCACGGCAGATAACAAAAAAGGTCAAAATCATGCTCTGCCCGCCTTTCAGTTGCATATTGAAATTATATTACATTATTTATTACAAGCATTGTTCTAAATCAAAAGTAAAAGAGATGATTTTTGTCTGGCGACCACGGCCTTGTTTTGGAACTCTTGCCTGTATTTTTTTTTTAAATACCACGCTCAATTACCGTCGCCATTTGTCTACACTGGTGAAAAGTGCGATATTATCATCATAATGCAAGATAAACACAACAGATGAGACTCATCCCTTTCCTTTTTGGATTGTTTCATAACGCCGCCTCAGTGAAGATTGTAACGGCTTTTCTTATTTTTTGTAAGCAGCAAGCCAGAAAATGACTTATTACTTATTTTACATTGAACCAAGATTCCTTTTTTAATTACGCAAGTTTTAAAATCAGTGAAAAATAAAAAAAATGGTGATTATTAACCTTTGGATCCACATTATTTTTTAATTAAAAAAAAAACAGTTTTTTTCCTAATAAATATCGGTATATTAAGAAAATGTAATCATGTTAATATTGTAGCTTTTATGTGACTATTTTCTTCAATTTTATGCTAAGAAAATATATGGATTTCAAAAATAATGCAAATATCCAAAATCACCGGACATTTCAACAATAGACACTTCAATGCTGGACTAACCTGGGATAATTTTGGCAAAAACATTATTAGGTTGTTCCATGTATTATGTTTTTTTTTCATTAGTTGAAATTTTATTCAAGATCAATAAAAAGAATTCAATCAGACATGTAAATTCAATGATGGATTACTCACATTAAAATTTCTGTTTTGATATATCAATGTGATGTAACAAAAATACTAAAATCAAATAACTTTAAGGCACATTTTAATTTGAATATATTCACTTTAAATTTGCTCAATTAATACAATTCCCCCCGTCCCTAAAATTGGGATAGATTGTATTGAGGAGAATTAATTTAATTTAAAACAAATTAACTTCAATTTGCATAAATACGATTGTTTCCTAATAAATAATTATGTTGTAAGGTTCTATTTTAAATGCAGTTCGCAACAGAGTATACCATTTAAATAATTTATGTAATTGCGATGACATTTTTGTATGTCGTGGAGCGTGAGCAGTCGTGTGTATCGAAAAATCAATGTGTAATGAAAACAATAATAATTTGCTGCTTCTTTGGCCACCGAGTATATGGATTTATTTTTTTAAGATCCGCTAAACAATTAGAGAGGAATTCCTGTCACGGTGGCGCAATCCCGCGAACAAGAAGTGTAATTCTGTTGAATGCAGCCTTGGTGTCAACAACTGGATACCGCGGTTGTAAAATTATTTACTATCGGCGGCGCACTGCCAATTAATTCCAATTCCCCTTGTTAAAAGTTCATAGTTTTTCATCGCTCTCGAAAAAGAGAATGGCTAACGAGAGAAGCATAAGTAGAAATTTCCCTGCGCTCATCAAAGTCCGAATGTGCTGCTAATTACGAGAGAATCCGCGTAACACAAATTTATTTATTATCAAGTGGTGCGGGTGATCGTTGGTGATCGCGTCGTTTGGAGTTTATTTATGGCAGAGTTCACAAGTTGTCGGTGTAATGAGCGGAGAAACATCATCTCATCACCGCGTATAATCAGCATGTGTGTGCGAGAAGTTACGAAACTTTGCAGCACCTCTCGAAGAAAATGCATGTCGCGTGATTCTTGTACGAGATGTGTTGTACGGAATGAAAAGTTTCACTCTTGAAATTTTCCTGTTTTTCATCTTTTGCATAATGAGCCAATCAATAAGCAATCGATACTTAATTCTCACTGATAGAATTGTAAAAACGGTAAAACGGATTTGCATTTTAAATCAATATATTATTAAAAATACAGGAAAATTAATTCCGACGGGGAATGTGTGCAATGTTGTCGTAAAAAATTTCAATCGCTAATTAAATATTTCTGGTTTCAGTCGCATAATTATAAGAATAATGACGGTTCCTGCAAAAATAATTTAAGTCCACCTACCTTTCTCTGCGCTTCATCGCTTCATCCCACGTTGTTGTTGTCGAAAGAGCAAGCCAACGTGCAGCGAACATGCCAAGGTCCACCTGGTGCAGCACGCAGAGCTTGCGTTTTTGCAGAAATGTTCCGAGTTCTGACTGTTTTGAGCCATTTTCGGCTGCTGTTGTGACGACCCAGGCGAATCGCGAACACCGGCGATCTTTTTTGCAGCACTTGACTCCCGAAAATCACGAAATTCGGCACATTTCTGACACAAATCAAAACAATAACAAACACTAAACACATGCGAAGGAGTCACTGGTGGCAAACTGACCAAATTTTCCCCTGCTTTCCCCACCCCCTTTGCCCCATTGCGATCGCGCTGTGTTAGTCACTCCTGATTTCTGTACATATTTATTTTCTGCGTGTTCATTTTCTCCATGCGTTTAAAAGATTCCAAACTTTTAACAAATAATTTATTAATGTCATCTCGCTTACCATACCTATTTCCGCCTATTTCTAATTAATGCGTCCTATTCATCTTAATGAGATTAATGGAAGAGTTGGTTCAGATTTAATAATTGGATAAAATTAAATGTTTTTAATTTTTTTTCCTGCAAAATTTTTTATTCCTGCTAAAATATGCCATTGCAAGATTTTTTCAACAGTTTTGTTAATTTTTATAATGAATTTTTTTACAGACATTATTACTTTTCTCATATATTTTTCTTGGATTTCTGTACAAGATCTTTATATGGGTACAAAATTTGTTTTATAAATAGTGCCTACATACCTGCCTTTGTTTAAAAAATTGTGAAAATCGAAATTATATTAATTTTTGACATGAGAAAACAAATTTATTTTACACATGATAAAATTTCATTTTAACGTATTTAATTATTTGCAATACAAAAATTTAAAACACCTGCTTTTCTCTGCCAAAAATCGCTCTTAAAAACGTTAACCAAGAATAAAGTAAATCATGCTATATCAAAATATTCATTCTGGAAATTATAATTGTTATTGCTAATCAACAAGCTCAGAGATCTTAATTTTTTTTATCTCATTACCGTCAATGTCCTCGTGCCTTGAAAATTAAGGCCACAAGGTGAAGTTAGAAATTTTAATTGGGTGATAGGCGTGAGAATGTGTGACAAACTCTATAATAATTTGTGAGAATTGGGCCTCGGTGCGCCGCGCTCGAGCTATAGGAAGAGGAGGTATATCATTCACATTTTAATCAATGTGGTTCAAAGTAACAAGGACAAAACCATTTTTAATAACCGGTATCACATTTGCAATTTCGACTCCGACCAAGGCCTTCCTCTCGCAAACGAGAGTGAAACTGATTTTGCTCGAATGGTTTGGAACGCACCATTACATATTTCGCTTTATATAAATTATCCTGCTCCAGCATTTTTATGTTGCGCGGAAGTCCATTAAACCGTCCTTCAAACATTCATATGCTCGATATTCCAATTATTGCACATTGATTTCAACTGGAAGGCGCTAAAGGAAATGAATATAAAAGTGAAAAATATTTGAAAAAATACATAATAATTTTTAATCACTAATCTCGTTTGAAGCGTAATTTAGTCCATTATACTATAGCAGTCTTCGAGTTTGAAATTTTATGGGAGTGTTTTTTGTTATCTTTGATCGCTATTACACCAAGTTGATCTGGTCTGGTACTGCAAAGTGTAATTATGCGGGGAGGACGCCAGGAGCGGCTTGAAAGGAAACGCTTTTTTTGCAAGTCAAATTGTATCTTCAGAAATTTGGCGCAATTTTCAACGCTTCCTTGTGCAATATATTAGCAGCCGCATAATATGCTACAAGTACTCATACAATTAAAGCGAGAAAATTTTTTATTGCCTTTCACACTCTCGAGAAAAGATTTAAAATGCCACTATCAATAAGGAATATCTCTCTGTTGAAAAGCGAAGCGCACAATAATGTACCGTATTTGAAGCAGCCTGGTGTGTTGCTTATTGATGGGGTCCATTTTTCACTTTCAACGCTCAGCTTGTTATGTGCCATTCAGCACATGCAATCATTTCTGAAACATCTAAATATTCAGGATTGCTTACAGACAAATTAATCAAACCTGTGAAATGTATTTAGAAAAAATAATTATCAATGGAGTGGGAAAATTGAATTTTTCTTACTTGCATCCATAATTATTACGCTTTTAATTGGGGACAAATACTATTTTTGTATTTGATACCATTACATTATTTGATATGTTATCGGAAAAAAACAAAAGTTTCCAAATCAAATATTGATTTAAAATTAGCATAAATTCAATCGAGGCTTTAAAATAACTGCCTTTAAAAAAATAAATCAAACGTGCCAGTATAAAAAAATATCTGCGCTCAGTCTATTGTTATTACTGTTTTTATCATGATGAACCCGATGGACCAATTGAATGAGAACACCTTTCACTGGGCTTCTTTTGATCTTTCCCAGAAATACATAATAATATATAACATTTAAAAAGGTTCTGCTCATCTGCTTGTGCCAACCAGCACCCACGACTTCCCTTTCAGCTTGACACGCCTTTCTAGATGCAAAGCGATTTGTTGTGCAAAATTATTTGAGTCGTTGACAACGCGGAAGCTGCAGAGTCATTTCCCAGTCATAGCCATCTGCCAAGAGATGAAACTCTCTTTCAAGGGAGGTGGTGTCGTCGCCGTTTTTGGAATCACGTTGGGTCGCGCCGGGCCAAAGGTCTGGTTATGCACGCCTGTACAAAGAAGTGATCCGTACTTTCTGCAATTTTGGAGCCGCTATTTAATAGGGTGTTATGCAACGTACATACTAAGGAACTTGGCATTTTCCATCTCTGCTTTTAATGGCACTCCATGTTGTTCAAGATGTCAATGCGGGTTGGTGCTGCGCCTCTTTAACTGTTGCAGATCCTTTCTAATATTGAGCGTACTCTTGTTGTATTGTTATACAAATTAGCATTGAACACATTCACAAATAAATCTTATGGTGGAATGGTATAAGGAGGATTTTTTCTTCAGGCCAGTTTGTTTTAATTTAATTTGCTGAAAGATATTGTACTAAAATTCAAATGTAACTGAATGGAGCTAGAATGAATAAACAAAGAATTAAATACTAAAAATATATCCCTGAAATTATTTGCAATGATAAAAGACTTATAGATCCTGACCTAATTTATAAATTAATTATTAGCATAAAATAAAACATAAAGTATTTTAAATGTAGAGTTGGTACAAACTAATAAATAAAGGAAAAATTTTAACGCGGTAATGGATAGAACAAGAATGCGAGTCAGGCACAACAAAAGCATTTCTATCAAAGAGCTCTAACAAATAACAGCCTTGGTAATGTAACGGGCGCAATTTAAGGCTTTAATGACGATCATTTTAGGCGTGAAGATAATGGAGAAACTCAAGAGTTGTTCAGCTTAATGAAAAAGTCGTGTTATTATAATTACCATAAGAGCGCAAAGCACGCAGAGCTGCATGTATAATAATACACCTATATAGATTTGCGTAATCTAAATAATTGTAAAAGTGTAAATGTAACATAATTGAATTATTGAATAATCTTGTTGAGCTTGTTTTTAAAGCGTGTCACAAAAATAAAAGAGTTAACATAGAAACAGAGTGATCATTATTTTTAACTTGTCAAATTTTTAATAAAAATACCGTTCTTACTATATAATTTTTAAGGTTCAATTTTTAATACAAATTAATTTCTCTGTGAAATATAATTTATCTAATAGACAAAAAATGTGTCACTCCACTAAGTGAGGCCTAACAATACGGACAAATAAACAACAATAATAAAAGTTTTTCCTTATATAGAGCAATTTGACTTTCCTTTTAAAAATAAAATTTATATCTGTCATACAATAAATTATATTATTCGGAATTTTTCCCAGCCATTGCAACCTCAGGAAATATCCCATGTTGTGTGGTGTGGCACGAGGCAGCGCAGAGTATAGAGGGCTCTGTTCTGCGCCTGGACTCGCCTGGGCTTTCTCCAGACGAGAAAGCCGCAAAGCAGGCGTGAGTCAGTCAGTGGTGTTCTAGCCATGGCGGGCTCCTGGTGTCTGAAAGCGCTCTTCTGCTCCTTGCTCGTAGCTTTTTCCACATGTGCGCCGCACGTAAACAAAGGTAGGCCAATGAATTTTATTTAATGAATTTAATACTTTATTTTATTGCTAACCTCTACTTGTGACAGTTAAACATGTTTACTATAATTTTTATGAAATTGGGTTCTTGGAACTTCTGTTATGTGTGGCAGTTTGAGTTTCCTAATGTCGTATTATATTAATAAAATCCTAAACTAAACTTATCAACACGACGTGACACGTGATTGCAAAGGTGATAAATATTCAATATTTTTAATCACTAGCCCAGTTTATAGATGCAAAAACTAAAACCTCCCTGCTCTTAATCGGAGGGACCGGCTTCTATATAGTTCTTGACAGGGCGAGGTACTTAAGTTTTTCAACAGGAGGCTAATGTGATCTCCGATTAGACATTATTTAAGCTTAGGAAGGCGTTTCACTAAAACTCATACTCTATTGAAAAGGCGTCAATCACCTGTATGCAGCGAGCGTACATAATGCCGCTATATTAAAAAACGATACGTTTTGTGGCTGAACAATGAAAGTGTTGTATTTTGTCACTCAAACAATAAAGGCAGGTGCCCGCAGCAGTAGCAGGAAGAAAGTTGTGTCAAAATCGGTGACGCGTCGTGATCAGAGATCAGTCGAGAGTGACACCAACAACCTGCTGTCCGCCTCCCTTTCTTGCTTTGCGCACCCGTGATCAATTATCGGCGCCACCTTTTTTGCAATTCCGCCACTGTTAAAAAGTCTTATCAGCAGTTACTTCCTGATTTGTTTTGCTTAACCTCTCACAAAGTGACGAAAAACGTGTTGCAAAACCAAAATTAATTTAAATTAAGAAAAAATTAATAGATTTTTAGATGTACCAATTCTCTCATCTTGCAAGTTGAGGAAACAAAAGCAAGAATTTATAGTACCCGGAATGATTTTAAACTATATGTGAAGCTGAAATATTATAAAGCTAATTCTATTTGTCAATTTCACGTTCAAAAGGTGTGAAAATTAAATTATAACGGGTAAAGTGGTAGAGTGGCAATCACTACATAAACATGGGTGATTCAAATGGAGCATTTTTTCACTAACTAAAGGAAGTAGATATTTACAAAAAAGTTTATTCACTTCACCAGAGAATCCAACGTTAAATTATCATATTTTTTTAATTTAATTATATAATATTTATATTTCTCATGGCTAGCAGTAAAAAATTTGTTAATAAGTGTTTGTTTTTAATAATTCATTAAAATGCTCTTTACGCATTAGTTTCATTGAGTGAATAAAAAAGAACACTTAAAAATATCGTAATTGTTTTTCGTAATTTTTTTTTTAAAATTATCAGAGCTGAAAATTTTTAGTGGTTTATGGTATAATTCGCAGAATTTGTTCTTATCGCAATCTCTTGCAAAGAGTCCCGACAGCTTTTGGCAAAACTTAAGAAATCGAGCGACAATTACTTGCATGTAACTGGAGGGCCCTTGAAAATGGAAGGACTCTTCATCACTTACATCACACATAACTCCGCGGAGAACACGATGTTCTTTTCTTTTATTATCAAGATTCGCCTACATTTGTGCTTGGCTGGTCATTAAGTTTAATTATAATATGCTAGCTGGTAGAGTGCAAGGCCATGTCAGTAAAAGACGAAAAACAAATAGCAGATGAAATTATACAACCGCTGGAATCCCCTTAATTTCCGCGCCTCCGCCCTTGATTTAGCACTGCATTTTGAAGATTGGTTATTCCATCGACCAATTATATTTGAAGGTCTTTGAGCAAACGCACTCTCTAATGACTTTGCACTGATCGAAAGATGAGACGCTCTAAAAGATTTGATTTATTCTATATATGTTGTGATAATTTTTCTCTGCAACCCTGGATCCTTCAATATAGCAAAATTATATTAATATAAAATTAGGTACATTATTTTGTAGGATCTATAATTTTGTACACATCCATTCTTTTTTTATAATTGAATATTAGAAAGTTAGTTAATTAAGTCATGCTTAAATTTAAAAGCGGTACATAATCTAGATAAAATTCTAGAAAATCTTGAAATAAATTATTTAAAATTCAATAAACTTTCAACATTAGATAAATTTATTGTATCTTGTTAATTAGATCGCAAGGACATGCCCATTTTGCTTTCAATGGCCTTTTAAGTAAACAACTTCTAATTATAATAGATGCAAATAATTGATAGTAATTAACACCTATGCGCCTATTAGTGATTAAATGCACGACTTCTCGCACACTCTTTCGTGTCAACTCATTAATAATTCAAGGCACACTTAAGATTTCATCGCGTTAGCTCAACAAATTCTGTTATATTAGAATAATTTATGAATCAAAGTTCCCTCATGCTCATACCTTTTGTTACTCGATATTGAGCTTTCACAAAGACCCGCAAAAACTTTTAAATCCATTCCAGATTACTTCAAGTTTAATTTCTTACTGAAAGAGTTGAAATATTTAACTAGAAATTGTGTGAAGAAAATCAAGGACAACGCACTTTAAATTGAATTAGACAAAAATTTAAATAATTCGTCCGAAATCGTCAATCGAGTACTTGTATTTGTTTTCCTTAGCTTCGATCTTCATATGAGCTTAGCAATTATTAAACTTTGCATATTGGTTAGGCTATCCTTGATGTGTCAAATAATAATGTTACTTTGGTAGATGGAAGCAACTTAAATTAATTAATCTGAATTAATCTACATACAACACAATTGAATTAGCCTCTGCAATTAAAAAACTAATTACAATACGTGTGAGAAGTGAGACAAGCTTGATTGTAATTGCGCCCGTCAAGCGCAGTCATTGTGCAAATGTAGCTGCACTTTTGAACTTCCATTCTCTCCTGCAAGGAGTAGAGCAAATAAATTAACCCAACAGATGCGGCGCGATAGAGAGACGCACACCTATCCTCTGAATTAGCCAGCCAAGCATTAATTACAAACGACGATCTGTTCTACTATTATAATGACGTCACTTTTGTATATAATTCGCATACGCTTCTGAGTGCATATTGGCGCAATTATTTCACTTTTGCGATGCTTTCTAAACACAAAACCCTCGCACAAGCCTGATTATTTTAGCTAATTGCTCAGCGAGAATTCTCTTCCACCTCTGTTTTGCAGTAGGTGGGATGATGCGTGTCGAATTAATAATTTTTGCGAAACTGCTTTCATGCATGAGGGATCGCAGGTCGATGAATTGAATTAATTTTGCAAATCAGGAAGACATAATTTTGTTCCAATTTTTTGTTCATACACAAGAATATAAATTATGAAACATTTAAAGAAAAAGTGCTGCTGTAAAAACGTTTGTAGAGTGAAAATTTTAACTCCTCTCGCAAAGAGATATTTTTTTATTTGCGTCGCACGTTTCAAATCAAGGAAACGGTATGCATGTATCTAATAATAATAATTCACGTATATACGCAGCGCAGTAATAAAAGGACGTGCCGAGGTCAGGGGTCATGCAAAAAGGAAGTGATTCGGCTTAATTGACTGCGGAGAGAAGACGAAAGGTTCGTTTTCCGCGTCCAGCACAACGCAAATAACAAGCCTTTGTTTATGGCGCGATGATGATATAGTGTAATGTTGTAGTAGAGGCAGGAAATTTTTAGACTCAAAAAGGAATGCAACAATGAAATGTTTGCGTATGGGACCTAGTGCAGACAATCAAAGAGTAGGAATTCAAAAATAATCACATCTTGTTCCATTCAAACTTTTCTCTGGCAAAAAAAAAACCATTGCACACAGCAAGGAGTGCACTACAATGCCTATTGAATTAGAGTTTGTACATCTACAATCCATTGTGCAATACAGAAAAGAAATGTACGTTCAATGATAAGAAAAGAAAAACTCCACTGAATTAGACACTAATTGCCATTGAAAATTTTGATTCAATTCACACAACTATAAGTACTCTAAAAAATGAATAAAAATCAGCATTTTTCTCTCATCTTTTTTTTTTTTTTTTAAATTACGCTTTAAGGAAGTGAAATTGAGTATGACTTGAAGTATGCCTCACAATGAGTAAGAATGTTAGACGTGCAATAAAATTGTAAAGAAAAGCACTGAGCTTACGTTTCATAGTGATCCGACACTCAACACAAAATTGCTGTGTTATGATATTTGCATGAGCCTTTTTTTAAGAGGGTTGCGCACGGAGAAAGCACCGACATGCAGCCCATATGCAAAGCACACCGCCGCGATCAGTTCCTTTTAGCGGCAGAGAGTACAGCTGAAAACGCAAAAGAGAAATCTGCCAAGTTGCTTCACGTAATAACGGACGGACTTTTGCTTTCGATTGCACTGCTTTGTGCAGAATTTCTCACAGGAATCGATTGGGTAGGCTCTTTTACGCTCGCTTACATAAACCACAGGAGAATTGTAGTCGATTTTGTAATTTGTCTCTCTACCGATTGTCAGCTGTGCCGGTGCAATTGATTAGATGAGTGCGCGCGGTAGCACGGCCAGATGCTTAGCACAAAACGGCGAAGTTAGTGAGCGAGACCGGTGAGAGGAAACTTTGATTATTTCGAAGCGCCAGGAAGTTAAGAGCGAGCTTCATTTGTGCACCTCTAATGAACTATTCAGCTCTGTATTGTTAAAAGCTTGCAGCTTTTCCGCATTAATTTAGTAATTGTTAAAATTATTACAAGGCCACGTCTACTAACAATCAGAAGTAAAATTATTCTCAATCATAACTGCAACAAACAAGAATCAATTTAAATTCAGACAGGCAAATAATGATTAAAAATATTTATTGACTACATCAGGACTACATGAATTGATTTGGGCTACGAACATTTTTAAGCTGGACAAAATTAATTGAGTCATTCGCTTAAATCGCGCCCGCGGCTAAAAATCTTTCTCTCTATGGGATCAGATAAGAGGCACACAGCATGAGCGCGTTGGCCAAAATCAATTTGCACTTTCCAAAAGTCTTTCTCCGCTGCTAATCCACTCATTCATCCATCAAACAATTATCAATAACGAGAAAAGAAAACAATGCGGCAGTAAATCAATAATCAAT